ATAACGTGACTGGCTCTGTTATTTTATACCAACTTGCTTCATTCTAATGTACTTTTTCATTCCTGTTGAGTAGGTCTCACATTGAGGATTTGCTAAAAGATTTGTCAAAGACTAGCTCAAAGAACATGGTTGGTTTTATGCCCTTTCCCCTGTAAAGTAGGGTCAAAACTGTTGTTATTTTACTTTGTACAAGAGTCTTTGAAAAGTGGGCTACTGTTGAGAAAACTGAAATAGAAACTTTTCTCATGGATTGTATAGAAGAGTTCTCTTTAGTCATAAAGTGATGTCACAAGCATTTTCCAGTAGGTTAATGAGTCATATGGATGGCGGCTAATGGATTGAGGTTGAATCCTGACAAGACAGAAGTACTGTTCTTGGGGGACAGGGGACGGGCTGGTGCGGAGGACTCCCTAATCCTGAATGGGGTAGCTGTGCCCCTGAAGGACCAGGTGCGCAGCCTGAGAGTCATTTTGGACTCACAGCTGTCCATGGAGGCGCAGGCCAATTCTTTATCCAGGGCAGCTGTCTACCAGCTCTACCTGGTATGCAGGCTGAGACCCTACCTGCCCACAGACTGTCTCGCCAGAGTGGTGCATGCTCTAGTTATCTCCCATGTGGACTACTGCAATGCGCTCTACGTGGGGCTACCTTTGAAGGTGACCTGAAAACTACAACTAATCCAGAATGCGGCAGCTAGACTGGTGACTGGGGGCGGCCACCGAGACCACATAACACCGGTCTTGAAAGACCTACATTGGCTCCCAGCACGTTTCTGAGCACAATTCAAAGTGTTGGTGTTGACCTTGAAAGCCCTAAACGGCCTTGGCCCAGTATACCTGAAGGAGCGTCTCCACCCGCATCGTTATGCCCGGAAGCTGAGGTCCAGCGCCGAGGGCCTTCTGGCGGTTCCCTATTGCGAAAAGCAAAGCTACAGGGAACCAGGCAGAGGGCCTTCTCGGTAGTTGTTGAACGCCCTCCCATCAGATGTCAAAGAGATAAACAACTACCTGACATTCAGAACACATCTGAAGGCAGCCCTGTTCAGGGAAGTTTTTAATGTGTGACATTTTAGTATATTTTTGGTCTTTGTGGAAAGCCGCCCAGAGTGGCTGGGGAAACCCAGCCAGATGGGCAGGGTAGAAATAATAAATCATCATCATCATCATCATCATCATCATCATATAATAAAGTTATACACCTCTTACCGGAAGAACACTGTTAATGCAAGGTGAAACGGAGAACTATGTGTTCTCGGCAATTATGAGGTTTCATTGCTGGATAAAGGCCATTTCTCCGTAATGGAGGTGAAATATGGAAGGATGTTGTTGGCATCGCCCACAGTTCAAAGGTACAATTTCAGATTGGCTTTACAACTCTTCCCTGCCCCCCACCCTACCTCCAATCATAGGTACAAGTCATCTGAAGCACACAAAGTAGCCTCAAGATAAAGAAATGTCACTTGTTCTGAGAAATGAAAGTCTGAAAAAGTTTCAGATTAATTAATTATGTAATGGCCCTCTTAACTTTGCAAAGCTAACATTAAACATGTATTGAACATGTATTGAACATGCACTTTGGTGTTCATTTCAGTCAAGTCAAATTGCACCCCATGTTTTTAAGCCAGAAAAAAGTTTTGAGAAAGAAAACTGAACAAAATAAAAAGAAAAATACTAGATATTTGAAATTAATTCTAAATAAATACAGGGGGTTTAAAGCTTTTTTAAAAAAAAATATAGAGTCCTTGAATGGTTTGTTGATTAGAAACTAATGTATCTTCTTGTCTAAGATAAATCCCCCAAATAGGCAGCAGCTGCTGGTAATTTGGTTCAAGTAATTGTAGAGCCAATAAGTTGAAGTGCTTATTAGAAGAAACTGCTATCTTATCTGCTTGCAAGTTCAATTGAGTAATGCACTCTACATGTGGTCTGACGCTGGGTAAATTATAAACCTGATTTAAAAACACTCCATCCATAAGAGCTCCTATTTTGCTCATCCATAAAATTTTTACTTTCTTCATTACTAATGGCTTGCAGCAGCATATGGCATAATATCTATCAAATTAGGCTTTGAGGACATCTTAGACTGGCACCCCGCTGGCTTGAAACATATGCTTAATGTGTGCTGCAATGCTTTTAACCCCTTGTTTGCCCCACTATACATTCTACTGTCAAGGAAACGGGTGCCCATGCAACGTAATAAAATCCGTGCATCACAGCCTGCTAGTCTACTTGCATTCCAGCAGGGGGTGCAAGGGACAGCCTTCCTCAGGAGCTGTGCATTACTGAGGAGCTGTCACCTAAAAGTTCATGCTATAGTTAAACTTAGTGCTGATTCTGGCACAACTGTTGTGCCCCTTTCTGTTTGAAATGATTGAATATCACCCAATACAGTGGTACCTTGGTTTTCAAACGCCTTGGTACTCAAATGCCTTGGTTCCCAAATGCCAAAATCCCAGAAGTGAGTGTTCCGGTTATCAAATGTTTTTCGGAACCAAACGTCCGTTGCGGTTGTCAGCTATTGTTTCTGGGACGCCTGCACCAATCAGAAGCTGCACGTTGGTTTTCAAACATTTCGGAAGTCAAGCAGACTTTGGAATGGATTAAGTATGGTGCTTTTGTTTTTGCTATTTATTTTGCGTTTTTGTTTTTGAGGCTTTTTCGGTTAATTTGTTTTTGTTACTGTGTGGAACCCAGTTCAGCTACTGACTGACTGATTGATTGATTGATTGTGTGACTGCAGAAATGGATAAAAGCCCACCATTGAAACAATGACTATAATCAGTGAGGGTAAGAAAATAATTTAATTTTAATTTTAATCATCTACAATACTGTCATATTTATTTTATAGTGTGGTACATTGATTATTGCTTTCATTTTATGGATCAATGGTCTTGTTGGTTAGTAAAACTCATGTTAAATGCTTGTTAGGGGTTGCTTTTAAAAGTCTGAAACATATTAATCCGTTTTGCATTACTTTCTATGGGGAAAGGCACCTTGGTTTTGGAACGCTTTGGTTTTGGAACGGACTTCCGGAACAGATTAAGTTTGAGAACTAAGGTACCACTGTACTTTTAATAATGAAAATATATAATGTTGCAATAGTGACAAACACAGAAGTAAAAGAGCTAAAAGATAGTAACTGATGACATATAATTTAGGTACTATAAATGAGCATTCACGTTCTGTAGATAGCTGGAGTAAAGTCTACAGGAATTAAATAGTTATAATGGTATAGGGAGTGCCATCTTAGAAGTGAACAAGCAGTATATAAATCCTGTTCAATGAATAAAATAAATAAATATTTTCCTTTGCCCCAGGGAGCAAAATGTGTTGGGTCAGGCTCGGTTAGACTAGTTAGTTTGACTTGCATACCATAGGATGTACTACATCAGATTATAAAGGAATCAATTTGTAAGTATTTGATAAAGAATACATTGGTATTTTTTTAAAATCATAACATTAATACACTGCATGTTTGAAATAATACCTCAAAGCAGTTTACAAAAAGATAAAACAATAAAACTGAGAAAAAAATCACAACCATACTTTAAAACATACAAAATTTAAAATATTAAAACAAATTAAAATTTCCTCAACTTTCTAAGCATTTGAGTCAGCTTGTCTAAACAAGAATGTGTCCCAAAAAGTGCAGAGAAGGCCTTTGCTTGATCTCAATAGTCAGGGAGTTCCAAAATTCTTTTAAATGCAGAACAGGTATTATGTGGCACCTGTAGTGGTGCCAATTCTGCCAATCGAAGTGGTCAAGTTGGCACATGTGTGGTAAGGCGATCTCTTAGGCAAACTGGTTCAAAGTTGTTAAGGGCTTTATTATATGCCAATAGCAACACCTTGAACATGGCTCAGTAGCAAGGACATGCTCTACAGGGAACTGGCTTCATGTACCAGGCTCATTGGCAGACCAACTCTGTGTTACAAAGATGCCTGCAAACATGTCATGAAGGCTGGTAATATGAACCCCACCCTGTGGGAATCTCTTGCAGATGACCACAATGCCTGGAGACAGCCATGTAGTGTATCCACCCCAAAATAGGCAAAGAGATTGAAAGAAACACCTAGTTACTTTAAGTGAATTCAGATCTCCAGGTCCTGATGAGCTGCACCCAGTGGTACCAAAGGAGCTTGGGGATGTAATTTCAGAGCCTCTGTCTATAATCGTTTAGAATTCTCAGAGAACAGGTGAAGTCCTTGTGGACTGGAGGCAGGCACATGTTTTCCCCATCTTCAAAAAGGGGAAAAAAGAAGACCCAGGTAACTACTGACCGGTGAGCTTGGCATCAATACCAGGAAATGTGCTAGAACAGAAAATTAAACAGTCTTAACATGAGTCAGCAGTGTGATACGGTAGCAAAAAAAAGCTAACGCTATTCTAGGCTGTATCAATAGAAGTATAAAGTCCTGGGGACTTGGCTGTTGTACAGTGCACTAGATGGCGATAGTGAGCTATGCCAAATTCAATGAATTTTTCAAAACTTTTTTTAAAAAGCCTTTTCACAGTGTTTTTTTATATGAGAGCCAGTGTGGTGTAGTGGTTAAGAGCAGTGTGGTGTAGTGGTTAAGAGCGATAGACTCCTAATCTGCGGAACCGGGTTCGCGTCTCCGCTCCTCCACATGCAGCTGCTGGGTGACCTTGGGCCAGTCACACTTCTCTGAAGTCTCTCAGCCCCACTCACCTCACAGAGTGTTTGTTGTGGGGGAGGAAGGGAAAGGAGAATGTTAGCCACTTTGAGACTCCTTAAAGGAAGTGAAAGGTGGGATATCAAATCCAAACTGTTCTTCTTCTTCTTCATATATGTGTGGAGATTCCATCCTGGTCAAGAGAAGTCATAGTACCACTCTATTCTGCCTTGGTCAGACCACACATGGAATGCTGTGTCCAGTTGTGGCCGCCACAACTTAAGAAGGATATTGACAAGCTGGAATGTGTGCAGAGGAGGGCCACCAAGATGACCAAGGGTCTGGAAACTGAGCCTTATGAGGAATGGTTGAGGCGGCTGGGTATATTTAGCCTGAAAAAGAGGAGACTGAGAGGAGATATGATAGACATCTTCAAATATCTAAAGGGAAAGGGAAAATAGAGCAAGCTTGTTTTCTTCTGCTCCAGATTTCAAGTTACAAGTAAAGAGATTCTGACTAAACATCAGGAAGAACTTTCTGACAGTAAGATCTGTTTGACAGTGAAACAGACTCCCCCTGGTGGTTGTGGACTCTCCTTCCTTGGAGGTTTTTAAGCAGAGGTTGGATCGCCATCTGTCATGGATGCTTTAGTTGAGAGTCCTGTATTGTAGAGGGTTTTAGATTAGATGACCCTTGGCATCCCTTCCAACTCCATGATTCTGTGGACAATTCACAGTGGCTAGGAAAGTTCTGGCTGACAATGAGGAATTCTCATAAAAATCCATCAGAAGAATCCATGGAAATTTTGATCAAATGTAGAGTTTGCTGAAAAACAAAGCTGAATATACAAAAACCCAGTGGCAAGAATTGAGAGTAGCAGTAATGGAACAGAGGGAAGACAAATTCTGGGAACTGGTGGCCTGGGGTTAAATGAAGTAAGATAATCACAAGAAGCCTCAGTTCCTGCCTCTGACTGGGTTAAGTATTTCTCCAGTATATTTGGTGGTTAATCTGGGCAATCACATGTACCAGTAGTGTGTAAAGATTTCTCAAACCTCCCTGAATGGCAACCAATCTCCTGTATGAGATAAAGGACCATATTTTTTGCCTGAAATCAAATAAAGCTCGTAGTATATATTCTTCCATCTGAGCTATGTAAGGACTGCATAGAATGGTGGCAGACTAGAACGGTGGCTGGCTTATTTACCACTATAAACTCAACCAAATGCCTTCTGGAAAGAAAATGAGTATCATTTTCCCAATTTATAAGAACAGGGACAGGAATGTTCCACAAATCTATTAGCCAATTAGCTTGTTAGACATCTCAATGCTATATGCATGATATCTCATTCAAAAATTACTAGACTCATTGCAAAGGAACATTATTCATCAAGAACAAATGGGGTTCAGAGGAGAACACAGTACCATTGATCAGTGTTTTACCCTAAACCATATTAAAAAAATACTAAGAACATCAAGAAGAATCTTCATGTAGCCTTTATTGATTTTTCTGTTACATTTGACTCTATTAATTGAAATACACTGTGGGAGAAATGTCACATTACCAAAATCTACTGCAGACTTCTGCTATTGATCCAAGAACTATACAGCAACTCAGAAATGAGGGTCAGAGTAGGTTTAAATGGTGGTCTGACTGATGTCTTTAAAACATCATGAGTAGTGAAGCAAGGTTGCATTCTGGCTCCCACTCTTTAACTTTTATATTAATGATTTGGTGCCATATTTAGCGAATGCAAACTCCCCCTCTTGATGTATGCAGATGATTTAGTGCTCCTCTCTTTTCCCCAACTGGGCCTCAAAAATCTCTTGGAGGTGTTCCGCACATACTGTAAACAGGAATGCCTACCTATAAGTTACTCTTAAGACCAATATTATGACTTGGGAGTTGTGGAGGCCTAAGTATAGATGGTGTTTGGATCGGCAGGCTATAGAACAAACTCGCTCATTTAGATACCTGGGTGTACTCTTTAATGAAACCCTCTTTTGGAAGAGGCAGTGAAAGTAAATCATTGGGGCATTGATGACGTTCTGTTACAATAAGGGAGGGCAGCTGATTGAACCTGCCCTAAATATACTTAGTAGCAAAATGCTAACCCAAATGCTGTATAGTGTTGAAATTTGGGGCTCTGATTCACACTGGATGAAAGTTTAAGAAACTGCAGAATATTTCCCCCCATAAGCTATACTTTCTACCATAAGGAATACCAGCAGCTCTCCTTTGTACAGAATCTGAGTGGCCAACAAATAAGGCAAGAGCGGACTTTGCTCAGTTAAAGTATGCTACAAAAATTGCTACTATGCCTATTGAGCATTTTCCTGCTCTGTGTTATATGGAATTGAATTATAACCAGCTCTGGACAACTAAGGGATTGGTTTTTCTGGACAGAATCCAGAAGGGAACTGCAACTAATTAGAAACACCAGATTTTATCCGTGGTAGCCACTCGTAAGTATAGAACAATTTATATCTAGTTACCTGACCAAACTCTCACCAGCTTCCTTAAGAAATGTCTTTATTCAGCTGCATTTTCAAATGCTGGCCATTGCAGTCTTGGATGACTGCTACAACAAGCTCCCATACATAGACATTTTGTATTTGTAGTTAACATTAGGTAAGAGACATTGCCCCCTTCATGGATCACTGCCTTGCCGTGGCGAAGGGGCTTGAAGAACTCAGAGAAGCTATGAACTATGCCGAGCAGGGCACCCAAGATGAACAGGTCATAGTGGAGAGTTTTGACCAAACGTGATCCACCTGGAGGAGGAACCGGCAAGCCACTCCAGTATCCCTGCCAAGAAAACTCCATGGACAAAGACAACAGGCATATAAAAGTTATGACGCTGGAAGATGAGCCCCTCAGGTCGGAAGGTGTCCAACATGCTACTGGGGAAGAGCAGAGGACAAGTACAAGTAGATCCAGAGCTGATGAAGCGGCTGGGCCAAAGCCGAAAGGACGCTCAGTTGTGGATATGCATGGAAGCGAAAGGAAAGTCCAATGCTGTAAAGAAAAATACTGCATAGGAACCTGGAATGTAAGAACCATGAACCTGGGTAAGTTGGATGTGGTCAACATGAGATGGCAAGAATAAATATTGACATCCTGGGCATCAGTGAGCTAAAATGGACGGGAATGGGCGAATTCAGTTCGGATGACTATCATATCTACTACTGTGGGCAAGAAATCCGTAAAAGAAATGGAGTGGCCCTCATAGTCAACAAAAGAGTGGCGAAAGCTGTACTGGGATGCAGTCTCAAAAATGATAGAATGATCTCGATACGAATCCAAGGCAGACCTTTTAACATCACAGTAATCCAAGTTTATGCACCAACTACTGGTGCTGAAGAAACTGAAATTGACCAATTCTATGAAGACTTACAAGAACTTATAGAAGTGACACCAAAGAAGGATGTTCTTCTCATTATAGGGGATTGGAATGCTAAAGTAGGGAATCAAGAGATAAAAGGAACAACTGGCAAGTTTGGCCTTGGAGATCAAAATGAAACAGGGCAAAGGCTAATAGAGTTCTGTCAAGAGAACAAGCTGGTCATCACAAACACGCTTTTCCAACAACACAAGAGACGACTCTACACATGGACATCACCAGATGGGCAACATCGAAATCAGATTGATTATATTCTCTGCAGCCAAAGATGGAGAAGCTCTATACAGTCAGCAAAAACAAGACCTGGAGCTGACTGTGGCTCAGATCATCAGCTTCTTATAGCAAAATTCAAGCTTAAACTGAAGAAAGTAGGAAAAACCACTGGGCCGGTAAGATACAATCTAAATCAAATCCCTTATGAATACACAGTGGAAGTGAGGAACAGGTTTAAGGATTTAGATTTGCTGGACAGAGTGCCTGAAGAACTATGGGTGGAGGCTCGCAACATTATACAGGAGGCAGCAACTAAAACCATCCCAATGGAAAAGAAATGCAAGAAAGCAAAGTGGCTGTCCAACGAGGCCTTACAAATAGCGGGGAAGAGAAGGCAAGCAAAATGCGAGGGAGATAGTGAAAGATACAGGAAATTGAATGCAGATTTCCAAAGAATAGCAAGGAGAGACAAGAAGGCCTTCTTAAACGAGCAATGCAAAGAAATAGAGGAAAACAACAGAATGGGAAGAACCAGAGATCTGTTCAAGAAAATCGGAAATATGAAAGGAACATTTCGTACAAAGATTACCATAATAAAGGACAAAAGTGGTAAAGACCTAACTGAAGCAGAAGACATCAAGAAGAGGTGGCAAGAATACACAGAGGAATTATACCAGAAAGATATGGATGTCTCGTACACCCCAGGTAGTGGGGTTGCTGACCTTGAGCCAGACATCCTGGAGAGTGAAGTCAAATGGGCCTTAGAAAGCACTGCAAATAACAAGGCCAGTGGAAGTGATGGTATTCCAGCTGAACTGTTTAAAATTTTAAAAGATGATGCTGTTAAGGTGCTACACTCAATATGCCAGCAAGTTTGGAAAACTCAGCAGTGGCCAGAGGATTGGAGAAAATCAGTCTACATCCCAATCCCAAAGAAAGGCAGTGCCAAAGAATGCTCCAACTACCGCACAATTTCACTCATTTCACATGCTAGCAAGGTTATGCTTAAAATTCTACAAGGAAGGCTCAAGCAGTATGTGGACCGAGAACTCCCAGAAGTGCAAGCTGGATTTAGAAGAGGCAGAGGAACCAGAGACCAAATTGCAAACATGCGCTGGATTATGGAGAAAGCTAGAGAGTTCCAGAAAGACATCTACTTCTGCTTCATTGACTATGCAAAAGCCTTTGACTGTGCCGACCACAGCAAACTATGGCAAGTTCTTAAAGAAATGGGAGTGCCTGATCACCTCATCTGTCTCCTGAGAAATCTCTACGTGGGACAAGAAGCTACAGTTAGAACTGGATATGGAACAACTGATTGGTTCAAAATTGGGAAAGGAGTACGGCAAGGCTGTATATTGTCTCCTGCTTATTTAACTTATATGCAGAATTCATCATGCGAAAGGCTGGGCTGGATGAATCCCAAGCCGGAATTAAGATTGCCAGAAGAAATATCAACAACCTCAGATATGCAGATGACACAACCTTGATGGCAGAAAGTGAAGAGGAATTAAAGAACCTTTAATGAGGGTGAAAGAGGAGAGCGCAAAATATGGTCTGAAGCTCAACATCAAAAAACGAAGATCATGGCCACTGGTCCCATCACCTCCTGGCAAATAGAAGGGGAAGAAATGGAGGCAGTGAGAGATTTTACTTTCTTGGGCTCCATGATCACTGCGGATGGTGACAGCAGTCACGAAATTAAAAGACGCCTGCTCCTTGGGAGAAAGGCGATGGCAAACCTAGACAACATCTTAAAAAGCAGAGACATCACCTTGCCAACAAAGGTCCGTATAGTAAAAGCCATGGTTTTCCCAGTAGTGATGTATGGAAGTGAGAGCTGGACCATAAAGAAGGCTGATCGCCGAAGAATTGATGCTTTTGAATTATGGTGCTGGAGGAGACTCTTGAGAGTCCCATGGACTGCAAGAAGATCAAACCTCTCCATTCTGAAGGAAATCAGCCCTGAGTGCTCACTGGAAGGACAGATCCTGAAGCTGAGGCTCCAATACTTTGGCCACCTCATGAGAAGAGAAGATTCCCTGGAAAAAACCCTGATGTTGGGAAAGATAGAGGGCGCAAGGAGAAGGGGACGACAGAGAATGAGATGGTTGGATGGTGTTCTTGAAGCTACCGGCATGAGTTTGATCAAACTGCGGGAGGCAGTGGAGGACAGAAGTGCCTGGCGTGCTCTGGTCCATGGGGTCACGAAGAGTCGGACACGACTAAACGACTAAACAACAACAACAACAAGAGACATTGCTCATTATCTGTTAGCCTGCTCCTTACATAGAGGTGCAAGAGATCACTTTCTGACATCTTTGTTCACACAAGTAAGCAAGGTACACCATGGCAGAAATGGTCCAGTTTCTTTTGAGTGACAATGACAATAATAGCTTTAACATATAGAGTGACCATCTATGCACTGGCTGAATAAATAAATAAATCAGGATATATTGGGGTCCTCATCAGTCCCCAATAGTTAAGGTGGTTCTGTTAGACTATGAACCACCTGAAAGAGTCTCCTAGTAGTTTTCTGCAGATGCAATAGACGTGGTGAAGAAAGTTATTTTCACTGTCGCTATTGCCACTTGCTAGGCTTGATGCTGAGTTCTAACCCGTGTTTGGTCAAATTTGGAATGAGTTTTTCACCACCGGCACTCTAGCTGTCTCAGTGATTGTTTCAGCACCCTCAGCTTCAGGGATAACCATGAAGCCATCTGGTCTCCATGCACTCTTGGCATGAAGAGGGAATTGTGTACAATTCCTGATCAATATACATAATATCCAGCAGGCCATGGGGAATCTGCATGTTTCAACTGCATTTTGTACATTCTATGGGTAAGCATAGTGTCAGTAAGCATTCATCGGTAAGCATAGTGTCGAAGAAACATAACTGTTTTTCTATTTATTGTTCAGAAGTGTGCAATATGTGAGAGGGAGTAAGTTGCCTATATGGTTGGGCTCTTGCAACATGTGGGAAAGTGAATACTCCTTTGTAAATCAGGGCTTTGCATCTTGGAATTCTACTTGATTCTCATAGTGAAATAATCTAACCTTAGCTCTTACTTCAAATTACTTCCAAATCGGAGACCAAAGCATGGCTTCTGATTGGCTGCAGGAAGCTCCTATAGCCAATTGGAAGCCGTGGAAGCCCCGTTGGACGTTCAGCTTCCAAAAATAGTTCACAAACTGAAACAGTCACTTCTGGGTTTGCAGTGCTCAGGAGCCAAAATGTTCGAGAACTAAGCTGTTCGAAAACCAAGGTATGTAACATTTTTAGTCGTAAAATTGGAATATTGGTTGTTCCAGGTGCCACAGCCGTCTTCTGGAAGTGGGGGAAGAAGGGCAGCTATTGTTCTTTTCCTTTCCTCAAACATGCATTTAAGAAGAATGAGTAGATCAGATAAAGAGCTGAGAAATTATACAGTCTTGAGATACATACACTCTCTTGCTCTCGTTCTGACACTGTCTCTTTAAAAAAAGGGTGGGGGAGAAGTGGCAAAACCAATACAAACCAATAATAACTTCACATTTGTAGAAGCACCCTGAATGGCTCTCCAAAATATTGAGACACATCCAAGTACATTTTAGCAGAGCTGATATTTATCAAAAGTCATTTGCCCCCAAGCAGATGCTCTCTTTCATTGTGCTCCTGTCACAAATGACTAAGATATATGACAGACAATTACAGCATCTGTAGTTAGCAGCCTTATAATCAACACCATTATTTAACGATTGGTGCAATAAACTGACTCCTGTTACTGTTTATCAGATATCAGTCAGTTCTGGCTATTTTCTTCACTTCTCTGTCACCTCCCGCTCCCCAATTCACAGTATGGGGCAACTACTGTCTTTTAATGGCTAGTCTGAAACAAGAACCATTTTCACATTTTTTACAGACTGCAGAGGCAAAGAAAAAGCAACCAATTACATGTATATGCTGTGCCCTCTCATTTGAGTATGTGTGTGTAACTATCTGTGCAGTCTCTTAAAACCTCTCTGGGAGAAGAGTGGGAGGAGAGAGAAACAGAAGCTTTTACTATTGCAGATAAGAGCTTTTCTATTTAGTCTTCAGCATGGAGGGGGGAAAATGTCTGCTGTTTAAATATTCATGTAAAGAGTGAATAAAATGTTGATATACTGGATTAGTCACAGTCTCCTGCAACATGACTTCAGTTTGCTCACGAGGACGGAGAGGGGGAAATCATTCATTCGTTTAGAGCCTCCTCCCAAATGTGCTTGGTGAATGGCACAATAATGATAAAGTTATTGTTAAAAGATTGAGAAAATGGGACTTTTTTTTTAGTAGTTTACAAAATAGGATACCAGATAACTTTTTCTTTTAAGGCATTCATTGCTATAAATTTTATGGGAGGCACCTGCAGTAGTGTATAAATGAAAGTATAATTCGAAAGTGTATAAATTCTTTTTCTAGAATTCACGCTTCAAAAAACAAACATCTCAATTTAGAGTTGCAGCTTCTCTGTACAGGTCCCAATGAGACTGAATGGAGACTGTGTAGCAGCAGCCCTTGGTGAATTTGTGGGAGTCAAGATTGGCTTTTATGTTCTTGCATCTCTATTTATACCAGTGAACTAGAATAGTCATATGACAGGATCTTAGGATCAGTTCATTCAACGCATGGTACTCTGTTTCTGACACGACAGCACATCTGTTCCAAAATGGTGTTCTCTCAGTTGTGTGTTGGCATGCCACAGTTCAACCAGTGTTAGTAGAACTCAAGTAATATTATCCTGATTTAAGAACACACACCCCATTGACCATTTTTTATATTTTGGATGCAGGGATTTTGGGAGGGGAGAATTTGGTATGAAAGTATATTCAGTACATAAAAGTAATTACTGACAGTTCAGATGAGTGTTTTTTAAAAGTATCACTCAGAGTAAAATGCCAAAAATGTAATTTAAATATGTTCAAAATTAAGAGTCAGATTCTGAAATATTCAGTCCCAGTGTTATAGTTGTTTGTGCTGATCCTGGAATGCTTAAAAGATAGTTCATCTCTCTCATCCCCACTGGTGGATGCAACCTGCTGGGCTCTATGGATGATGAAAGGCTTTCCTTTCAGAAACAAAAACAAACTGAGCAGTGAAATTTACCTCCTAGAAGGCTCTGGCAGCAGTTTTCATTCAATATTATGCCAAAATTCAAAATGTGATGCACAGCATTAATAATGTTTGACTTTGGGCTTCAATATTTGACACAGATGTTCAATAGCCATTAACCAGAGTTGTTTTTTCCCCAGCCGGAACTCACCAGAGCTCAGTTCCGGCATCTTTCAGGTGGGCGCTTTTGCCATTATAAGAGAGCAAGGGAGACATTCATGGTGTGTTCTGGCACCTCTTTTTCTATAAAAATAGCAGTGGTCACGAGAGACCTAATGCAGCATTTGATAGTTAATATGCAGTGGTATTAGTATTTGACAGTTGACATGCCACCCCTGAGCATTTCCTACTCCAGGAAGGTTTTGATGACATAACAGAAAATGGTACTAAATAACATCTTTTCGTTTATCCTATGAACTATACAAGCATAAACCAATTCTTTCAAAGTTATTTTTTCATGTTTTAAGAGTGTATACATCAAGTGAGTATTTCAAGAGTGTAAAATAAGATCATTTTCTAAATAAATTATTTTGAAAGAACATGTCATTTCTCTTTTGAATCTAAGGATGCATTGGCAGGCTCTGATATTATGCATTTGATCTGCAGGAAAATAGAAAAGCAAATCTCCTCTTCCCCATCCTTCCCCCAGTATCATATTTTAGGATATTTTGGAAAAGGCAAATAAATGTGATTTTGGATTCTTGCCCATTTTTAGCAGTAGAAATTAAATGCTTGAATAAGATTATGCTTACTTGGCTTTGCATTTGATTTTTTTATTTTATTGTATTGTATTACTACTAGAGTGCCCATCAGTATGATGGGGTGCCAACTTTAGAACATGTTGTCATTGATCTGACTGCTCACCTCTCTGTGACTGAGTGACTCCCCCAGAATCCTTGACCTGCCAGTGGCTCAGCAACTGGGGGTTGAGTATCTCAGGGGTTGCACTGGCTTCTCTCCTGCATACTGCAAAGGAGCTCCCAACTCTGCCTTGCCTCATTTCAGATGGTGCTGGAACTCCACTCTAGACACAGGCTCTGCTGATAAGGTGTGAGGGTGGACATGAATTATAATCTAGGATGGTCCTACCATGAGACAAGATAGACCTACCAATAGAAACCTAACTTAAGCACATGTATGTGGGACCAAATGTCCTTGACATCACATTTAAACTGCACTGATGTGCATTTGTCTGTAATATTAGCGTGCCACGGGTCTAAGTAGCTGGGTGTATTTGGCACTAGTGTGCCAATAGGGTATTCTTTCAGTGACTCATTTTATTTCATGCATGACATCAAGAGGATTGCACCTTATACAGATAAAGTTTGTCATAAGCCTAATATCACATTAAAATACGGTATTTTTCTGTGTGTTGGACGAGGTTTTTTGACTCAAAAATCACGTCAAAATACGGGTCGTCCAATACGGATAATGGCATGGCGGGTGGGGGGGGGGAGCGGCATGCCACCAGCCTTTTGGTTGGTGGGAGTCCAGCTTCCCCTGATGCCGCAGGGAGTGATCTGGGGGGTGTTTCCTGCCTGCCACTCCTGACGGGAGTGCAAATTCACCCAATGTTGTTGCGTGTGAGAAGCACTCCCTGGATCGTTTCCCGTGCACGGCGGCATCGGGGGAGGTTGCACTCCTGCAAACTGGATGGCTGGAGGAAGTGCAAATTCACCTGATGCCACTGCGTGTGGGGAAACAATCTAGGGAGTGTTTCCTGTCCGCAGCTACGTGGGGGGAGAGGCTCAACAACTTTGGGCCATCTCCCCTCATTTTCTTAAAATTTAGTCCCCCAAAATGGGGAGGGGTGTCTTATACAAGGGGGCATCTTATGGATGGAAAAGTACAGTACGCCCCAAATGGTAAATTTGGATGCCTTTAAAGAGTAGTAACATTTTAATTAATTTGTGTTTTCAGTGCCTTTGGAATCTTTGCTTGGAGGACCAAAATGTATTGACTGTGACTGGGCCCTGCAAGAGCAGGAGAAGCAATGGAACATAGGCTGTTTCCACACTAGGACGTTTTTATGTAATTATTTTTGTATAAAAATATTTGTGGCATATACCGCTGCATCATAAAAATACACATTAGCGGTTTACAGCAATATTAAAACAAACCATCCAGTAAAATAATAGAAAGTTAAAACCAAGTTAAAACCAAAAGAATTAAGAACAATTTAATGCTGCTGAAACATTGCTTTTCCATTATTTGTTGGTGTTAAAATAATATTTCCACATGGCACCAAAGAGAGCACTGTTTTTCACATTAAACCCCACAGTACTCATCCACACTGTAAAGCAGGGTCATACATCCTTAGAAATGAAATGGGGGACATTTGCTTTGTTTTTACTTTTATTTTAATTTGGTACAATTCCACTGAACACCCCAGCAGCCTATCAGGAAAGGCCGGGGCGGGGGGGGGGGGTAGGGAAAGCTCCCAAACGACAGCAAATTGCATTCCTTGTTGCTGACCATGCAGCTGCCCCATTCCAGGGGCAGCAGGATTTTTCTCCCCACACCATAGTCACCCTCCACGCTGGCAGGTTCTCCCTCTGCCTCTTCACCACCTTGCTATGATTGTCTTTCTATCTTCCCATCCACTTTCTTAAGAAGTCTCACTTTCTAGAATCATCCAGAATTCCTGGTTCTTCCTCAGACCCTCTGGCTGGGTGAGAGACTTTGCTCTTGCCCAGGCTGAGGCTCTGAATAATTGGGAAATCTGGATGGCTGATGCTAGGAACATATACAAGGGAGAGAGGGAAAGAAAGCCATACTGCAGTCACTGCTGCTTTTACAGACCAGTTCTGTGGAGGTAGATTCCACTATATTCAGTGGGGTTTACTCCCGATAGCTTAGTGAGACTTCAGATTAAATATGCATAGGCTTGGGTTGCTTGCCAACACTTTGCGGCCCCCATTGCATCCTCATTGAGCTTTTCCAGGTGGTGCAGGACAGTTTACATTCTGGTTCGAAAGAGGTGACAGAACTGACAGTAGTTCACTGTGACTTGTTTGCAAAGCATTTTGAGGATAGAATTGCTTGCATTCATTTGCTGGGACCTTGACTCCACTGTTAGAGTAGATGAATCTTGAGAAGTATCTAGAGCATTGTCTAGTCCTGTTATGTTGCATGTGTTTCAGTTTGCAAGGCATGAGAATGTGGACAAGGTGCTTGGATTGGTCATGGCAACAGCTTGTGCTTGCCCCTCTTGACTGATAAAAACTAGCAGGGAGGAAACAACTAGCTAGGCCAGGGAGGTGGTTCATTCCTCCTTGCAAAATGGAGTGGTCCTTGCTTGCTTGAAGGAGGCAGTGGTGCAACCACTGCTCAGGAAACCCTTCCTGATTCAGAAAATCTAAGTAATTACTGGCCAGAAGGGAACTGCCTCAGAAAACTCCTCTGAGTATGAGACTGAAGTTGATAGTGAACAATACAACAGTTGTTGTTGTTGTTGTTTAGTTGTGTCCGACTCTTTGTAACCCCATGGACCAGAGCACGCCAGGAAGGTTTAGTTCCTTGATTGGTGGCTCAGTTTTGGCTTTGGGAATGCGAGGAGTAAAATAATGTATAGAAAGTAAAATAATATATAGAAAGAAATGCCCATAAAAACCTGTGATTAAAAAATACTGCCTTTAGCATACTCAAGAATCAAAGTTTTGTGTACCTTTTGTAGGAAATATATACTTTTTTGTACATTCTGCAATTTCCATATATAACTCCAATTTTCCCTTCTTGGGCACTGTTCTTGAGCGGGTGGTTGTGAACCAGATCCAGGTGCTCTTTGAGGAAACTGATTTTCTACATCCATTTCAATCCTGGTTTAGGCCTGGTTTTGGCACAGAAACTTCTTTGGTGTCCCTGTATTATGACCTCTCTTGAGAGAGAGAGGGGGAAAAGTGTCCTTGTTAATTATCCTTAACCTCTAAGCGATTTTCTATACCATTGAACATAGTATCCTTCTGGAATAGCTGTCTGAGTTAGGGTGCTTTGCAGTGGTTCCATTTCTACTTGGATTTTCATTTCCAGAGGGGGATGTTTGGGATTACTCTGGGCTCTGTGGAGCCTTCAAGGTGGGGTTCATCAGGGTTTGATTTTATCTCCCATGCTCTTTAACATCAGCATGAAACTGCTGAGTGGGGTCATCCAGAGTTCTGGAGTGCATTTCTCATCTCCCAAGCCTTTGGCTAATTAAACAATCTATTCTATGGTCTTTTAAACTGGGGCAGGGGGCGGGAAAAGGTATTGTTTGCTACTATATTATTGTATACTATAATATTATTATATTATTGCTACTATATTACTGGTATGTATTTCTTTGTTTTTATATTGTAAACCATGCTGTGATCCTCAGATGAAGGGTGATATAGATATTTAATAAACAACAACAATAACACAAAATCCTCTTCATAATCTAATCATTACTATGGGTGTTTTTATGTGTAATCAGCACAAATTCAGGAGTCAGGAGAAGGCTTGTTTCAGAAAGCATGCGCATGGAGAGAGACTACCATTTTGCCAACTTTTTAAAGATTTGTGCTGTCCTGCATTACAGATGACAAGTGGAAAAAATGTTGTGCTTGAAAATGTAGGCATTTCATGTCTATTAGGCTGGGCAGGTTGTGAAAAGTCAATTAAAAAAAGTATCAAATGTTATGTTCTCTCTCGTAAATGCTGCCTGTTTACAGGACTAGGTGTGCAAAGCTCAGCTTTGGGTAGAAAGCAATGGCAAATCCAGCACTGCATTAATGTCTCTCCCTGTGAGTCCAATAGATATCATCGGGCCCATGAGATACTTTATTTTCCATGTGTCAAGTTTTCATAACTACTTGGGACACACCTTGCGTACCTTTGTTATTTGCATTTTGTTTAAAGTGGCATTATGGATTGGGCATTCTCATTAAAACCTAGCTGCTTCTGATGAAAAGGTTGCCAAGGAAAGACTAGCTTAATTCAAACCAAATTGGGAAGAAATATAAGGATTTTTATTGAAGCACACTTTGAGGAAGTAGGAACATAGGGCTTGCAGCAAATCAAACTGTTATGTCACCTAGTATTGTCTACATTTGTCCATCTTAGTATGGGCACCCTTATGGGCACCTCTGCAGGATTTCAGACGAGCCTTTCTGAGCACTATTTGGAGATGCCAGGGATTGAAGCTAGGCCATTTTACCTGCAAAATCATAGAGTTAGAAGGGACCCTCAAGGATTATCTAGTCCAACCCCTTCAGTGCAGGAATCTCAACTAAATCATCATTGACAGATGGCCATCCAACCTCTGTTTTAAAGGAGAGTTCCCAGTTTCCCAAGGGAGTCTGTTCCACTATCGAACAGCTCTTTGTACCTGCAAAGCAAGCATGTAATCCACTACTAAGTTAGGGACTTTCTCCAGGAATGCTGATGGAAGATTGCTTCTTTATCCATTGACTAATTAGTTTTGTAATGGGTTTTATTTACATTTATTGTAGTTTGGTGGAGAAGACTTATTATCTGTGATTTTAATACTGGGCTTAACATGGAGAATATTGTGTTATTGTCCCAAAGGTCTTCGATTCTTCCTTTTTGTGATAGTGAATTTTTTTATTGTTTTTCTGCATCTATTTATGTACAGACATATTGCCCTTCTACTGCTCTCTTATAGGATTGTTCAATTCTACTAAGAGAAGAACCATTTAAGTTAATTCCATTATTTAATTTCAGTGAGTCTCTGAGTTTGACTAACATTAGATACAACCACAGCTTTTTGGATTAGGACAACTGAATTTACTAGAACTTCAATAGGGATTTGTGATTGTGGCATTGTATGACAAAAATTTATTACAGGCATGCTTCACTGGCTTGTATGTTGTGCAATATCATTTTATGGCCAGTACAGTGGTACCTCGGGTTAAGAACTTAATTCGTTCTGGAGGTCCGTTCTTAACCTGAAACTGTTCTTAACATGAGGTGCCACTTTAGCTAATGAGGCCTCCCGCTGCCGCCATGCCGCCACCGCACAATTTCTGTTCTCACCCTGAAGCAAAGTTCTTAACCTGAGGTACTATTTCTGGGTTAGCGGAGTCTGTAACCTGAAGCCTCTGTAACCTGAAGTGTCTGTAACCTGAGGTGCCACTGTGTGTCTTAAACGACATTGGTCTGGTGGTCTGGGTTTTTTTTGGCTCACCATAAATGTAACTCCTTTGCCCTGGCATATATAAGGAGATCTGTGCACAGAATCAGGCTTCTACATAAGTATCCCTTACTGGATGAGTAACCACAAATGTAAATCTGATGCATATTCAAATGCTCACCTGAATACAGATGCCACCCATCTTCAGTGGGTGGTACTGTCAATTGAATATGCATCTGGATAGACATCTGTTGCAATTAGTAATGCACAGCCACATGTGATTATAGCTCTGTCAGGGCTCTTGTAGATAATTGAGGATACTTCTTATGCAAAGAAGAAATACCCTTTCAAGTTTGTTTTGTTGCTACATAAGGTAGAAACTTTATTATATTCAGGAATAATGCATTTCAGTCCATAAATAATTGTAAATGAATGTGTGTGTTATATTATGTTACATACATAATAAGGACACGGGTGGTACTGTGGTCTAAACTACTGAGCCTCTTGGGCTTGCCGATTGGAAGGTTGGTGGTTCAAATACATGTAATGGTGGTGAAGCTCCCTTTGCTCTGTCCCAGCTTCTGCCAACCTAACAGTTCGAAAGCACAACAGTACAAGTAGATAAATAGGTACCGCTGTGGCGAGAAGGTAAACAGCATTTCTCTGTGCTCTGGCTTCTGTCACAGTGTCCCGTTGCACCAGAAGCGGTTTAGTCATGTTGGCACATGCCCCGGAAAGCTGTCTGTGGAGAAAACGCTGGCTCTCTTGGCCTGAAAGTGGGGATGAGTGCCACACCCCATAGCCTTTGACTGGACTTAACTGCCCAGGGTTCCTTTACCTTTACCTATATAGATAAAAAAATTAACTAAGAAATTGCTATATTGATAACTATGAAATCTGACTCCTACAAAGTGCATTGGCCTTTTAGCTTAAGATGTTTACGGTGCTAAACATTTTTTCTAATTAATTGTACATGTGCAATATAGAGATCTAGCTCCCTCTAGTGTATTAAAAACAAAAAGGCTAATTTAGCATTTAGTGCATTTATAAAAATAAAACTCTACTAGTTTGTGCATGCATTGCAAAATTGTTTCATTTTATTTGGAGAATAGTACACATTAGGTGGTTGAGTTTTTTATATGTACAGAAAAAATACTGCCATTGGAAACCAGATACAATCAAATTCTCATTTTAAATAGATTAGACATCTTTGTAGCAAACAAATGCTCAGAATAAAGCGATGTGGCTGTCATTACCTTACGAAGCGTTCATGGGTAGATTCCTCACTGCATTACCTTCCTGGATCTGATGTAGGCCACATGTCCAGCATTCTGTTCCCAGTAGCATCCAGACAGCTACCACTGGAAACCTATAAGCTTAGCTTGTCACATACACTGGTTGTTTGATCTTAGCATCTAGCAATCAAGATACTGTCTCTGAACCTGGAGTTTCAGCTACCATGACTCATAAATATGTCCTCAATGAAGTGGTAAATCAAATCAAATACCTTTACTGAAGTGGTATTTATTCACAGACATATAAAATTTAAATGTGTAGTTTATAATTTCAAAAAATGTGTGATTGTAACTATTAACTAATGTAGAACTTTTCATTAACAATAAGCTATGCTCTCTCTATTGCATTAATGCCCACAAATTCCCTATTATGTATATCACTGCTTAACTAAGATGATAAAGGAAGCTAAAAAACAAACTACCATACTGTTGTTATGCGAATCAGTGTGATGAAATTGTAGAGCCCCATTGTATGCTGAAGAAATGCTGTGGGAATTATTATTAAGAAGCTCATCCAGAAAACTGGATAAGTCAGTGACTGGGGGTGGGGTTTGGCACCATATGATTTATCTTCTGCACTGATATGATATTAATTTGTTGTTGTTGTTCAAGAGAAAACTCTCATTGTGACAACCTCCCTAATATGGCACTCCTAGACAGTCATTTACTTGTGTTGATTCTTCTTGTCAGCTGCAACGTCTAGCATAGCTTTCCATGTCATTCTTGTGTGGCGAGATTTCATACCGGTAATGGACTTTACCAAATGTATCCATTGCTGAGAGGAGGCTCTCCATATGATGAGGAGGATTCATATGACAAGTTGTGTTAAACATGACAGAGTGATGAGAGTTGCTATAGGAATAACAAAATGATTAAACTTTCCCTAAAAGTCTCTCATGTAATTTCATGTCCATGCCATCCTAATATAAGGATCAGATCTGATTTTTGTGGATTTCTGATTCAAATGTTTTACATGGCTATAAGCTACTTGGTTAAATAAGATTTGTGTGTGATAGTCAGGCAAGCAAAAAATAAATTTCTCTGGTTCCGATTCTAAGAATTCATTCTAGCCAGTACTGCACTGCTCCTGGGTAATCTGTATTCATTTAACTGGATTGTGTGGGATCCCCACTCCCCTCAGACTCCTCTGAGATGAATAGAGACTGCATGGAAACAGCTACTATGACTCATAGTTATTGCAGCCTCCATCGTAAATCTTCCAACACAGTTCCTTTAAATCTAAAAATAAACAGTGAAAAGCTGAATAATTGAAGAAGTCTTTAAAAAGAAAGAAAAGAAAATCAATACTGAAATTTTCTTTCTTCTTTTTTAGTAACTGTTCTACAGTAGGCAGTGAAATCATAAACAGAAAATTATAGCTTCATTCTAGGGAGTAAGAAGACTTATTCCAACAGATGGCATCAAAACACCGGTCTGAACTATATGATTGCTGATTGTTAATTGCTTCTGTAAAACAATCCTTTTAAACAGAGTAATGCATTTTATCACACAGATTATAGTTCTAAACATTTGGATTTTTCAATGTATGTTAACATTTTCTCCTTCAGTGTAAGATTTAGTGTTTGCATAATTATCAGATTAAACAACAGCGACTCAGTCCCCCGTCCGTCCCCCCCGCCTTAAGAGAAACGAGGACCAAAGGAAAGAATTATGAATTACCAGAGATGTTGGGAACCATGAATGAGGAAATCTATATATTGAATCAATTACTGAACTATTATATACTGCCTTAAGTACAAAATAAATAAAAATCATTTGTCACATCAGAAGTGAAGAATGACTAACATGGTATAGACTTTCTCTTGGGAACCTTCCATTAAAACAGACAGTTAAAAAATCAAAACTTTCTAAGTGTGAGAAATTGGTCAGGAAGCTTCTAAACAATTATTTTATGAAAAATAATAGAATCATAGGTTTGGATGGGATTTCAGAGGTTGTCTTGTCCAACCCCCTGCTGATGTAGGACGCCCACTACTATAGCATCCCTGATAGGTGGCCATCTATCCTAAAATGTCTAATGAATGATATTCTGCTGTCTTACAAGGCGGTCTGTCCCACTGTTGAACATCTTGTATTGTCAAGACATTCTTACTAATTAAAAAAAAATGAAAATTTGTCCAGTAGCACCTTATACACCAGCTAAGTTTGTTCTGGTATAAGCTTTTGTGTGCATGCACACTTCTTCAGATTCAGCACACGAAAGCTTATACCAGAACAAACTTAGTTGGTCTATAAGGTGCTACTGGACATTTATTTATTTATTTATTTATACATACATACATACATACATACATACTTTGGCTGCATCAGACTATCATGGCTACCTACCTGATTCTTACTAATATTTAGTTTAAATCTCTTTTCTTTCATCTGGAATACAGGCAATAAATTCAGCCCATCACCTATATTTTATTTCTGTTTTCTAAGGCATTAGCAAACCCAACCAGTTTGGTGTTGTCTGCAAATTTGATAAGCATTTCTTCCTACACCCAAGTCACTTATAAAAGTGTTTAACAACACATGGCCTGGCAAACAACCTTTCATCACTCCATTTTTCACCTCTCTCCAGGCTGATGAATATCTGTTAGGTATGGTCCATCAACCAGCTACAAATCAACATAATAGTATTGTCTAGCTCACATTTTACCATCTTGCCTACAAGAATATAATGGGGGCGTTACTAAAAACAATGGTGAAATAAAAATATACTACATCCGCATCGGTCCCCTGAATTACCAGGGTGGAAACTCTATAATTTTTTAAAAAAAGAATTTACCTTAGGCAGGGCTTTTTTTGTAAATGCTCATGAACTGACTCCTTAATGAAAACATCTGCTTACCTCTAGTTTCATAGTACTTCACCTGTTCTCCAAGAATTTTAAGGAGTGATAGACAGTGGCTCTGGGATCACACTACAATTTCCTTTAGGGCCCTACAAGACAATTCATCATGTCCTAAATACTTTATTTCAACCACAGTCTTTTGGAGCTCCCGTACCACTTCTTCCTTCTTGAGCTGCGACTCTTTTCTTTCAATAGTTGATCCAGACAATTTTCATTGTGTGCAAAGGGCTGCAGAAAAGTAACAGTGGGTGTGTTTCAGTTTGGTGCCTAGTGTCATTAATGCTAATGTTATCACACAGGAGTAAAGTCAGAAGTTTTAAAAAAAAGTTTGTGATTTATATTTCTCAATATTAGATGGCAGTAGAAAGAGTAATGGAAAGAAAGTAGAGAAGTTTGGTCCAACTCAGGACTGCATGACTGCCATGACAACCATGGGGTTGTGAGTGGATCATATGGATGGTGAGCTTTGAACTGGCTTCATTTGGGTTCATTTAGCCAGTCTGCTCCCGGATGGATTCCTGAATGATCTGGGCACTTTATGGAGAGCATGGCTCACATTCCAGTTGAAGCCCGTGTCTCACTATGGAATGGTAAGATTGTGAGGGCTATAGTCACAATTGCTCCTAGGTGCCCTCGACATCTGCAGGGAGCCAAGAAGGTTGGTTTTCAAAGCACATATTGATGAAGAACTATGCCAGACAATGGCTGGAATGCAAGTTGTGCAAATCTGAGGGAGAATTTGACAAAACACAGGTGGTAGCACAACATCATGGCTAGTAAACTTATTTCTCCACCTCCATTGCATCCTCAGTGAACTGAAATGGGAGAAGGGGTTGCTGAAAAGCAGCCCTTGAGAAGAAACAGCCATTCATTTAGAAGCTCACTATAAGAATTTCAAGAAGCAATTTCAAGCCAAAGTCATTGGTAACGAAATTGGTACCCACTTCAAAGTTGATGCCACAATTGATGTGGATCCTGCAGAGGTGTTTATAGCATCAACTAGTCAGGGATCCATTTAGCTCCCTTGTCCATTGTGGCTTTTAAGATTTAGTAGGGAGGGATGGCCTGAGTGGGTACAGAGAGTAGCTAATGCCTCACTTAGGGAGGGAATGTTGCCTGCCTCATTGGAGGAGGTGGTAGTATGTTCTTTCCTGAAGAGGAGAGTATATGTGAAGAATGTTCTTGTGCTCAGGTTTTGCTTGCAGGTTTCCTCCAGACATCTAGTTGACCACAGTAAGAACAGGATGCTGGATGAGATGGGTCATTGGCCTGATCCAGCAGGCTCTTCTTGTGTTCTTTTGACCCGTCTGGACACTGAGATTTTAGATAACTACTTCCCAGTGAAAATATTCCTTTCTTGGGCAACTGCAGGCATGCCTGGATGAAGATATTAGACGTTCAGATGTGGATACTGCACTTCAATAGCCTTGGTCACCCTGGTTGATAATCTTTAATGAAAGAGAGACAGGGGAGTGCTATCCTGTTGCTCCTGCTCAACCCCACAGCAGCATTTGATAGCATTGACCACAGTTTCATCCTGTCATGGCTCTGTAATGACTAGGGACACCATGTTACTGTGGTTTCATTCCTACCTACATTACCACTACCCAAGAATAGCATTGGAGGACTTCTACTCAGTCTCATTTATGCTATTGAAAGCTTGTCCATCATGCTATTTTATATCTATATGAAACTGCTGGGAGGTGTCATCTGGGGATTTGGAATGTAGCATCATCAGTAGGCAGTATGGATAGAAAATTATTGGTCCAGGAATTACGGAGATGACCTGTTCTGGATGGTGTAGCAGTCCCCCTGAAGGAAAATATATGCAGCTTTGGCATATTGATCTGAAGCTGTTGTTGGAGTTCCAGATGACTTCAGTGCTGAGGAGGGTTTATGCCCAGCTGTGGCAGGTTTGCCAGCTGTGACTGTGAGATTTTGACCAGCTTCGGCCCATCTGAAGCTGATACAGGCTCGTCTTATCTTGAGCCCAAGCAGAGTAGTCCACACAGCAGAAGGATAAGCAGTATGTGCCACATTCTTAACTTTATTTCCACTCTATGCTGAGAGAATACAAACATGCATCTTGCCTCTGTGAGAGCAGAGAAGCAACTCCTCTCGGAAACAAAGAACACAGAGAGAAGAGTGAAAAACAGGAAACCAGTGAACGTCACATCCAGTCTCCCATTCCCGTGGGAATCCAACAGTAACTTGGACTGTGGAATGCAAAACAATGTATTGTGACTGCAGATGCTGCTCAGTGAGGGAAATAGAAACCAACAGTGACCATTCCTGAAGAGTGTTGGTACTAGTGTACAAGGTCTACAAGTACTTGAAGGATTGTCTCCCCCAATACCTTCTGGCCCATGCTTTGAGGCAGGCCTTACTTCTGGTGCTATCATGAGGCAATGACATTAGGCAGAGCTTTCTTGGTGGTAAAACAGATATGGAAGGCCCTCATTTTTGGTTCTCACCCACGTTGTATTCAACTTAAAATGTTGGTAGTTAAAATACATTTTGGTAGTTAGGTACTCTTTTTAATGGGAATGGTTTATTGCCCTTTGTGTTGTCCTTTAAAGGTTGTTATTCTGTTCATAAATTTAACTATTGGTCTATGATATTTGTATTTTGTTTTAAGGTTGTTAGCTACTCTTGGCTATGGCAGGAGGAAGGCTGGTGTATCAGAACAATAGATTACTACTGTTTGGGCTCATTCACACTTCTATTTGTCCTATTATTTCTTTCATTTGTGCTGTTATTTCTAAGCATGGGTCTGAGGTTTCTATTTTGTCTTGCCACTTTCCCTGTTTACTGCTGAATCAGAACAAACTTCAGTCTATAGAAAATCCAATGGGTGTTTGTTCTGATTCAGCAGTAAACCATGGGTTTGCCTGGGGAAAGTGGTGGGACAAAAGAAAAGCCTCTCGGACCCATGTCTAGAAATCACGGGGCATATGGAAGTATCGATGAGCCGTGTTGCTGCTGCACATTTTCCTGTTCAGAGGGAATTTTCTTTTTGCTGCTTTATCTGTTGCCATTGTTTTTTGTTTCAGTGTTATTTTATTTCAATTTTTGCTTTTTATGTTATCGTTATCTTTTGTAAGGAAATCTGGGACATGAATTAGTTAAATGAAAATAAATAATAGGAAAAGCTTCACTGGCTTAATTTCTGCATGTTAAGGTACTGTACAATTAAAACATAGGAGCCAGATTTTGGGGGGAAATGGTAGCTAATAACAGTTTACACAGCTCTTGATGCTTTTCCTCTCAGATGAAAATCACAAATAGTCAAAGTTCAAAGGAACACAGATAAAGACCAGTAACGATATCAAAATATGTTGATGGCTGTCCCTGTGCAAATGTGTCATTTATGGGGCATTTATCTGCTTGTGATGCAGGATTCTAGGCTTTCAGTTTTGCTCCGCTACGTAGTCCCTCTTCAATGGTCAGCTGGCAACAGTGGGGTTAATTTACAAAGTGGGAGGGGGTCCCCATTGACAGTAAATCAGTAATAAATATGCAACAATTCAGTTCCATTTGCAGTCTCTAACATGCAAATGTGACTATCTTATATAATCCAATTATAAAAAGTCAGCGGTGCTCTCCCTTGCTGTTTCTAAGGTTTGAGTATCTAGTGGTATGGTTTTTTTAAAAAACTTGCTTACCTTTTTAAAAGCTATCTTTAGAAGCCTTTTAAATCAGATTTTGTAGTTGTTTTCAACATTTTAATACAGAATATTTTCTCGTGTTACTTTTTCTTTAGAATGCAGCTTTATTAATATAATTAGATTTATTTTATTTAAATATTTATAGACTGCAATTCCATATGAAATATTGCAGGGCAGTATACAACCTAAAAACACAGTGTTGTAATCCATATGTGTATAGGCAAGGAGTTAAATATATGAAGAAGAATAAGCAAGTTTTATATTAAAAAATGCATTTTAGGTGCTTAAGTATTTTAATGTGTTCCACAAGGTTTTTGGGGTAGGTATATATGGTAATAAAAAATGTACCTTAAGGACAGCTTCATAAAAATGATAAGATAATGTAAATTAGGAATGTACTCAACTGACTTTACACTGAGCTAAATGGACACTGATTGTCAAAATACATATGAAAAGCATGCTGAAACAAATGGCTAATTAGAAAAAGAGGAGAAAAAGAGCAGTATTTGTTTTCCTTCACAGCTTGGCCAAATAATGCTTAACACAAATACATAACTTATTTTGAAGGATCTGTTGTGTCAGTATTTGACATGTCTCTATCTCAGGCAACAATTAAATATATGTGCAAATGTAAATGCAGGCTATCTATCATTGTCCATTTCCTGGTAATGTAGCTTACAGCTTGCCTCTCCCAACAAGATCATTTTGCCAGCATGGCATTCTGGCTGTAAAAATGCATATTTGATTACCTCATCAAAAACCACTAATCCTGATGATGCCTTCCTTCAGAGAAGACCCATTGTTCATAATAGGTCAGTGGTTAGGCAGCTCTCAAAACTGACTTTGGGCTATACATTCTGCTTACCTACTGGAGCAAAAGTGATAGGTCCTAATGGAATTGTGGATCAGAAGTTGAGTGACGCATCAGGAAGCTCAACAAGGCAGCTGGTGAAGGGGAAGAAATAGCCAACTACTGTCATCTCTTACAGCCAAGTGGACTCTAAATGCACACTATTCCAGCATTGATGAAAACTGGTCACATTTTTCTTGAGACACCACTTTTTATTATTAAACAAAGGGACAGCTGTCCAAAGGGTTTACAATTCATGGATAACTTAGAGGTTACACCAAATAGGAAGTTAGACAAGAACGTTGTTGCATTTTTTAAAACAAGAACACAGCAGTAACATGCCATCAGTGGTTAGTGTGTTGGAATAGAACATTGGACACCAGGGTTCAAATCCCCACTCACCCATGAAGCTCACTGGGTGACCTTGGGCCACTCACTGCCTCTCAGCCAAATCCTCTACACAGTAGGGTTGTGGGGATTAATTGAGGGGGGGGGAACCATGTACAGTCACACCTCATGTTGCGTTCCGCTCTTCTTACGGACTTTCAGCTTACGAACGTGGCAAACCCGGAAGTGTTTACTTCCGGGTTCACCACCCACGCATGCGCAGAAGAGGCACTCTAGTTGCGGTCTTTTCGGGGTGCGAACGGCACCCCAAAATGGATTACGTCTGCTACTAGAGGTACCACTGTATTCCACATAGAGCTCGTTGGGAGGAAAGGTGGGGTATAAATGTGATAAATAAGTAAGTAAGTAAGTAAGTAAGTAACATAATAAACCCAAGATTCCATCCAGATACAATTAAGTCAGTGATACCTAGTGACTAAACTACGTAATGACATTATCTATACATTTTCCCTCTTTTGTTTAAAGAAGCCATTAAATAAATCAGTGCTGTTGAAATCTGTATGTATTCAGGTATTCAGTCACTCATCTCTAATCTTGAAGGCTTCCAAATAACTTGTCTAGAGCAATTGACAGTCTGAGTAGTAATATTGCTGTCAGTCTTACACGATGGCTCTAGCTGAGTCTCAGTAGATGAACTTGAGTTTTCAAACACCATTTGTGCATTCAGCGATTGTGCCTTCTTAGGAATAGGAAGATGGCATTTCTTTCTGTGAAGTATTCCACCCCTGAGTAAAATATGATCTGAGTGTTTCGTTTTTTCTTTGGACAGTAAGTGGAGTCTGCTATGTCTTTTCTACATCAAGTTTGAGATAAACTCTCTTGCCTGGAGTTAAACATGGTAGATCTTGCACTAAATTGTGCTGCTCATAACTTATTTTAATTTGGATTGAGATTCTTCTCTAGAGTTGGATTGGGTGGTTCTGATTTCTCTTGCCAGTAGCAATTCTGTTGAGCTATATCCTGCAGCTATCAGTAATGTTGACCTGTAGTGTAGAAGATCTGTATGTGGGTCAATCTATCATAAAACGTTATTTGCTATTGGTACTGCTCCCTCCGCCTCCCTATTTGCTTGTGGTTGGTCAGGGTTAGTGGTAACATGGCAAAAGTTGTAAAATGTCTGGAATGATGGGGGTTCTGCTGCCATAAATTAAGTTGCATTGCTGGACAGATACTCATCTGGAATACCAAAACAAATGAAGGTGTTCTTCAGTTAATCTACATTACTTCAGCGGGCAAGGTCAGGGAAAGGAATCATCTCAGTATACATAGAACAGTTGTTCATGGCAACTAAATACTATCAGCCTCAAATTTACACCCACCCGCTGCTAACTTTTCCAATGCCTATTGCGGAAGTTGAACCCCACAGATACTTGAACCCAAGAATTGGAATGAACTCAGGGCATCATGCAGACTGACCCCCCCCCAACCCTCCCTCACAACAATATGAGTTCTTAATTTGAAAACATTTCCCCCCCCCAAAAAAAACACATTGGCCTCTTTTAAGATATTAATATTACATATAAATTTGCCCAATTCTTAAATATCATAACATATACAACTAAAATATTGAGGAAAATGATATTGCAGACAAGTTGAGCAAATATCTCCACCTATCTTCGGGTCCTTGTGGTATCCACTGAAGATAGAGTTACCAAGCATATAGAACAAGTCTGCTGAAGACGAATTAATTTGTTCATAAATGACCAGGAGTTAGAGGTGAGCAGTAACATTGCCAAGTATGCTGATGATACCAAATTATTCCGAGTAGTTAAAACAAACAGAGATTACAAGAAGCTCAAAATAATCTCTCTAGTTGGTGTGGATGAGAATTAAAATGGCACAAATGGCTCAATGCAAGAAACTAGGTCGGTGAAGAAGCTCAGGGTGCAGTAGATGTGAAAAAGCTGAACTCCATATTGAGGATCATTAGGAAAGTGATTGAAGATAAAAAAAATAATATCATAATGCTAATGTATAAAATCTGTGCTGCGATCACACTTAGAATGCTGTGTACAGTTTGGGTCAATGCACCTCAAAAAGGTTGTTATAGAGCTGGAAAAGGTACAGAAAAGCTCAGCCAGAATGATCAAGGGGCTGGAGCAACTCGACTATGAGGACTATGGGGTTTGTAGTATAGAAAAAAGGTGAGTGGGGACATGATGGAGGTGTATAAAATTATACATGGTGTGGAGAAAATGGAGAGAGAGAAAGTTTTCTCCCTCTCCTAATACTAGAACCTGGCATTATTGAATGAAGCTAAATAGAGGGAGTTTTAGACAGACAAAATGAAGTATTTCTTCACACAGCATATAGGAATACACTACCACAGAATGCAGAGATGGTTATCAGCTTGGCGCTTTTAAAAGGGGAATAGACAATTGCATAAAGCATAAGGCTGTCAATGGCTACTGGTGATCATGATGGCTATATTGCCTCCAAGAGCAGTATGCCTTTAAAAACCAGTTGCTGGTAATTGCAAATGGGAGCGGTCTCTTACACATGTCCTTTGTGGGCTTCTCATAAGCATCTGGTTGACCATCTTGAGAACAGGATACTGAACTAGATATATTCAGGAATCTGTATTCTTATGTTCTTAATGCATTTATGTCAAAGTTATATCTGATTGTTCTGAATGACAATTCTAGCTATTTCAGGTTAATAAGTACAGTAATCACTTGTGTGAGAACCTTACACCACCAAATTATGGAGTTCACACTTAATCTTCAGTCTCTTTGGTCCAGTCTCTTTGGTCCAAGTCCAACATTCTATCCCATAGACAGCACTTCTCACAGCTAAAGACAGTACATTTTTAAACATGTTAGTAAGTTGGCAACCCTAATAAGCAAAAGTACTAGGGCTAATTCATATATCTGAAAACCTAGTAACTTAATGTTGTTTAGAGACATTTATGCTTATGACATAGTCATATATAATGCTTTTAAATAAATGTATCAAACCCATTTATTCTATTCTATCCCTTTATCCCTCTAACGGACGTGGGTGGCACTGTGTTCTAAACCACTGAGCGTAGGGTTTGCCGATCGGAAGGTCGGCGGTTCGAATCCCTGCGACGGGGTGAGCTCCCGTTGCTTGGTCCCTGCTCCTGCCAACCTAGCAGTTCGAAAGCATGTCAAAGTGCAAGTAGATAAATAGGTACCGCTCTGGCGGGAAGGTAAACGGCGTTTCCATGTGCTTCTCTGGTTCGCCAGAAGCGGCTTAGTCATGCTGGCCACATGACCTGGGAGCTGTACACCGGCTCCCTCGGCCAGTAAAGCGAGATGAGCGCTGCAACCCCAGAGTCGTTCGCAACTGGGCTTAACTGTCTGGGACCTTTACCTTTACCTTTATCCCTTTAAAAGTTAAGTAAAGTTGTGTTTGTAACCCAATTGGACTGAAAACATAAGTTGTGAGCTTTGCAGAACACAATGTATCTACTTGGGTAAGAAATAGTTCAAGCCTTAGCAACTGCATGGCAACCAGGATGGAGCAGTTACATTTGTGTGTTTGTTTGTATGTGAATGGATTCTTCTTACAGGAAGGCTAAGAAGTAGGTGTGGCCTAGTTGACGAGCAATGTCAGCAACACGAACTTTTCTACTTCACTATACAGAAACTTTGGGACTATGCAAAGGGAGAATATTCCTATGACTGCGAAAAGAATAGTACAGAGATCAACTTGGATTTTGGCATTGCTGGTCCTGTAAGCCAATGGCATTCTAGATCCTATGATATAGGACAGTGCTTTCCCATCCCATGTTCTGTCTCCAAGCAGTTCTGTCTCAGTGCCAATTCAGAGAAGGCACTTTGAGCAGAGAAGCCAAGGTGGAGAAGCAATTCAGAGAAAGCAATTTGGGGCAGAGAAGGCCTAGTGGAATGAAGAAGACGAATTGGGGAAAGGATTACAATTCACAACAAGGATTACAATTCAGAGAAACAGCAAAATTTCACAATTTCCTAATTTTGCTTGTTACAGGATCCCTAACCCAGGTCCTTGGTATGTGCCTCTGTGAGTAACCTCCATCCCCCGTGTCTGTGAATTAAGGTTTAGAAAGGGGTAGGGAAAGGGAAAGTTATGCTATGAAAAATGCTATGAAATGAGGCGCTGTAACTTTGAATCAGTTCTGTGTTAGTGTCTACCCTTTGGAACTCCCTCTCTCTGAACTAAGTCAGGCACTGACTGTGATTAGCTTTCTGCACCTGCTTAAAACCTACCTGTTTACCCAGGCCTTTGCTGGCTATTAATTCTCAGCTTGGAATAAAATATATTGCTGGGTATGGTGGGTGGAGTTTTACAGTGGTTTAATGTTTAATATGAAATACATTTTATTATATTTGTATTTTGTGAACTCTGGTTTCAGATGAAGAGCAATTTAGTAAGAAGGCATGTGGAGGCCTACCTACAAGTGCTATAAGACCACACATAATTGCACTGTTGTTTTTTGCCACCATGAAGGAAACTATATCAGGAATCAGTCAACTTGAATGACTGTGGTCAAATATGCTTCAGCAGTGTGAACAAATGCAATAACAGGAATGCCTTCTGCCGGCTACAAACTAGATGGCTGTAATGTGCTATAAAGACAGGTTGGAAACTTCAGCTGGTCCAGAACGTGCTTCCCAGAGTCCAGTTGTGGGTAGGGTGAGCAGCATCTCAATTATGTCAGTTGTCCTGTACACTGGTGCGTTTTGGGACTCAAATTAAAGTGCTACTTTTGACCTTTAAAGCCCTAAACAGTTTGGGTCTAAGCTGCTTATTGAACTGCCTGCACCCATGCCATTGTGTCAACACTTTAAGGTCTGCTTTCAAAGATCTCCTTGTGTGGCTATCCCTTGGTCAGTTCCGTAGGTGGTCTCATTGGAGAAGTCATTTTTTGAGGTGACCTCATGGCTATGTATTATTATTATTATTATTATTATTATTATTATTTGAATTTCTATACCGCCCTATACCTGGAATTTCCATTCACTAGACCTGCATCAGCTTTCTGCATTGCAGGATTTTTGGATGCCCCTCAAGACTTACTGTATTTGTTTTTCAGATAACCTTCTAGGCACAACTGTTTTAGATCTGTGATGGTCTGCTTTTCCCCAATTCCGTTATTATTATTATTATTATTATTATTATTATTATTATTATTATTTATGTGTAGCACTGTTGAGTGGTAGTTTAAAGTTTAAAAAGTTTGAATTCTTTTTATCTTTTTATCTTTTTATTTTTTAAATGTAAGCTGCTTTGGATGGGCCCTGAAGTGTGGTCTTAAAATATTTTAAATTAAAAAGAAATAAATCACATTTATGTCCCATTACACAATATCAATTTGCACACATAAACAATCTGTTTCCTAGTTCATTTGGGCTTATGAAAGTTTTGTGTTAATATTAGGTTAGCGATGAATGCAAAATAATTGTTTCAGAGACTATATTCTGCATTGTTTATAATTTTCCTATGAACTACTTTTATGTATATTCATTTTAAATGATACTATAAGAGTTTTATATGTGAACATGCACACCCATTATTTTGTGTTTATTGTGTATGTACATAATTTAAAATTTATCATCTAATTCTTGTGGGACTTTGTCACCAATGAGAACATTCTTTTGATGCAAAGAATGACTGCTTACCTGGTCCAGAGGTGGACGGAGGTTGTTGTCCAGGGCAGCAGCCCCTCACACACTTGGAGGGTGAAATGACTGTTGGAATGCCTCCCTGGCCAGCCACTGCCTTAAAGTTTGAAATTGCCCTATCAGGGGCCAGCTGGGGTAAGTGGAAGTCTCTGTCCAGAAGACAATCATGGGGCAGACGGGCCGTAGAGTGTCCCTCAGCAGCCTAAAGAGGGCCACCTTAGTAGACCCACATCTTGAATGACCTCAGGCATGATCCTGCTTAAGCATCAGCCCTCCATCTGGAGGCTGATGATGGATTTATACCCAGTACCTGAGCCAAAGCCTACCTATATATGTAATCAATAAAATTTGTGGCCTATTTTAAATCCTGTAACATTGTCCCGTCAGGTTTGTTTACACTTGTTGATGCTTGGGTTTCACCCTCTGGGAGGGGGGCACTGTGGGTGGGCCCGTTATAGATATGTATATATTTATAAGCAAACATTATAAAAATTAAAACTCATTTGTTTCAATATCAGAGTAGATGTGAGGGTGGATCCATATCAGAAAATCTTATAGCCATTTTCATTATGCATGGTTTGGTAAATAATATCAGTTTAACTGCTCAGCTATACCTAGGTTGCCTAGTAGGGGCTCACTCCTGTCTATGGCTCTTTTTTTCTGAGAAGAATACTGGGAAATGTCTTACAGCAGTGCCCCTGTTGTAGAGAAATTTAGGGTAACTAGCTGGATAAAAAGCAGAGCTGTACAACATTTGTGCCATCTGTTGTTGTCAATGCTTGTGGTGCCATTAAAATTGTTAAATGAAAAACAAACCTGAAAAGCTTTCTTTTTATTGCCCCTAGATGTTTTCATCACTGAGTTGTATGTGTAAGGTTGCTTTAAAACATATTTGTTTCCCCATAAAACTCATTTCTGTGATGCTCACAATGCTAGTCTAGGTTAATTCATGGGATTTTTTTATTTTCAAAAAACCCTTCCCCTCATTGAACATAGGGTTGGCTTTATACTAAAATCTCTTCTGTGGGCAGCAGGCATTGTAGTCCTTAGACATTTATTCAACAAACCAGCAAATACTTCAAAAAACACTTAAAGTAAGCAGTACTGGAAGGTTTAATGGATTTAGTATAATTGAATATAAGTAGCAATGGACTGGGTTTTTTCAAGATTTTTCAATGTTTCATGTCTCTATCCTAATGGGATAAATGACACTTTTTATTTTACCATTACTCTGTATCAAGTCTCCTATGCCTAATGTTAAATAATTCCTCAAATCTTGATTTACTTGACTGAAAAATGACCCTGAGCATAAATTCGAAGCAGTAGAATGCTAAAATTCCTTGATGTTTCCCATTCTTTTGTTAAAACAAGAACATGGTGTCTTAAATCAGCCCAATAATTTGGGATGGTAGATACTGAAACAACTAATTTTTCCTCTCTCCTGTAATCTGAATAGACTTCAAAATGCCCACAAAGCACAAAAGTGTGCTGGTTCATATAATTTGTTAGCAAGGATAAAAAAGGAAGAAGAAAGGAAATGATTTCCTAAGCGTGTGAATCAGCCCAGCTTTAACAGATATTTTTCTGTCATGTGCAGCCTGAAGGCTTATGCCTATCGGAGCTTTATTTGACAATTACCACTTGCCAGCATAATTAAATGATAATTTATAAATACTGAGAGAGCATTATGTGGAAGAGCAAATAGGTGCTTATCAGGGCATTGAATAAACTCAATCTGCCTCACTGACAATTTTCATCTCTTATCAGGGTTGTTAACTGCACACACTCTCTCCCACTCTCTCTCACATTCTTTTTTGTTTGATAACTCTTAGGTCGATTGTATCTACCTGTCTCTGTGCTACTTTCTTTCCTCCTTATATTTCTGGCACAACATAAATATATTTCAGCTATTTATGCAGCTTTTACAATCAATATATTTCTTCTTTAAAAAACAACAACAGTTTATGCAATACAGGAAAATGAATGCAATTTTATGTTTATGAAATAAATCTGCAGGTTTTAGAACAAAAGGCTACTGTTGCTGAAATACATAAGAAATATTTTAGCTAGTTGCACTTGCCCTTTATTACAGTTCTTTGAGTTCCTTGAGTCTTCAACCTTAATATGTGTGTCTAGGAGAGAGAGTAAAAGAGAGACTGATATTTCTGAATAAGAAGAATGTGTTCAAATTTGCAGATAAATTGGTGAATGCTCATTTTCTCTCTCAACAGAGAAAATGCTTCATTCTCGTAGAGGGAAATGACACTGTGTAGTCATAACATTGAAAAGACGTTGTTTGCATGTTGGATGTAAAAATTGCCAGGAAAATAATTCTGGAGGGCTTGTATCTTTTGTCCCGTCAATATTTCTTCTCTAGCTCCTTAAGTTATTATAAACAGCGGTTTCTGCAAACGAAGGCAGGCTACTATGCAATAGGTAAAAACACAGATTGATGCCAGGCAATTTAGATTAAACCTATAGAGGGGGGAGAGGGAGGAAAGTGTGTGAGGAATCCTGTATTTGAATAGAAACAAAACAGCTGAATGGTTAAAAGCGCGGGGGGGGGGGAATGAAATTCCATGCCTTTAGAAAAAGCATGTAACAGAAAAGGAAAGGAGGGGGGTAAGGAAAGCAAGACACATTAATAGGCCACAGAGACAGAATTTTTGTTCTATTGTGGAATTAACTAATGGTAGGAACTTCTGATTAGGGTTATAGTGGTTTGAGTGAGCAGAACACCGCCAGCTTAACTGGAAAAATAAAGGGCTTCTGTGTTTAAAGTTGTCAATTCTGCAAATCATTCACCATTTATTAGTTATAAATAGTAATTATTTGCTTCCCCCACCCCTTTGCCCCGACCTGGAAATGATCTTTCACATTCAAATATTTAAATATACACTCCTCTAGCCATTCACAAAAACAACATCCTAATGTTAGAACAGGTTTTTGAAGAAGGAAATAATTTGAAAGTGGTGGATTAGTTTCCACCTTTTGAAACGCAGTGCTTTCTGTAATCTTCAAACATTATTTAGGATAATGGAAGCCATCATCCTGGTTCTCAAATGTTAGCACTTCCATTAGAATTTCCTGCTACCTCTTATTTTTTATATTAAAATACAAGGCTTAAAAGGTATTATCTTACTAAGGGAGGGCAATTGTACAGATGATTTGATTGAATAAAGGGAAGAGCTGTACAGGCCTTTTAAGATCAAGGATGTATTGATGGAAAGCTATCATTAGAGACAATTAATGTTCTCCAAGGGAAGAAATTGATTATGGACAGAGATGGACCCTAAGGAGGAGATATGTCTTAATGCTTCAGGGCCTTAAGGATTAGACTCTATTCACAGCATCTGCATTTTTAACCCTTTTAAAGGACTTGGAGTCTTACAAAAACTACCTAGTGCTGAGGAACGAAAAACATGTGCTTTCACTTTACTTCAGTGCATGTATATGTTAATCTGTTAGCTAGTTTAAATGGTTGTTTCTTTAAGTTGCTAACATTATACTGAGCAGCATTAAAATGCCCAGTTTTATACTGGTAGCTGAATATGATGGTTTGTATAGCATAGGATTATTATACTTTTCTTCTGGTTTCCATTTGGATGTGATCTTCCAACACCTAGCGCCTTGGGAGATACGGTTTGTGATTAAGAGATTTCTCCACCCACCATCGTTTGCACCCTGAGGCTGGCTTGAGGTAGAAGGCTTACGTTCCAAGAGGTTAAGCTAATTTGAGTGCGGGGAACAGTTCCCATCTCAAAAATATTGGATAGGGGAAGGGGGAATACAGAGCCCAACAATGTCTTTCTTTACCTTTAGTACTCTGGACTAAGCTTGAGTGAGTGAGTGAATTAATGAATAAAATTTATCCTTTTACTTGATACCTGGTGAGATTTACATAAAATCACATTTAAATCCACAATCTTAAACCTATTTTAAAGAAAAGGGAAACAATAGGGAAAGGTAAAAGGTATTCCAAAAGGAACTGGATAGAAGCTACTTGCGATTTTACCTTTGTATTGGGAGAATTAAGCGAAGTTTACTTTTAAAATATTTATTTATTTAGGATGCAGTTCACTATGCTCTTGCATAGATTCCTTTAATTTCAATGGGAATTGTGCCAAGGAAACTTTCCAGTGGATTGAGCCCATGATTTTGAATGCCGTAAATAAAAAAATTATGAAATTGTCCAGTAGCACCTTAGAGACCAACTAAGTTTGTTCTGGGTGTAAGCTTTCGTGTGCATGCACATTTCTTCAGATACACTGAAACAGAAGTCACCAGACCCTTATATATAGTGGGAGGGTGGGGTGGGGTTTTTCTAAGAAGGGTAGTAGGAGATGGGTGATTGACTCAATGGGTATGGTAAACCTGTTGATGACTGTTAACGACTGCAATTAGTCCTGCAGGAAAAAGCAAGGGATAGTATGCAGATGACCCAAAAATAGCTTTAGCATATGTATTGAGATAAGAATCCAATGTTTTTATTCAGACCAGGTCTCTCCATAGTTTTCAGTTTAGTAATAAATTGTAATTCAGCAACTTCTCTTTAAAGTCTATTTCTGAAATTCTTTTGTAATAAGACAGCTGCTTTGAGATCCTGTATTGAATATCCTGGGAGACTGAAGTGTTCTCCTACTGCCTTCCCTGTCGTGATCCCTCATGCCAGATTTATGTCCATTTATCCTTTGGCATGGGACACGGGTGGTGCTGTGGTCTAAACCACAGAGCCTAGGGCTTGCCAATCAGAAGGTCGCGGTTTGAATCCCTGCGATGCGGTGAGCTCCCGTGGCTCGGTCCCTGCTCCTGCTAACCTAGCAGTTCGAGAGCACATCAAAATACAAGTAGATAAATAGGTACCGCTCTGGCGGGAAGGTAAACGGCGTTTCTGTGCGCTGCTCTGGTTCACCAGAAGCAGGGCTTAGTCATGCTGGCCACATGACCCGGAATCTGTACACCGGCTCCCTCGGCCAATAAAGTGAGATGAGCACCACAACCTGGACCTAACGGTCACGGGTCCCTTTACCTTTATCCTTTGGCGTAGCAAATTAAAGATATTCATAATAATGATGATGATGATGATAATAATAATAATAATAATAATAATAATAATAATAATAATTTATTTATACCCCACCCATCTGGCTGGGCTTCCCCAGCCACTCTGGGCGGCTTCCAAAAAAATATTAAAATACTGTAATACATCAAACATTAAAAGCTTCCCTAAACAGGGCTGCCTTCAGATGTCTTCTAAAAGTCTGGTAGTTGTTCTCTTTGACATCTGGCGGGAGGGCGTTCCACAGGGAGGGTGCCACTACCGAGAAGGCCCTCTGCCTGGTTCCCTGTAACTTGGCTTCTCATAGTGAGGGAACTGCCAGAAGGCCCTTGGTGCTGGACCTCTGTGTCCGGGTAGAACGATGGGGGTGGAGACTCTCCTAATCATTAAATAATAGCAATGCCTTCAAAATTATCCTTAGAGACCAGGTCAATTCATGTCAGATCTGTTAAGGACAGAAAGTTCATTAACACTGAATGATAAGGTAAAGGGACCCCTGACCATTAGGTCCAGTAGTGACCGACTCTGGGGTTGCGGTGCTCATCTCGCTTTACTGGCCGAGGGAGCCGGCGTACAGCTTCCGGGTCATGTGGCCAGCATGACGAAGCCCTGCTTCTGGTGAACCAGAGCAGCGCACGGAAACGCCATTTACCTTTCTGCCGGAGCGGTACCTATTTATCTACTTTCACTGCGTGCCTTCAAACTGCTAGGTTGGCAGGAGCAGGGACCAAGCAAAGGGAGAACACCCCATTGTGGGGATTCAAACCGCCGACCTTCTGATTGGCAAGCCTTAGGCTCTGTGGTTTAACTCACAGCACCACCCGCGTCCCGCAACACTGAATGATACTTACTGAAATTCTTTGGAATTTGAAATTGGAATTGACAAATAGAAAGTATGAAAGTAACAGTATTAGCAAAGCAAATCTGCTACTGCTCTGGGACCTGCATAATCACATGATGTTAGGCATGTAGCTCCAGGCTGCATCCAGTTCCTGGGGCAACATATGTGGTTCCTGTCATTAGATCTTGAACTGTGAGTGCAGTCTCAACTGGATGGCTGGTGGTTTTAGCATGAGCACTGTTGATCAGCTGTAAAGAGAACTTACCGTATTTTTCGCTCTATAAGACGCACCAGACCACAAGACTCACCTAGTTTTTGGAGGAGGAAAACAAGAAAAAAAATATTCTGAATCTCAGAAGCCAGAACAGCAAGAGGGATTGCTGCGCAGTGAAAGCAGCAATCCCTCTTGCTGTTCTGGCTTCTGTGATAGCTGCGCAGCCTGCATTCGCTCCATAAGACGCACACACATTTCCCCTTCCTTTTTAGGAGGGAAAAAGTGAGTCTTATAGAGCAAAAAATACGGTAATTCAGTCTATTTCCCCACCAAACAAACCCCAAACCCCTGTGATTTTTTTGTTTGTAGAGATGATGATACAGATCCTTTTGAAGTACCTGTAGCCAAGGCATGCAGATACACAGACAGACACTCACACACACACACACACACACAGAGAGAGAGAGAGAGAGAGAGAGAGAGCAAGACTGGGATCAACTTTTTACAAGACAGTAGAGTTAGATTATGCTGACAATTTACATATGACCTTTCCTCTTCATCTTTGTTCTGAAAACAAATTTCATTTTTCAAAATCTGGAAGTGAAATGCACACTGTGAAAATGAGAATACATATAATTATCTTGAAATAAAAGCTTCTTTTTTACTTTTAACATGCTTACCTAGCAATCCTGTGCACACTAATTTAAAAATAAGCCCAAGTGGACAGAGTTGGAATGACCTTTGAGTATAGGTGCCTAGGGTTGCAATGTAAATTTATTTTGGAATGAAATGCTGTAAATACAACATTTAACTTTTTTGTTGGTATGAATTAAGTTTAATTCCAAGAACCACTTTAATGCAAACCAAATTTAATGCAAAATAAGTTATGTTGGGTTGTATCTGACACTGCTGTTCAGTTCACATAACAGACTTGCACATTGAAACCTTCTCTTCCCCTTTGAGGGTGCAGCTCTCATGCACCCTCAAAATCTGCTCCAGAGGATTCTGGAGCAATGGATAAAGCCCATTATATATTTTCTCTTAGCGATTTTTTAATTTACCCTGTAGGCTTGTTATGTTTAGGGAAGCTTTTAATGTTTGGCACACTATTGTATTTTAATATTTTGTTGGAAGCAGCCCAGAGTGGCTGGGGAAACCCAGCCAGATGGGTGGGGTATAAATAAATAAATAAATAAATAATGCTTTATTTAACCAAACGTTGTTTAAGAAGACAGAAAAATATCCATATTAAAAAACATAAAAACAGTTAAGAGTTTAAAAATAGTGTATGCTGCCTATCAACTTGTGTTTACTCCTTGCTTTTCAATATTGTACTGTAAAGAAATGAAAAGTGTGTGTGATATATATATTCTGATGAATATTGCCTTAATATCTATCTTTATATAGGAAACCAGAAACTGTGTGGTCATCATTACTGTAAACTCAATTTGTTTATGCGCTGAATAAATTAGTATAGTCTATATAATAATATCTGTAGGAAGCACGCCTTTGGAGAGAACATGTCTATCATGCATAGCAAGGATAAGAAGATTAGAAGAAGAGATGAAAACAAACAGAAAGAGACTACTTATAAAAAAAAGAGGGGAGGAAGCACTGGGGAAGGACTGAAATCAAAGAAAGCTAATCGATTTTCTTTTTTGCACACTTTGTTTTCATTTCATTATAATAACCAGACAGGGAGGAAGGTAACGAGAGAGGATATCAGTGGGCAGCAAGCAGCTTCACCTGCATTTCTTTTCCTTTTCCTTTTAGCAGTGAGCGTTCTTTAATTGCTAGGTTAAAAACAACAACACTGCGCACACATACGTGCACACACACATTTAAAACTGGTAACATATGTTGCTGTCAGCATGTATTTAGCACCTGCAGAAATGAACATGAAAAAATGTGACAGCACATAGGTAGAGCCCCCCACTATGCCAACTGTGAGCACTGTCAACAAATTTTACTTTGTTAATTTTTTCTTATTAAAAGGAAGGAGGGGGGAAATCCTGGAATCCAAGAAAAGAGCTGAGTAGTGCAGGTGTTTCAGGCGTCACAACAACATAATCTAGTGGCACAGAAGGGAAAGTTCCCTGTGGCTTGAGATTTTAAGTAATTCTGTAGCGCAATCCAGCAAATCCATGTGTGGGAAATACCGTATTTTTTGCACCATAACACTCACTTTTTTCCTCCTAGAAAGTAAGGGGAAATGTCTGTGCGTGTTATGGAGCGAATGCCTGCGGGTGGCGGGGAGGATCTGCTGCAGTCATGAGCAGAGGATCCATGGTTCCCCTTCCTTCCCTCCTCCATGGTTACAAAGCATGGATCCACATGGATCCTCAGGATTTTTGCATTGGGCTACTCCAAACTCACTGTCAGATCACATGTCTGTGGCCACAGCATGAACCACAAAAATCATATATCCACTATTTCATTTAGAATATTTTTTTTCTTGTTTTCCTCCTCTAAAAACTACGTGCGTGTTATGGTCTGGTGCGTGTTATAGAGCGAAAAATATGGTACAGCAGAGAAGTATTTGTGCAAGAGAACAGGATTTTCTCACTGTATTTTATTTATGTCTGGTTTTCTATACCAGCCTTTTGTCATTACTGTCGCTCAAATATTTCACTGACAGATTATTTTTATGCTACTGGTAGATAAAAAATAGTTATATGCTTGACATGGAGGAACTGGGGGAAATAAAGGGGCTTAGAGGTATAGGTGAAGGATATCTAGGTCTCATCCACACTTTTGCTTGACCCATATTTTGATCAAATTGTTTACTGATTAATTTGCTCATGTCCAAGAGCCTCACTCCTTGTTCCGCAGCCATACATTGCGAAAATCCAATCTTGTTTGCTGAATCAGTTCTTATCAGATGCGTGGAAAATCCAAAGAGAGGTTTTGTTTAACCCAGCTTCAATTCAGTGGGTAAGATCGAATTTTCGCAAGGCACAGCCATGGAACAAGAAAAGTTCTGAAACCTGGGTGAATTAACTGGTGCACAATATGATACAAATAAGGGTCAAGCAAAAATGTGGATGAGCCCGTAGAGGTATATAGGATGCAAGAAAAGGAATGGTACAGTATGATTTAAAGGGAGCAATATTATACTGGTCCTCAAGGACTGTTTCTCTTACCAGTTTGTCTCCAAACACCATCTGAAGATCTGCTGTTGACCTTGAGTCAGTATATCTGAAGGAACACTCATCCCCCCTACCTTTCTTTCCCAATGATTCACACATTATTTGTGTGTGAGAGTGTGATTGGGATTTATGATCTCTGTTTCATCACTTTGAGCAGTGTTTCCCAACTGGGACCCATATTACCCCCTGGGGCCCCCAGGATATTCCAGGGGGGGCACAGCATGAGGCTAGAGGGCCACACAGGGATGTGAGACGTGAATAATTTTTATTTTATTTTTATTCTGGTTAGTTGGCTATCTGCTTGGCCAATCACAAGTGGGTAAGGGATCAGTTCTATTCACTTCCTGTAAAACAGAAATATTGGTGGTTAACCTATGGGATTGCTGTTAGCGTGGCTTATAAAATACTTTGCATGCTAAAAAAATGCTGTAGAATTGCTTAACACTAAAATTTATTCGCTAACAGGTATACTTAATGAACATTATCATTTTGAACCAATGAAACACTTGCTTTTCATTTTAATGTTTTTCTTCTTTTCCAATCTCGGTATTAAAACTTATGCACAGTGGCAAGCACTATGCTTGGGAAATGGAGTGTGCAGAACTGGAGTGCATGGATTACCAAGGCACCATGTGATAGTGGGTTATGTTACCCGCAGGGGCTATTTGAAAATGTTCCACTTTATGGATTAGTCAGCCACAGTCACTGTGCAACTTGACCCAGTTGCTCCCATACAGATGGTGGGCTCTTCAGTTCTTATTATATAAGTCTGCAATTGTTTGATACTGTTAAAACTACACCTGCAAGCAATTCTGTTTTTGACATGTATGACACTGTAGACAACCAGGCAGTGGATCTTCAGGCAGGAATAAATGCCTGTCCAGAGTAGAGGATGTATGAAGAAAGTGTAATCAGGCTAGGCATATTTTAATATAGAGATGAAAAATGGGCAGAATAGTTGTTTTGAGATATCTAAGAGCTAACTATTGATTATGAGAAACAAAGAACTGTCACGGCCTGTGTCTCTACTTCCTCTGCTCCTTGTAAAGTCTTAACACAAATAATACAAGATGTGACTATCATCAGGCTGTATGTCTCAGTTGCCAAAAACTTCATCAGTTCAAGTGGTAAGATGCTGAACATGGAGCAGCAGCAACTCCATATATCTCAGTGTCCTTGAAGGAAAGGTAAGAAGTAATGGACTCAACTTGGATGAAAACAGACTTAGGCTGGATGCCAACGAAACACATTCTGAATGTTAAGGCTGGCTTTGTACTATCACTGCTAGTCTAATTTATTACTGCTTCTTTTCCATTGTTGTTTTGGGATAACTTTGTGTTGTATTGTTCATTGTCTACTCTGCGAATCCCATAGGCAAGCCCATGCAGAGCTTGTCTGAGGCCTGGGGTGGGAGTTTTGTTAGAATAAAGTTATAAACTCAAACAAGATAGCAGCCAGTCACTGGTGGGCCCCCTGGATGGCTTAGCCTTCTGAGGCCTGGGGCAAGTGTATTCAGCTGCCGCTCACTTCTGAACGGGTCTGCCCACAAGACTATATGATGTAGGTTCCCCAACTTCCCACTTGAAATTGCAAGCTGTGGTGATTTCCCAGTTCTAGATTTGACGGTTTTTCAAGCAGGAACCTCAACCATTTCTTGTCTGCCCAAGAATTGCCCAAGTCATTTCTTGTCTGCCCAAGAATTGTGAGAACCGTAAGAGGGCATTTGACAAGAGAGGGGATGGATGATGGAATTTCTTGCATATATTTTGAGAAATGTACCACACTCACACTTTTGGAACACTTAAATCAGCTTGGGGGAGAAAGCTAGGTGCCCAAGGCTACCAGGAGTTGAACCCTGATCCCTTCACATCCAAGTACGCCTTCCTATCCACTTCAACAGTCTCTTCTTTGGCTTCTATCTCTTATTTCCCCAACCCCCTGCCACAGCCTTCTTACCTTCCACTGCTTTTCTTTTCACACACTCCATTACATAAGTATCATTTCCTATAAAGAGGAAATGTAGTTTGTCAGAATCAAATGAATACTTTCTACAGACACTGCAGGAGTTAAATGGGACCACGCCACACAGAAGCAACTGCCATCCCACTCTAGTAAAAGATGAGTTGGACCAAAGTCTGATGTAGATTAGCATTGTACTGCGTTAGGCTAGAGCAGATGTAGGAAACCTCCAGGCCTTCAAATGATGCTGGTTTACAGCTCCCATCACATCTGACCATTGAGCTTGCTGGCTGGAGCTGATGGGAGTTGCAGTTCAGCAACATCTGGAGGGCCATGTCCCTGTGCCAGAGAGATTGTTGTTGTGTGGGGCAGTAATAGAGGCTTTAAGAGAGGGTTAGGCAAATGAATAAAGGATAAGCCTATCAATGGCTGCCAGTCGTGATGGCTATACTCTGCCTTAACAGCTGGCGGTAGTAATGCTTCTGAAAACCACAGGAGGGGAGAGTGCTCTTGTGTTCAGTCTTCCTTACACATTTTCCACAGGCATCTGATTGGCTACTTGAGAACAGGATGCTGGACTAGATGGGCCATTGATCTGTTCCAGCAGAATCATCTTATGTCCTTATCTTCCTGTCTATACCAGCACTAGTTCAACTTTCTGAGTTAGTGAGATGACAAAACCCCACAAATCATACTTGTAATAGTGTCATGCCTGATACTTTGAACTTATTTGCTAGCATAGTGGTTCATAGGATCGGCATGTAAGAGTGACAACAGAGATGAAATATGCGTAGCCATATCTGCAGACTTAAGCACCTTGTATTAAAGGAGCCACAGTGAGCTGCTTAAAATGAAAGGTCCGAGTGAAGAACAAGGATTAAACTCTATTTCCATCTATTTTTAATGACTGTGGATTATGGAGATCCTAATATCTCAATATTTATGGTTCTGTTTCAGAAGCATCAGTCAGCCAGAAAAAGGTCCTAGAAACAGCATATGTTACACCTCTGAGATGGCAAGGTTAGCAAGCACTTCACTAGCGTCCCAGAGGGGCTATCATTGTAACAAGGATCTGTTTCCAGTAATCACAGGCACTGTTGACAGAGTCTTCTCACCCATCTGCTCAAGGGAACTAGTGTTAACTCTATCAAATCCTAATATTTTAAGAATGCTGATCTCAGGGCCCAAGAGGCCTGGTGACAGGAGTTCTTGCCAAGGCCTGTGCCAGCATCCCTTTATCTTATTACCGACTACTCTAATGCTCCGTAGGCAAAATGCTAAATATGTGTGCAATAAGATAAACTGATTTATGAAATGAAAGAGTGAGGCACTATAATGTTCCTACTGCCTGTCACTAGCTGAAGTCCTTTTTGGACCTTAAGAAAAATTGGTTTTATAGCCTTCAGTGCCATATTCTTGACTGTATCTATATCTGTATCTATGAATCCCCCACATGCAACAACAAAAACTAACAGCCTAAACTTAAACACTTACATGGAAGTGGTCCCAAATATTTGAAATACATTTTCAAGAAAGTGGATTATAACTGACGTCTAGCATATTTTCCTAAGAATGCTGAGAGGAGATGAAGCCATTGATTATTTGTGCTATGTGCCATTATAATGAGCAAGTGACTTATCAGAGCTGATGCAAACATCTTAGCAACAGGGGTACTCAAGGGTATGCAGTGCCGGTACCTTTTTTTCTAGAAGAAAAACACTGAGTGTATGACAAATATATGTGTGGCAATGTGCTACCACTGTCACCATGAGATCAAATATGGAAGACGCTTCCCATCCTACTTACACCATGGCACAAAGGTGTGTGAAATTTTTCATCCTTCCTCCTTGCCTTGCCCTCATTCCAGACACTTTTAAGTACATGAGTCACATATGGTAAAGGGGCCCCTGACCATTAGGTCCAGCCGTGACCGACTCTGGGGTTGCAGCGCTCATCTCGCTTTATTGGCCGAGGGAGCTGGCGTTTGTCCGCAGACAGCTTCCGGGTCATGTGGCCAGCATGACTAAGCCGCTTCTGGCAAACCAGAGCAGCGGACGGAAACACCGTTTACCTTCCCGTTGGAGCAGTACCTATTTATCTACTTGCACTTTGTGCTTTCGAACTGCTAGGTTGGCAGGAGCAGGGACCGAGCAACAGGAGCTCACCCCGTTGTAGGGATTCAAACCGCCAACCTTCTGATTGACAAGTCCTAGGCTCTGTGGTTTAACTCACAACGCCACCTGCGTCCCTATGAGTCACATAAAATGTAGTAATTTCTAGTATGACTATTGGGGAAAAGTGTTCCCCCCTCCCGGAGGGGGGCACCAATATAGCTCCTTGCCAAGGGTGCAAGGGACCCTAGCTATGTCTCTGGCACTCAGGTCTTGCTAGCTAGCTAGCTAGATAGATAGCCAAGCAGGCACGCACGCGCGCACACACACACACACACACACTCCTTTTTGGTGTTTTATGATTCATTGAAAGGTGTGATATAAATATTTATAGTAAATATAAATGAGCAACTCTATGATTCTAAAGGGATGACAGTCCTGTATAGTACAATATATTACAATCAATACTATATGTTGATATACTTTAAAACAAACAACAACAAAGCCCATGATGGCCATAGATTGATTTAAGCTTTATTGTAGCATCCTATCTGTTCCAGTTGCTTCACTGGATTGCACTGCTTAAAGCTCATTTTTTCCACTTTCAGCTGCAATGCTGAGCTTATTATTTCATGGCTGCTTCACTGAGTTCCTTTAGTGTGTCTCTTCTCTTGTGGATGCATCTGTTAACCTCCTCTGTTCACCCCTTTAGCCCCATCACATATAGAAGAAGTGATTCCAGCAGCTAAATTACATTTATATATGGAAAATATTTAAATGTTCTCACGTCACTTGTCATGATTTCCAGCCCACATTAGCTGCCACCAAAGCACACACAACATATAGTGAATGGTGCTAATAAAGGAAGGGAATAGTGAAGAGACAGCAGAATGAAGTTAAAAGAGAGAAGTAAACGACAGCAAAATAAATAACTTCAATCCCAAGAGACTTTGCATGGACTCCTTGACTATTGGTTTAGGCCAAAACACATACACAGGTCTGTCCAAGTACTTCAGTATACAGAGTTTTCTACTTAGTTTCATGTCCTTGTAGTATATTGAAAGCTACTTCTTGTAAAGATTTCTTTTTCTTTTTTGGTAGTATTTTATTAGGTAGCAGAGGGAGCTGATATTAGAAAAGAACTTCGCTACACGAGCAGAAGCTCACACTCTTTGTATTCCAAGCATAGATGGGCTTTGCTCTGTTGATCCCACCAGATGTAAAACACAAGGAGACAAATTGATTGAGCCAGCTCATATAAGTGACTTCCAAGTTACATGGAACCTCAAAGAGATAATGTGGATTAGCCTTGAAACATTCTTTAAACTTCGTTTTTTGTAATAAAAATACAATGTTTGCAATTAAGCAGCTATGTATCTGTCACCTCCCATCCAAAGCATAGAATGAGTAGCTTTTCCATTCTGCCTGATTCAGAGGTTGGGGTAACTCAGAAACGTGCATATTCCCAGACTGATAGATGCTGCTTGTATTTCTTGTGTGTTTTATATCTCTCATTGGTTACTATTTGCCACAGGAGTTGTCCAAAACTGTCATGACAGCAAAGGAGTAGATTTTTTAAAAAAAAAAATTAATCATCATATCAGGCAGAGAAGGAGAGACTCTTAGGAAAAGAGAATGCCAGGAACAAAATCACAAACCCCTGGGGAACCACTTGATTATAACATTACCCTTGATAAGTTTTCACTACCACATTCAGTTTTAATGAAAATCTCAACTGAATACCTGCACTCTCAAGATATTAGAAATGCATATACATATAAGATAGCATTTGCGCCTTCAACTCTCTTTAAATTCAGTAGGAAGTTCACACTCAAGACCCGCATCATTAGGCATAATTTGGCCTTCTGAACGTTATAATACTTTTGCAGATATATTATATCTTACTGAGGCTCTTGGTACTTAGGCAAAGAATCCCTTACCCAGCTCACATCTAGCCAACAGGGACTACCTTAATGCATAATCAAACAGGCTGCTGCATAGAGATAGCTTATTGGACTTCAATGTCATACAGTTATAGTTTGCAAATACTTTATACCCAAATGTAAGTCAGTGGAAGCAGTGTTTAGGAAGACAAAGCATCTAAACACATTATTAACTTAATAAGGACATCAGAGTCACCAGTGAAGAGTATAAGGATTCTTCATAGGATTTAGAAACAGACAATGAGGGGGCATTTCCCAAGGTTTGAAAGCCAGACTTAGTTTTTTCTTTTTATTTTAGGCCAATGTGGTCTGCAGGGTGCTTTACTTTTCTGTTGGAAGCAGAGAAAAATTTTAAAACCTCGGAAATGTGTGTTTTCTTGTTCTTCCTTTAAGTCATCTGTTGTAATTGGGCTTTCCCCCTTCATTGTTTTAGCAAGGTGCCAAGCCTGGCATTCCTCTTTCTGTCTTTGGCATAAAACCTCACAATAATATAAGTTTATTTTAATCTTAAACCTTTCTCATCAGGGAATAGTGTATGAGTAGGCAGGGAAGAAAAGGGAAAAAGATGTAATTATGTAGGGTGGCCATGTGTCCTACTTTATAGAGCGCAGTTCTTTAATTGAAGGGCTGTCCAAGGACAGCCTTCTAAATATTATTTTTTACATACATATTAGGACTGGGCAATATCTGGTTTTCAACATTGTGATATATCACCAGCAAAGCATTGCAATATACAGTGGTACCTCGGGTTACATATGCTTCAGGTTACATACACTTCAGGTTGCAGACTCCGCTAACCCAGAAATGGTACCTCGGATTAAGAACTTTGCTTCAGGATGAGAACAGAAATCGTGCAGCAGCGGCAGCAGGAGGCCCCATTAGCTAAAGTGGTGCTTCAGATTAAGAACAGTTTCAGGTTAAGAACAGACCTTCAGAACGAATTAAGTTCTTAACCCGAGGTACCACTGTACTGATATATCACAATGTCTGAAATAAGGATGGAGCTGTGTAGAGGTATTAGCTGGCTTCACGGGTTTTCACACACTGATTTTTGCATCACACCCACCCACCCACCCATGATTTGCAATATATTGCCAGGTCAAAAATTATGAAACCAATATCACGATATGGACTTTAAACTTGTTTTGGACAATATATCACACCCAGTCCTAATACATATTCCATCTTTCCTCTAAGGAGTTTAAGGTAATTCTCCCATTTTATTCTCACAACTACTCTTTGTTCAGTTGTGTGACAGTGACTGGCCCAGGGTCACTCAGTGAGCATCATGACTGAGGATTTGAAACCTGGTCTCCTAGTTCCTAGTCCAACCCACTGACTTTGAAGAGCATCCTAAATTTGAAGGGTTGTTCAGTCCAGGCCTGATTGAAAAATAGAATAATAAGAAAGGAGATCTGGGACCTGAAGTTGCCTATCAGTAGTTAGCACCTGAACAGCAGACTAAGCAGACACACACATATCCTGACTACTACAACCTTCTCCATGATGCTGAGATGTATTGTATTGTATTTAAATTATAGCAGTTATTTGCATCTCTATGTACATATTAGCATATGCAGTTTCTCTCTTTCAACCACTCTCTTTCTCTTTGCATGTGTAATTCACAGGGCAATCCAAACCTGGATGGTACTGGCTTGGACAGAAGGTGGTAGTGGTGGTTTTCATTAATTTGTCATTTTGGCAGCTTCACGCTAATGTAGCTGAAGAGCCTAAAGACCATGCTGCTCAGGGTATCCATGGGTGCCCTGCCTCCAAACACTGCATTTGGGTTTCCCCCTGCCTACTGCCAGCAGTGTCGATACCCAAAAGGGGATGCAAAGTCTCTCAGGAGTCCTGGAGGGGCTCCAGGCCACGTGGAGGCTGGATACTTAGTTGATTTCAAATTGCATCATATGCAGGAACCGGATAAAGGGAATAACTTTGCATCCTCATGGCTGAGTGAAGGGAGAGTGGATGGGTGGATGCAGGGGGTGCGGTGAGGTTGAATCTGACCTTGCAGTCCCACCGCGTTCTCTCTCTGACCTGCCAACAGATCATCTATTTGGGTGAAGTTGGGGAGCTACCACCATCAACAGCAGTTCTCCTCTGCTGGTGGAGAGGACATTATGCACCATCCTAACCCATCTAAATATTTGTGGGTGGGTAGGTAAAATTTAACTCTCTTATAGAATTTACTACTATATGAGTCTGCAGGATAGCTGTCAGTAGAGCATGAGACTCCTCAGAGTCATGAATTCAAGCCTCACGTTGGGCGAAAAGCTCCCTGCGTTGCAGGGGGTTGGACTAGATGACCCTTGTGGTCCTTTCCAACTCTACAGTTGTATGATTTTATGGTGATGACTCCTGGTGGGGAGAGCTTAAATCAAGGACTATAGAAATTAATAAAAGGCACGTTTGTCAAATTAAACCTTTATATTCAGAGGTAGTGTATTTCTGATTAGCATGTGATGGGGACAAAGAACAGGGGATGGCCAGCTTCATGATGACCTTGTGAGCTTCCAGAGGTATCTGGCTGGCTGCTAAATAGTCCATAATATTGGACCATGTAGGTCCTATAAGGAATTCCTTTATTGGTTTCAGTCTGAATTCCCCTGTGAGGTGGGTACAGAACCTCCTGACACAGTGGTACCTCCAGTTACAAACTTAATTAGTTCCGGAGGTCAGTTCTTAACCCGAAACAGTTCATAACCTGAGGTGCACTTTTGCTAATGGGGCCTCCGCTCGCATCCCGGGGCAAAGTTCGCTACCAGGAGCATCTACTTCCGGGTTAGGGGAACTCGTTACCCGAAGCATTTGCAAGGAGGACGGTACATGACCAGAGGTTCCACTGTATATCAACAACAACAATGGTAGAGAACATGATCAAGGTCAGATTAATTTCTCCTGTATAAAGCCTCTTTAGGTTGGATAGATACCACATGTTTATAAGTATTTTGATGAGGAGTTGCAAAACCTGAGAAGGAAGGAACAGATTATAGTCCTTCTTGCCAATGTAAAACATGGCACATTACAATTTATTTTTAGAACTGGTATTTTGAAACTGCTATGTGTTGTATCATTTTATTCACATAAATTACAATTATAGCCTGATTACCTGCAAGTCTTATTGTCACTGCATAAACATTTGTGAGTATTTTTCCCCTTGAAAAGATTTTGTATATTTTGCATGACAGAAGGAAATAAAACAAAATTTCTTTGAATGGTTGATTATTTTTGCATAGCAGATCGTTTATTTGAGCCAACATGTTGACACATTATAAACTGTTGGGTTGGTGTGTTTTTTTAGGACTAATAAGGTTAATTGTCATATGAACCCTCCCTCTGTAGTTTGCAATCTGTAAGCTTTGATTGTTTCTCTGGGGGAAACTCTGCCCAGATGGCATTTTCCTCAAGGCCTTGACCCAAGCGAGGCCTGCAGAGATGGAGAACAAGGTGCTCCTCCACAGACTAATTAATTTACTATTATAGCACCTGTTCCTGAATAGATAGGGCTGGAAAGGAAAACAGTCCCTTGGCACAGTGGTAGGCTCACTGGTAAATGGATTTGAGCTGATTATATTAAGCTAATGCTTTGATCATCTAAAGGCGTTAAAATGGCAATGTGTTTTTGCTGGCTGTTGGCCTCCATGTGAGTGCAGTTTGTATAATTACAAATGATCAGTAAGGGGGAAGACAACTCCAATAAATAGCTTTTAAAAGAATACACAAGATAGTATTTGCTCACCTCTGCTTTTCAGCTTCATAAAATTTGTGTAAAGCGATATACATGCAACATTCTGTTAGAGAAGGCCATTCCTAGTTTCAGTTTTCCAAGGCGCAATCCACTGAGAACTCATTTCAATGAGCTGGGCATGTGTAGGAGCATTGATGGGCTCTTGTGCACCTTGCATTTATTCAGTACCTACTGACTTCAGCAGGGATATTTGTAGGTGTTCCTATTTCCTTGACAATCCCTTGCACATCTTCCATTCATTCATGCCTATAGAAGCTTGCACATGAGATGCTGGAATGTGCAAGTGCCAGTAGATGTCCCATTGTGAGGAAGCACACTGCTTGCTCACTTCATCAGACTTTAATCTGCTGACCCAGCTACTCTCCTGAGCACCAGGAAAAGCAGATAGTGAGCACAGCTTTTTGTTGATGTAATAGAACCATCTATAGACACTCAAATAAGGTTTCGGTCTGTCACAATGAACACCTAGCATCTCCCTGGTGTGGCATACTCATCTACTCTTCACAATACCCTAACATGGGTTTGGAAAAGAGCACAGGGAGGTGCTGAGGATCAAATGCTAGGAATCCCAGCACAACTACAAGGCAATGGGTTTTATAGCATAGCATATGATAGAATTTTAATATTTGTTTTTAATTTACTATGGGTGCAGTTTACTGGGAATGTCTCTTGTGGAAGGCACCCCTCCTTGAAATAAATGAGAATATGTTCAAACGCCCGCCCACCACAGCCCAGTTTTATCTGTACCATCTTGGTTTTGACATGTGCACTTGACTTAACCATGTATTTGGGATGTAATCAGTTAATATCTACTTGAGAGAAGGAAAGATAACCTTTTGGATGGGACCTGGGTAAGAAAGCCAGTTTCAATTAAAGATTGATCGAAGGCTAGCAGGCACTGGCAAATCACTGTGTAAACAATGCCTGGCTGTAAATGGATTTACGATGTGTTAATCTGCACTCACTTTCACTTCATTGCTGTTTGGATTTCCCAAAAGGATTAGATGTCATTTTATTGGCTCTACATGACAGTAATGTTATTTCCTTTTCCAAGTGATTACTATTGAGGGGGCTTTTCCCCTTTCCGTATTTCTTTAAAAATACAAGGATCTACCAGCTTTAGTATAACATTGATTGACATAGTAGTATATTGGTTAAAACTGTTTATATTTGAAGTCTTGTAGAATTATTCTGTTTGTAGCAATGTTAGTCCTTCCAGAACAAAGAATGGAGAATCGTTTAAAGACTATCTTTTTACTTGGAGCCATTCAAAGCACATCCTGTGTAAGAGCAAAGAAAGTTCTCATGGCAAGGTTTCATTCTTGGTCCCTTGGGTATTTGGCGCTATAGTGTCTTGTAAATGGACCCTGCAGGGGAAAAAGAATGGAGGACCTTGGAAGGTGATGAACTCCACAGGAGGTTTTAAAGGAAAGGTTGGGTGGCCATCTGTCAGAGATTCTTTAGCTGTGATTCCTGCATTGCAGGGGTTGAACTAGATGACCCTTGGGATCCCTTCCAGTTCTACAATTATTTGATTCTATGCCCTTCCTAGGGAAAAAAAAAACTTTGAGCAAGCCATCTACAATGTTGAGCCAGAGTTGTTTCCCATGAACATCTGCTGGGTACTACCACATGCCACTTGAAATCTTGTCTTCTGTAGCAGCAGTTTGTGAGGAAGGAAACCCAAAAGCATATGCAATGCTAATAATTACTCCCTTAATAATTCCTCCCCCCTCCCTTCCTAATTCCTTCCTGAACCGAAAGCTCAACAAAAGAAGTAATTTACAATGCATTTTCCATATATTCGTCAAATTCCTCCTAAGACCCCTCAAGCCTCTTATGTCCTGCAAATCCTTTCCTGGAATGTCATGACCTTCCTATTTTCTTATTATGGGCTATAGCAGCACACCCTGTTCCTCATCATGAGTACTTTGTTTTTCTCTATCGGCCAGTCATCTTCTGTCATTCTTTTCCTCTCCATCAAATGGCATGCCCAGAAGGCAATAATTTTGACTGATTTTTAGATTTAAATATTCAGTACTGTTTCTGGAATTACAAACTTGGTAGCTAAATGAATTATAGTTCAGTTATCAAATTATATTACACCACCTATTAATTGGTAGAACTGAATAAAAAAGTAAAAGATCCCTGGACGGTTAAGTCCAGTCAAAGGCGACTATGGGGTGTAGCGCTCATCTCACTTCAGGCCAAGGGAACCGGCGTTTGTGCACAGACAGCTTTCTGGGTCATGTGGCCAGCATGACTAAATTGCTTCTGGCACAACGGAACACCATGACAGAAGCCAGAGCACATGAAAATGCCATTTATCTTCCCGCCGTAGCAGTACCTATTTATCTACTTGCACTGGAGTGCTTTCGAACTGCTAGGTTGGCAGAAGCTGGGACAGAGCAACTGGAGCTCACCCCGTCATGGAGATTCAAACCGCTGACCTTCTGATCAGCAAGCCCAAGAGGCTTGGTGGTTTAGACCACAGTGCCACCTGTGTCCCATATCAAATTCTGTTATACCACCTACTAATTGGTCGAACTGAATACACCAGTTATGAATCTTCTAAGCCTGGCTAATCTCACTTCAGTTCCTTCAGTGTGTTGGATATTATGTAGGAACTAATATCACCAGTTCTCCTATCTTGAGCTTTTACTTTTAGGTGCTATTTGTGTTTCCTGTTTGTTTTCAGGTAACTTTGAGTAAGCCCTTCTCCTTCTGCCAATTAAATGTTTTGTCCAGTTCCTCATAACACCACTGGCATCAAGGCTTGATATAATATTAGCAGAGGATAATTCATTTTTAATTCATGAAATTGAAAGGGGTGTGAGATTCATCTGGTAAGAAAGTTTCATCATATCATTAGCATTGTAAATAAGCAATCACGCTGGAAGGAGCTGCTCACTATTGCCCTGAAAGGTACTGAGGTGTATCAATTGTATGCATGGTGAGGGTATTTTTGCCAGAAAACTGCTGTCACCCCTTCCCCCCCTTCCTTCGACATGCACACATTTGACCTTTTGGCACAGACAGCTGTGCACACCAAACAATAACAATCAATACAATTCTCATCGCAAAGGGGTTAATTTAGCCAGCTTCCAACTCCTTTTTGTTGTTTGAAATGGAGTGGGGGGGTGGGGGGGAAGGAATTTTGAAGAGGTTGAAAAGGCCAGCAAGATTTAATGAAATGGACTAGATAAGCTAGAAATAGTATTATCAAGAAAAAGTAGTCTTTTCCCCTTACCTTAAGGTCCAGTAGAAGTAAAAGCAACTTTATTTGGTGTTAGCATTGATTCCTAAATGTCATTAACACCTATAGTTTGGCTGGAGGAAATATTCAGATGCTCATTTTTCTTGGAGTTTTTTGTTTTGGGGTTTAGACCAAACATATGCAGAATTTTAAAGTCACATTTTCTTGTATTTCTTTCAAAAATTAAATTGGTAAAAATGACAAATATTGTGAGACTCTGATTTTTTATAAGAGTTACCATGAAATTGCCAGAAAAAAATTCAGCATAGTTGCATTTGACTTCAAAAGAGGAAATTTCTCCAGAAAGGAGGAGATTTCATACCTTGCAAGTGTCCCAGAAAAACCTGAACCTTCTGTTTTCCCCCCATGAGAGCATAGCAGCCATTTTGGGTGTCATGATCTAGCACGATGTCACGTTAAGATCTCGCCCCCCCCCCAAGAAAGTGAGGAGATTGCAGAGAACCTGAATGAATTGTTTGCCTCTGTCTTTAGTACAGAAGATGTATTGCAGATCCCTGTGCCTGAACTAACTTCTCAGGAAGATAGTCTGAGAAACTGGGGCAAGTAGTGGCAATTGCCTTATTGATAAACTAAAAAACAAACAAACCTGTAACTTGTCTTTAAGATCCACCTTCAAACTTAAGGACTAGAATGTGCTCAATGTAACACCAGTTGTTTTTTTTTAAGGGATCCCATGAAGAGCTAGGAAACTACAGGCCATGTAGCTTAACATGTGTCCTAAAGAAACTGGTGGAAAGCATTATTATAGATAGAATTACTAAGCATATAGAAGTGTTACTGAAGAAGAACCAGCATGGCTTCTGCAAGGGTCAGTCCTCTTTCACTAACATTTTAATTTGGAGTTATTTGAGAGTGTTAATTAGCATATGGACAAGGGTGATTCAGTAGACATTGTACTTAGACTTTCAGAAAGCTTTCCATAAAGCCTCTTCCCAAAGACACCTGAATAACTATAGCTAGTCATGGAATAAGAGGATGGGGAATCTCATGAATCTGTAACTGGTTAAAAAACAAAACAGAAAGTGGGAATGAAAGATCAGTTGTTGCAGAGGTAGGATGAAGAAGGAGATCCTTCCAAGGATCAGTATTGGGACCTGAGTTTTTTAATTGGTTCATAAATGATGTGGAATTCTGGGTGAGCAGTGAGGTGGCTGAGTTTGCTGATGAAACCAAATTCTTCAGGGTGGTAAGACCAAGAAAGGGCAAGAAAAGGACTGTGAGTGAATGGGCATTAAAATGAGAAGTGGAATCCAGCGTAAGCAAGAGTAAAGTAATGCACAATAGGTAAAATAAAATAAAATAAAATAAAATAAAATAAAATAAAATAAAATAAATCCTAGCACTGCATATACACTTATAGGATCTGAACTGGTGGTGAATGACCAGAAAAGAGATATTGGGGTCATGACAGATGCTTAATGAAAATGTTGACAGTGTGACTGCTGAATTCCATGTTGGGGATCAGTAGGAAAGAGTCTGAAAATAAAACTGCCCATATCATAATGCCATTATGCAAATAATGTGTGACTGTAGTTGGAATACTGTGTACTGTTTTGCTGGCTGTAAATCTAGAAAAGGTTTAGAAAACGACAACAAAAATGATAATGAGGAAAGGTTTGGTGCTTTCTGGTTTAGAAAAAAAAAGATGAGCAGGGGCATTATAGGTGTATAAATTTATGCAGGATGCTGAGAAATTAGAGAGAGAGAGAGAGAGAGAGAGAGAGAGAGAGAGAGAGGTATTTATCCTTTTCTCATAGTAGAAGGCAGGATCATCCAATGAAGCTGTATGTGTGAAAATACAGGACAGACAAAATGAAATAGTTCTTCACACAGTGTATGGAAACCTTGGCATTCACTACCATACCACTACATCAAAAAATGTAGTAATAGCCAACAAGGTTGGCTTTTAAAAGGAATTAGCTAAATTTATGGATAATAAGCTTATTTATTTATTTTTAAAAGTATTTCTAGGGTGCTATGCAACAATAAAATGTAAAACACTAAAATAACACACCTATCCATCAAGGCTAATCAATTTAAAATGTTGCAGAGTCCTGTCAGCATAAAAAGTTCTTCAAAAGATGCCTGAAGGTCAAAAGTGAGGCTGTTAGCCATGATGGCTGGTAACTATCTCCAGTAAGTCCATAATAATTCATTACGGTCAGAGACCAGCTTGAAAAGCACAACTGGGACAGCTTTCACAAGAATAAAATATACATGTAAAACAGTGTACAACAACAGCTTACAGATTAAAATCTAAGATGAGTGCATATACACATAAGGACCTAAAAATTTGGGCTACAAATTGGCCCTGATACCCTGGAGGCCGACTTCGACTGTTTTCCTAACAAACTAATTTGTTTTGGGGGGTGGTCTGCGCCTGCAAATCTGTGCGCAGAATTTGGCGACCATCCAGGCCGTCTTTTGGTCTTTGCCTAAGAGAAGAAAATTGAGTTTAGACTTATCCGGAAGGCCTGCAAGCCTCACCAGCTGGGGGTCAATGGTATCTCTGCGTACCTCGTCATAAAAGGGACAGCTGAAAAATAAATGTTCGGGGCCTCCTATTTCCCCTAATGGGCATGCGCAAAGTCTCTGAGAATACAGGACTTTTCCAAATGCTCCTTCCAGAACCGGTGAGGGCAAGGCCGAGCTTCTGGCTAGAGTAAAGGCCCTTCTTATGTGTCTTGATACGGGGCCACAACATATCTCTCATTTTCTATAATTATATAATCGGGGGACCTCAAGCAGTCCTGCTGTCTCTCTGTGTCCATGATTCTTTGCCTGACCACAGATCTTGCTTGGCCCAGGCCCAAGTTTAGAAGGGCTTGAGGAGCAAAGCCCAATTTCTGGAGAGTATTCAGAACTGCTGTCTGCCAGCCAGACTTGAACCGGTCGCATAGAATCAGTGGGGTTATTCCTCGGGGGAGCAGTTTCAGCGCCAGCCATTTATAGATTGATGTTAAACTAATATAAGCCTCTACTCTCATCATCCATGTTTCTAATCTGACCCATGCATTTGAAACACATCTGGGGACTTGTAGGAGGGCTCTGAGGAGTTTGGATTGAACTCTCTCAAGGGGAGTGAAGGAAGAGGGTAGCGGGCCCAACAAGGATCCATAAAGGAGCTGTGCCAACATTTTAGCCTTATATAGTTTTAGGGCCGCGGGAACGAAAATAACTATCTCCAGTAGCAGAGGTGGTATGCTGCTCAATATCATTTGCTAAGGTGTACAAATTAGGAGAGTGCACGCCTGTTATGCTTGCAGGCTTCCCATAGGTATCTGGTTGCAAATGTGAGATCATAATGCTGGACCAGATGGGCCATTGGTCTGATCTAATAGTGCTTCTGTTATGTTCTTAGCTAGCAAAGTATGTGTCATTATGATATACTTTTTAAAGCTAGTACTTTGAATTGCGCCTGGAAGTCTACCAGTAACCAATGCAGAATTATACTTGATATGTAGTCTATAATATGTAAGGTAAATGGTAAAGGTAAATGATCCCTGGACAGATAAGTTCAGTCAAAGATGACTATGGGGTGCGGCGCTCATCTCAGTTCAGGCCAAAGGAGCCAGCGTTTGTCCGCAGACAGCTTTCTGGGTCCTGTGGCCAGCATGACTAAAATGCTTTTGGCACAACAGAACACCATGATGAGTGCCAGAGCGCACGGAAATGCTGTTTACCTTCCTGCTCCAGTGGTACCTATTTATCTACGTGCACTGGTATGCTTTCAAACTGCTAGGTTGGCAGAAGCTGGGACAGAGCAACGGGAGCTCTCGCTGTCACGCAAATTTGAACTGCTGATCTTCTGATCAGCAAGCCCAAGAAGCCCAGTGGTTTAGACCACAGCGCCACTCACTTCCCTCCTCTAAGATTACCTATAATATTTACCTGTTATCTTTACCCATAATCTGTGCTCGTAGGTAGACGACTTTCTATGAGAGTGGTAAGATCAATTTTAGTGGTGTTGACTGTACCAGCCAAAGAAACTTCTAAACAATTAGTGTAGCAAAAATGACTCACGGGCGTGGTTTGGTCACTCTAAAATCACACACACAGAGCAGCCTTGTGGAGGAAGAAATATATGGTCTGGAAACCACATTGACAAATGCATCTGTAAAGTTTGACTAAAATTACCTGAAATTGGTGCTAAGTGCAATAAAATAAAATTGCAATGAAATATGTCTGGCACCATTTTTTCTTGAACATTTTTGGGAGGAAGATTTCATTTTAAGTTTTATACTGTGATTGTTAGCACTGGTATTTGGAATTTGGCCCCATCGTTGTAGCCATGGCTTCCTGCTGGGAAAGTGGAAGATGCATAAGCTTATTCTACCCTGCTGAGGGTCCCTGAATGCTGATCCTGTAACAGTACTGCTGCTGTTAACTTCCTTGCAAAATGTCATGAATCTTGCAGGGCTTTGCTAATGAATGTTATGGAGAAAGCTCTATTACTATTTTTAAAAGCACAGTGCTCATTTCAATAAAGATTATAGCATGAGAAAAACTATTTTTTCCTCAGAAATAAAAATTCCGGTGAATGGGTAGTGACAGTGGTTGGGCTTTATCAGAGTAACCAGGCATGCAAAAATATTGTTTTACATCAACTTGTGGAAAATACTGTGTTTATTTTTTGTTACGCACTGAGCAAGAATAATGCAAGGAAACAGTGTTCTCAGCCTTAACAAATTAGGAGAGCTAGGATCTGTTTGCCTATTAGTTTTAAATGGATGACTCTCAATCACTTTATTCCAATAACAGGTCTAGGTGGTAGTATTTCAACTTCAAATTAGTTGATAATATGCTTGCTTATTTTGTGAGTCAGAAGCTGTTTGCTGAACAGTGCTCGGCCTGGTGCATGCTACCCTATATCTTATCACAGGATTTGACAGTACAACAGGTTTTGTAAATTGGTTCTCAGGTGACTGTAGTTTTTCAATTAACGTGAATTTACTGATTAGCAGTTCCATTTGTGTTATTTTAAATGGGTTCATATTCTCTCAGTGTTCCATGACTCTGACATGTACACAAGTGTTTAGGGAGGAAACATTGACTGGTTTTCATTTTCTGCTTGATTGATATGCTTGGCAACTACTTTTGTAGCAATAGTCTGCTTTATTGGCTTCTAGCAACTAAGCATAATAGCAAGATAAATGTGAAGTCTTCTGTGTATCTACAGGCTTCAGTCTCCCATCAGTGGCAAACTTTGGGTTCTTAAATTTCAGCGGTGCCCTGTGTGCCTCCACCTCTTGTACTCTGTTCTACAGCACCGTTGCAGTGCCCCCTGAAACGGTCGTGCTACCCTCAAACTGCCTCTGCTTCTATCTTAGCAGGTGTTATCTGAGAATCCCTGTTAACATCAGGGGGAGGAGATGGGACTGGAGGTCTTGGTGGAAAAGAAGACCTTGAGGGCAGGAACATCACCTATTTAACAGATCCAGCGACAGTTTTTCTATGTGAAAAAGTAACTGGTGTGGACTGAATATGTACCTAATATTAACACATATTTTTTCAAGCATTTTCTTTTCCTTCTATAACCTTGCAAAGCCAACCTTGGTAAGTCAAGAGGAAAAGGAAGAGCCTTACAAAAGGTTGGATACTGGGTCTTAATTATTTAATGCAGGGTGTGGCCTTTGCTTTCTATTAGGCCTTGACTTCATATGTAGCAGAATGTGGTGTACCATAACTAGAGGCGAGTAGTGTTAGTTCAGGAAGAAAGGGAGAGAAAGGAGAATTTGTGGGTGCCAAGATCAGGTTTGGGGCAAGTACTCTTTGGTGAGAGAACCCCAGCAGAGATTTAAAGTCACAAAATATGCAGCAAAAACGTAAGCTGTTAGACCAAAATAAATATGCCCTTTTGAGTGAGTTCCAAAATGTTAAAATATTTCTTTTCAAAGTTTTCCACTTCTCCAAACATAGGAAAAGACCACCTGTTTGGTAAGTTAAAAAACTGCTTACTTGCAAAGGTCAGATTTATGTGCTTCAGGTTGTAAAATTGGCGAAAGTTCCTAAATTATGAGTATAGTAACTCAAGAGTGGGTTGTGAGAGCCATACAGTTAAGATGGAGTTCAAGCCTCTTTACACACTGAACTTCTCAGGTAGACGGGGGGACGAGGGGACGGGGACCAATAGCCTTGATTACGCACTTCTTCCAAAGGTGAGGGGAAATGACCTAGGCTAAGCTTGACATGACAACTTAATCTATGGTATTAACCCCTTCATGCATTAATTAGACTGAAGCAGCTCAGTCAGTAGAGCATGAGGCTCTTAACCTCGGAGTCATGGGTTCTAGCCCCATGTTGAGCAGAAGATTCATCAATTGCAGGGGGTTGGACTAGATGACCCTTGTGGTGACTCTACAAGTCTATGATTTTATAGTCTATATGAGACTGGTTATCCCACAGATACAACATACCTTTTAAAAAATATTCCTCTATGTAAAAGCTTCCTGAAAATAAAAAACAAACAAACATAAAACTTCTGGGAAGAGTATTCCTGCCTAGCCCTCCTCATGCTTTGATCCTATATACTTACAGTCACATTTCCTTTTTTCTCTCTTTCTTTTTTTTCCATTTTGATTTGTCATTTGAGGACCTATTATGTGTGTGGGGGAGTGACGGAGGCACATTTTTCTGCCACTTTTACATGTGCCACAATGTTAGGCAGCAGAGCTTTTTTGAGTGGTAAGGAATGCAATGTGTTCTGAAACTAGTAAGCTGCCTTACGCTGAGTCAGACCAGCGATCCCCCTGGCTCAGGTATGCTAACTCAAGCAGCTCTCCAGGGTTTCAGGCAGAAGCTTTTTCCACTCCTACCTGGAGACACCAAAGCCTGAACCTGGAACCTTTTGCATGCAAGACAGATGTTCTGCTACTGATCTTCAGTTAGGGATAGGTGTGCCTTTTAATTTCAGTTTCTCCCATTTCTCTTTTTCTCAGTCTTCAGTTCTCCACATTCCCTCATTAGTTTGTGATTTTTGTTTTTAAAAGTCCTCATGTAAATTAGTTGGCATTTTAGTGCAAATTTATCATAATCTACACGTTCTTGTATGCTATTTTGTCTAGTATACACATTTTTGCAAGGCCCTTTGCCTACTATAATGCATTTTGCATGGTAGGTAAAGGTAAAGGGACCCCTGACCATTAGGTCTAGTTGTGACCGACTCTGGGGTTGCGGCACTCATCTCGCTTTATTGGCTGCGGGAGTACAGCTTCTGGGTCATGTGGCCAAGATGACTAAGCCGCTTCTGGCGAACCAGAGCAGCACACGGAAACGCTGTTTACCTTCCTGCCGGAGCGGTATCTGTTTATCTACTTGCACTTTGACGTGCTTTCGAACTGCTAGGTTGGCAGGAGCTGGGACAGAGCAATGTCCCGGGGATTCAAACCGCTGACCTTCTGATTGGCAAGTCCTAGGCTCTGTGGGTTAACCCACAGTGCCACCCGCGTCCCTATTTTGCATGGTATTTTCACTAATATATAAATTGTTATGCATATTTTGCCCCCAGTATATGCATTTAGTACATGTACTAGGATGGAAAATTTAATTGCTAAATGTGAAATTCAAATTACGGTATGTCTTTCAGTTCATATATTGTTTCAGCAAGTGAATTGAATTGCTTCTCCATCCCTCACTGCAGTTCTTCCCCGCCAAGCACTCAATAGCCCACTGTGGCCAATTTGCAATAGATTTTGCAGATAAAACTACTCAAATCCGTGCCAATCTGGATGCTATAGTAGTAGCAGAATCAAAGGTGATTACAGCTACCACTGGTCCATTTATTAGGGATAGTTTGCCACTTGTTCTGCACTTGGATTTAGGCAGGCAACTTGAAGGTTTGCAACCTACACATGTGTCCTTGATCTGTGCTCTTCATGGCTAATTAAAGCTGCCCGAGATGGATTGAGTATATGGGTCACAGAGGTGGTCAATGCCACTCTTAGAAAATGGCATTTGACCTTTTAGACTTTAATAACTATTGCCTAGTCTCGGCATTTAACCTTTCTCTTCAGTTCATCCTAGCTTTTTTCAATTGGCCATCCTTTCATTTTTCTTTCCCCCTTTCTGTGTAATGGACTATTTAACTTGCTACTGAACATTGTTTTTAGTATTTATTTGTTTATATTCTATGGTTTTAACAAGCATTTTTATTTGCTTGTCACTCAGATAACATGGTTACAGGGCAGGGGTGACTAATGTGTGGCTCTTTAGAAGTTGTTGGACTACAATTTCCACCAGTCCCAGTCAGCATGGCCAATAGTCAGGGATGGTGGATGTTACAGTGTAAGTATAGCAACATCTGGAGAGTCAGGGGTTAGCAATAAATATTATACTATAATAAATCAATTAAATAAAAAAATCAGCATTACACTACAAACATAATTTGTTATATCAGTCCATCAAATGCTTTGGACAAGAGTACCCAGAATTTGTTGGTGTAATTGCATTGCATGACTGTGCAATATATATACTTCCGTTGATACAGGATGGTGATCATAAAATCATTAGGTGCACCTTCATAGTGAGTGCCTGGAGGCGGTTGGAGGTTGGATGGCGGCTAACAGATTGAGGTTGAATCCTGACAAGACAGAAGTACTGTTTTGGGGGGACAGGAGGCGGGCAGGTGTGGAGGATTCCCTGGTCCTGAATGGGGTAACTGTGCCCCTGAAGGACCAGGTGCGCAGCCTGGGAGTCATTTTGGACTCACAGCTGTCCATGGAGGCACAGGTCAAATCTGTGTCCAGGGCAGCTGTTTACCAGCTCCATCTGGTACACAGGCTGAGACCCTATCTGCCTGCGGACTGCCTTGCCAGAGTGGTGCATGCTCTGGTTATCTCCCGCTTGGATTACTGCAATGCGCTCTACGTGGGGCTACCTTTGAAGGTGACCCGGAAACTACAACTAATCCAGAACGCGGCAGCTAGACTGGTGACTGGGAGCGGCCGCAGAGACCACATAACACCGGTCTTGAAAGACCTACATTGGCTCCCAGTACATTTCTGAGCACAATTCAAAGTGTTGGTGCTGACCTTTAAAGCCCTAAACGGCCTTGGTCCAGTATATCTGAAGGAGCGTCTCCACCCCCATCGTTCTACCCGGACACTGAGGTCCAGCACCGAGGGCCTTCTGGCGGTTCCCTCACTGCGAGAAGCCAAGTTACAGGGAACCAGGCAGAGGGCCTTCTCGGTAGTGGCGCCTTCCCTGTGGAACACCCTCCCACCAGATGTCAAAGAGAACAACAACTACCAGGCTTTTAGAAGACATCTGAAGGCAGCCCTGTTTTGGGAAGCTTTTAATGTTTGATGTATTATAGTATTTTAATATTCTTTTGGAAGCCGCCCAGAGTGGCCGGGGAAGCCCAGCCAGATGGGCGGGGTATAAATAATAAATTATTATTATTATTATTATTATAGCTTAACTTGCTGGAACTAACACATTTTGTTCATGCCTGCTGCTTTTGGTGGCTGCAGGCTCCCCAGTTGCAGCTGTGTTTTAATATAATACTTTTCAGAATTTTTTTAAGGCCATTACTAATGCCAGAAGAATTCAGGATTTTACCTGTTCTCCTTCTGATACAAAAATTAAAAATCAATAATAATGATATATTCTCAAGGTAGAAAAAAGATTTATAAAGTTTCACCATGACCTGAACTCACTGTGGGAGGCTGAGGACATGATCCTGCCTTAGGAACATATAAACATGTTGCCTTACACTATATCAGATCATTGGTGCATTTAGTGGGTCCAACGATTGAGAAAGTGGTTTCTGCATGTGCTGTAGAGGGAAGTGAGGGAGAGATGTGGCTTGTCAACCTGGGAAGGTAGCCCGTCTAGGAGAAGGAATACTGTGATCTGAAGCCTTTGCTGCCTTGCAGGACATCTTTGGGAGAAGAAAAGGCTAAGGAGTAAACCCTACACAAATCTGGAGTGGAGCCCCTAAGATTGTTGGGTGGCACCTTATAAGCCTCCTTCCAACAGCTCCTGCATCCAAGCTGATGCCAAACATATTGCTCTGCTTTCCTTTGGACTGCGAGGCCAAGAGGGGGGGTCTTGTCACCTGGGGCAATCCTGGACCTCCATGCACACTGCCCAGGCTTGTTCCCCAGGGTGCTGCTAATACAGCAGTTTGACTTCACTCCCAGAGGCACACACTGTTGTTTCTCAAGCCAGACGGATAGCAATAGTTTGTCTACCATTGGCCTTCCAACTCAGTATTGTCTACTCTACACTTACTGGCAGTGGCTTACCAAAGATTTCAGACGGGATGTTTCCAGTCCCCAGAGATGCTGTCGATTGAATCCAAGACCTTTCACATGCAAGGCAGGTGCTCTATTGCCATGCTGGAGTTGGCCCTTTCCAAATAAAGCCTTAATAGCTTGGTTGCCTATTTTTGTGCTGGATTATGGTCTCTGTGTTGTTTGTTTTCTGCTGGTATGAAATCCTCACTGGAATTGTAGTTAGCCCAATGCTTCTGTAGTAATGGCTGACCATTTTGGAACCGAGGACAGAAAAAGAGTACTTAGAAATTCATGCACCTCTCTTGGATGATCTCCACAAACAAATCAAAACCTTTCCAATATTTTCCTAGTATTTTCTGCCCCAATGCATTTTTCTTATTTTATTTTTTAATAAAATAGCCACAGGGGCCATATTTTGGCAGAAGTATTCCACATGTAATGTACACTTGATACTTTTGTATCAAAGCCTTTTGTACAAAGAGACATTTCTTTAAACTGAAGCTACCTTTCCCCCCATTTTATAATGAGATAATTTCCTTGCCAGTGCGCATTTGCCCTCACAGTGAACAAGAGGAGGAAACATAACTGAAACTGAATTACTGAATGACATAGATTCAAACAAAATCTGCAATAATAACGAGCCCAAATGCAGAAAAAAACTGATGAAGATATATACTTTAACCTAACCTTTTTCTTGTTTATGTCAATCCTGACATGAAACTAATTTGTAATTACAACCTGTAATTTGATCATTTAAACAAGAATTCTGAATTCTGCAATTCAAACTTGGTTTCCTTGTTAAACTGCTAGAAATGCTGAAAAGTATGCACAGCTATTAGATGCAAGAAATTAGAAAGTACTGTGGTCAAATGATATTACAAAGTCATTTGCCATATGTTTATTAAACCAAGCTGTAAAGGCGTATGAGGGGGGGGAATTCTGGCCAGCTTTTTAAAGTTTGCTTTTTAGGTGTTGTTTGACAGGCAATGCTAACCTATACACTCCTACTCAATACTCAGTTAAGTTCAATGGGACTTACTCCCCAGATTTCTGTTTTTATCTCTGCCTTTATGACACTGCTTTACCGTTTTTATGTTTGGATTTTTGTACACTGCTTAGCTATTTTAAATATTAAGTAGTTTAGAAATGCATTTAAATAAATACATAAATACATAAAAGAATAGGAGAATCACATACACTGTGTGATGCCTTGTGTAGTTTGACACTTAAGGAAGAATTTTGTACAGTGCTATGGAAATCGTTCTGTCAGCACAAGCATTTCAGTTAACTAGACCGAATGATCCTCCCCTCTCCTCTCCCACCCTCCACTGTTCTGGAGGCTCTTCTGACCTCACTGAGCAATTTATTATTATTATTATTATTATTATTATTATTATTATTATTTAGGAGTGCAGAGAGATGAGTGGGAGAAAATGCCCTAGGAAATCCTTGTATGGACTTCCACAAGCAGGAATCCACCTTACAGAATCATGGTGAGTTATGTTGAGTTGGAAAGGGCATATAAATTGAACAAATGGGGGTGCAGCACTAGTAACAGAGCTTCAGGCTCGAAAAGGCAATACAGCGATAAACCTGCTGCAGCAATAAAACTGCTAGCACATTTGCAAAGCTATGCAGGGTCTGGTATGGTTTCAATTTGGATGGGAGACCCTGTTGAGATTACTGCATTGCAGCAGGTTGGACTAGATCACCCCCGGGGACCCTCCCAACTCTACAGTTCTATGATCCTATGAACCCCTGGCGTAGTAGCACCTCCCTCACTATTTGTCTCCTTTAGATTCTTTCACCTTTGCATTTTTCACACTTCAGGAAACCTTGTGCAGAGGTTGGCGATGATATCTCGAGAGGCATGCGCACACACAGAGAACAAATTGACAAAACATTTCCCAAAATATCTAATAGATTATATTTTTTACTGTGAGGGAGGGGGAATGGTACTTGTGGGCTTTCCTGTCTTAGGTGCCAATATAACTTGACAAACCATGGGTGCTGTGCACCCTGACTTACGGAAGGAACTAGTCAGGGCTGGGGGAATGGCATTTGCTTCTGCTCTTCAGCCACCAAAACCTGTTGTGCCGACCCTGATCTATAACAACTCTGCTGTTGCTTATAAGGTTCCTTACTTGGCGTGAAAGACCAGTGAGTCAAGAACTCCTGACCTTGCTATGGGTTGTCATTTTTTCTTTTCATTTCCTATCCCAACCAGGCCATGTTTATTTTTTATAAAGTTCTCAAGTTTTGAAATCATACCAATATTTAAGGAAAGATAAGTTAGTTTAGGAAATGGTTACCGATTACCAAATGATTGGTCATTCATTACAATTTTGCAGGACAGTTTACACACAGAGATCTACATGAGTCAGTTTGCCTCTTATGTTCTTCAATGACTTGGAACACTCTGCTCTCAATGTGCATCAAAGCTCTCTGTCCCCAGCAGTGCCTTGCAGCTGTTGAATTGGGGCCATTGACTTCATTATAGATGCATTGAAAACTTGCATGCTCAGTTTCTTTTTTTCTTATGCACATGTACAAATGCCTCTGTAATAGAAGCATTAAGGAACGAAAGCTCTAATGCTGGAGGTGGGAACACTTATTCCTCTTTTGTCTGCTAAGGATTTCCACCCTAAGTTCCCTGTGAAATGGTCATTTTAGATGAAGGGGCACTGTAAATGGGAGGATGAAGAAACATTTCTACCCTTTAAAAAAAGCATTGGCAACAAAACATTGCTTCATGTGCAGGTGGATCTTGCTTTAGGTTTCCCTCTTCTGAAGCCCATCTGGGGATGTTAGTTTAGCTCTATTGATGTTTAAGACTGCCTCTTTCATCACAACCACATGCCAAGACAATAAGTAATTGAACTGCATGTTTTGCCTTTTTAAAAAGGTGTAATCTCCTTCTGAAGAAGGGAGATGTTGAGCAGGATATTTTTTCTAATTTATCTGTCATCACACCATGCCGGCGAGGTTCCAAGCCTTGACTGCGGCATCTCTTTATCATCTCCTTTTGATGAACACCTGTTTTCAGCATACAAATGTGGATCTGCTGAGATGCAAAATTAAAATAATTTCAACAGCATAAGAATAATTAGGAATCCTGCCTCTACTGGGGAGGGGGGAAGCTGGGGAGGGTCCACCTGTTTGAAGCACTATATTTTGTTTGTTTCTACTTTACTCTGATATATAGATACATATATGGTTAGAGAAATCTGAATGCACACATGCCTGATATTTTTTTCAGTAATAGTATATTTCTATTTGTTTTAATTTTGGATATAGTTAGCCTAATTTACATGAAGAGAGACCAAGGCTGCACAAGCCTAGAAAAAGACTTATTTTCCAAATGATAGAATCTGACTTTGAGGTTTTTGAATGAGCTCTGGAAACCCTGCTGCAGTTGCTGCTTAAAATGTGCTGTACAAAATAGAAAAGTGAAGGCTTTTAGTACAAATTAAAATGACAGGGCAAGGATGGTGTGGGAGGTCAAAGACTAATAGATGAGGATATGTTATAGAAGAGGCATGTTCCCTTCAATTGGGCCCAGAGAAACAGGGACCTAGTGCATATAAAACAGGATCAGCGTAATATGAGCTGAATTGCAGACACCAGAAAACATTCTGGCCATTGCATTTTGCACTAATAGAGTGTGAGGGAGGCAGGTATAACAATGGCCAAATCTGCTTTCTCCAGAATGATGCTCAGCATGTGCACCAAAGTTAGATTGAAGGTACTCCTAGCTACGGCATCCATATTATTTTATTGGCAACTGAGGAAGCACCTGGGGGTGGATCAGACACTGAGCTGCTTGGGCATACCCTGCCTCTGTCTCTAAGGATGTTCTAGCATGAAGAGAGCCAGCGTACTCACAGGAGTGGCTGCTTGCATTCCCAACCTGTTGCTTGGGACCAAAACACACAAATGACTGTGCCCACCCCTGTCAAGTGTTGAAATGGCATCTTAGCTTGTACCTAGCCATGTACCTTTGAGCTCTTCTTTGAATTCTTGAACCATGTAAGCTGTAACGTGATCTATGTTTAAGCTGTTTAGTGATTTTTGGAATAAAGCCTTCAGGATTAATCAAGGCTAGAGGCCAAGTACTGTGTCCACGAGCGAGAGCCAAGACAATATTTCTGTCCATCTTGGACTAAAGACCTGCACACACTGAACTTCGTAGGCTTAGACCTCAATTCCAGTGTTATGTCTTATGCATGGATGCTGGGACCTTCTGGAGCAGGTCATGTGATTCTCATCCTACTCTTCATCACATATATGGTTCTACACAGGAAGAACCCTGTGTGACTCTGGATTTACAATCCCTAACTTGGCAAGGTACCTCACTCATTCATGAATACGACTTACTCAAAGGAACTACATATTTGCCACTGCTTCTACAGTAAAGGGCAATGCAAATCCTTCCTGGGTAATGGCAGACCATAACAGGTCAGCAAGTGTGCTTTTTTATTTGCAGCCCTGCTGCTCATACTAGCTGGGTAAAAGACAGGCGAACTGCTATCTCAGCCTGGAACTGGCATGAAATGTTAGTGAAGCTATCTCAGAAGCCAGTGGGCTCTGGACAGGCTCAGCCCTTTTCCGACCCAGGAGCACCAAGTTTGGGGCATTTTGTAGGCTTCCATTAGTGGCGTGCTTCCTCTGTCCACCTGTCTGGTGGGCCAAACAAGAAGTTCCATTATGGCAGAGGGAAGGTCAGCATGGCTGCCCAACCCAGTCCAACCCTCCGAGCTCAATGCAAAGCGGGTTTGTTTTGCAGCCTAATTTAGTGAATGGAAAAATATATAGCATAAATGGAAACATTGGAATGTCAGGAAATAATGCAAAGGTATCTCAGTTTTACTGAAGCTGTGAAATTGAGAAACATCACTAGCTTTAATAATAAAGTTCCTTAGCCTTGCAGTCTTATTTCCCTTTCTACTGTATATGCATTGGGCATTGGTTTCAACTAGAAAGCTAATTACACTAATTTATCCACACCAACATGTGAGCAATGAGCAGATACTTGTAATTAGGGTGTAATTTTTTAATCCCTCCCTGGCTACTTTCAGAGGCACAGCAGTAACAAAATTTCACATATACTGGAATGGAGAATACAGATTCTCAAAGCGCAGCTAAGATTAATTTAACTAGAAGAAAACAAAGAAGAACTTGGAAAGACATATTTACTACTTGCATACTTTTATAGGAGGTTGTAGCTAGAAGCCCATCAATTTTCAGTGGGTGGGGGAGGGTTCCTGTCCCCTCCTCAGTGCCAGTCATCATCCTTAGTCCGTGAAGCAGAGAAAACAAGCCTGCCCCATTCATGTATATGTTTGCTTCAACTTTAATGGCAGATGGGATGGTGAGGAGGTTCTTTCAGCTATACCCTCCTTGCCTCCCTTATAATTGAATCCATAGCCGTTAATACTGTAATATTTCAGGGACCATAATGTAGACAACAAGAATGAGTACTGGCTTAAAACACAACTGTAATCTGTAGAGTGCTGCAACAATTTATTTAGCTGTCTAAGCCTACATCTGTTCAAACAGTCTCAGTGTGACCAGCATGTCTTCAAATTACCATTTATTTAATATTATTGACTAGTGGCCTCTAACGGGAGTATTTCTAAACAAATGTAGTATCACTACAGGTGGAGCAAGAAGCAGAGCCAAGTGTCCCCCCCATCCTCTCATCATTATCATAACAATCATTTTTAAACTGCTCTTTATCCTGAAGGATCCCAAAGCAGTTTACAAAATAGTCAAATCAAATGCATCAAGCAATGATGAAATTATATAATACTAGAACCCTAGAAGTAAAAAAAAACACCATTGTAATCATTGCAATATTAATGCACCAGAAAACAGAATAATTATTGGGCTTTTCATATCACTTAATTCCCAAAGTCCCAAAGAAAAAGATGCTTCTTCAGTTGACATTAGAAAGCTCTCACTGGAAACGATAACTGCACCTCCAGAGAAGCGGAATTCCATAACTGGGGTTCCACAACAGAAAAGGCCCTGTCTGACATTAATAAACCTACTGTTCCCAACCCTAACCCTGCGGAAAGCCATCTAATTAGACTTTAATTTGTTTTTGACCTGTTTTTAGGAGGTAATTTAATTATTGTTTGATTTTATAATAATGGTATATATCTGATGTTAGCTGCCCTGAGCCTGACTTCAGCTGGGGAGGGCGGGATATAAATAAAAGTTTTATTATTATTATTATTATTATTATTATTATTATTATTATTATTATATCTTCTTTAATGACAAATTATTCATGGTCTCTGGGTCCTTAGAAGGAGATAAGGAATTTCCCCCCACCCAATATACCCATAAGCTGTATTTGCAATGCATCACTGACTTCCCTTCTCCCCTACTCGCCCTGGGCTAGGAGACCTTGGGTGGCCCAAATATAATAGCCCTTGGAGCTGGATGATGTCTGGGCTGAAGGGTGGTGATGGAGATGCTCTTTCAGGTTTTTCTTTAGGCACCAGGCAAAAACATCCCTCTTCTCCCAGGTCTTTGTCTAATTGTTGTTTTTGTTTGTTACTATGTTACTTTCTTTGTTTCTTTATATATATTGTAAACGGCCCTGTGATCCTTGGATGAAGGGCGGTATAGAAATTTAATAAATAATAATAATTGTGACTAGTAGCCACAATAGCACTCTTCTCCATGAATTTCTCCTATCCTCTTTTAAAGCCACCTGTGGGAGGGAGCGCCATAGTTTAACTATGTGCTGCATGAAGAAGCACTTTCCAAGTCACTCTATGATGAAACTGATTTTGGTTTGGTTTGGGGACAGAAACTGTCTTGGTCACCTTTGCTGAGAGAGAAATAGGAAAGTGTGACCTTGTTGATTTTCTTGGAATTCTTGACAGCTATCCTTTGATCAGGGTATCTTTCTAGATGAGTTCTCCAAGTTGAGTGTGGGAGGCACTGCTTGTCTGTGATTCCGCTCCTACTTGGTGGAGCGGGGCTGATACCAGAAAATAGTGCTGAGGAACCATTAACTGATCCCTTAACAATAATATTTTGGGGTGCCACACTTAATTATTCTTTATTTCATTCTGTTGAGCATCTTCCTGAAGCTTGAGGTCATTCAGAGATTTGGTGTAAGGTTCCACCAGTATGCAAATGACACCCAGATTTTATATTTCTTCCCCTCCTCATTTTCCAGGGGTAAGTAGTAGTAGGGGTAAGTAGTAGAGCTTCATGTTTCCACCCTGGACCAGATGGGAGCCTGGTGGGATCTGTGTGCTTTTACTCTACCAATTTGCAGAATTGTCTAAGAAGCATTGTAAAAAGAGCTATTTGTGGAATAAAACTTTTGGTAGAAATTGAAATCTTGTGATTAAAATGTGTATCCAAACTAAGATTATTTAATTATTCTGAAAAATCAATTGATTGCTCACATTTATTATTTGGTGTGTATGATACCTATATCGCAAGATACTGTACCCTCCTTCACCAATTGCTACTGGGGGGGGGAATGAAAACTCTGTTAAATTCACAAAGTATTCTTAATACAAAACTGAGTAGCATGTGGAATAACATGACTGGTCGGTTGTGGGAAATTGCATTGAGAAAGAAAGAAAGAAAGAAAGAAAGAAAGAAAGAAAGAAAGAAAGAAAGAAAGAAAGAAGTATTAACTCCTTTTGTGATATAGGATTTATTTTTGGTTTAGAAGATATCCAGCTTCTATTATTTCTTCTCTGAGCCTTCACAAGAGCAGACATACACAGGGTTCTTGCTCCAGCACCTTAAACCTTGCCTGAAGGAATCACAGAAAATGCACAGAGCAGTGTCATGTGAGGGCAAGTTTTAAATTAAAAAATTGCCATTCAGCACAATGCAACTCTTCAGGAGGAGGTATCCTCTGCAATGCAGTTCCCATTCCTGAAATCTTCAAGATGACCTCCCACATGTAACAGGGGGAAATATCTTTGGGAGGGACCACCCGGCTTGGAACTCAAGCGGTAAGTGTTATCTCAGTAGGACCAGTCAAGTTCAGAAATGGCCTATTTAGGTCGCTTTGTATTTTTGTTTTAATTGTTCTCTCTCTCTTCTGAATAGGGCAAACTAAAGAAAAAGTGAACAATAATAGAGCTGTGTGGGATTTTGAAATATATGAATCTATAATAATTTCCCTCGGCTTTCATGGGAGCTAAAGAGTAAATATCAAATCCCTTAGAATGAGTGAACTTTAAATCTTCTGCCTCATCCACACAGACCTCTTTTTAAAAATTTGGTCTTGCATCCTAGCGGCCACAATGCAGCATTTAAAGTGATCTGAGAGCCGACAGTAGTGTGCTTGGGTCATGAACTAGTCAGAACTAGTTTTAGGCAGGCAATTATTTATTCCCTCCCAGCTAGTTTCTGGCTACCCTCCTTTCATTTTTATACATATTTAACTTTCTTTTGTGTGCTCAAGGTTACGAGATTCCAAGGTTATGAGATTCCATGCTGTCATTTCATTCACTCTTGTTATGTTTAAAATAGAGAAGAAAGCAGCGTGTTTCCCCTCCCTTCTTTCTCTCCTCTTCCAAATGTTGCAAAGAGGAACAAATCAAAATTAAAAAAAACACTTCAGACAGCAACAATATAGAATAGTGCAATCCTATGCATTTTTACACAGAAATAAGTAAGCTCCTCTGTGTTCAGTGGGGCTTATTCCCTGGTAAGTATGTGTAGGACTGCAGCCTTAATGCTATAATAGCACGACTGCCAGAACATAACCAGTGACTTTGGGCATCTGTGGGACTGATGCTATGAAAACAAAAGCCATCCATTTATTATTTATCTTGAAGCAGATCTCTCATCTACATTACAAACTGCTTTGAAAACTGGCCCAAGTTTAAAAATTAATTACAATGCAACACGGAGGGGTCTGTTTAAGGCAAAGAGGATGTGGAAAAGGACCATTGGTAATGAGAACATGTACCATTAGCAAGCTTCTTCCACAGAGTGCAAAGGTTAAGCTATGTTTTTCTTTTTAATTTCAGAGATGGCTAACAGAATTTGTACATGCGCACAACCACATAGTATAAAGTGGGAAGTGTAGACACTGAGGCCACATACACACTGACCCATTTGTAGTTTTTCTCAATTTGAAATCATTCATGCTTGTACTCCACTACTTTCAATCTAGATTGATTCCAGATCCTGCCATCCACAAGGGTAGACATAGTTACTTGATGCACATTTGAAAACCCTCCCTGTGATTAGGTCACACACACCTTTTCCTCCTTTCACATGTGCCAGGTAAATGAAGAAGGAAGTTGTGGTTGTGATCTTGCATATTCCCACCAACAATGTCATTGATCAGGTGTGACCAATTGCCAAGACTGCTCATATCTTTTTTCAAATGGACACACTGCAGAGTGATGCAGAATCAATCTACAGCGTGCTTTTATTTTTGGAATGAAACCAGTTTCTCAATAAACTCTTTTCAGGGGCAAAAATATGCAGTATAGGTCTAGACCATGTTTGAACAATGGAGAAAAAACAATAAAATGTGTGTACACAGCCTGGGTGTACAGTTGTACTTTTTACAGTACCTGTGAGATCATGATAATGTGATCATAGTTGCTGGTTCACACTGTTTACTGTTAAGTTCACTTCACACTCATCCTTTTCTACATGATCATGTGGAGGAATCTGACTTAGGCTTTAATTTACCAGTCAAATAGGCATTTAGAGAATTTGTGTTAAATACAAGTGTCAACCAGAATTTCATTTTACCAGCTGCTGGTAAATAAAAAGGAAAGGATGGATAGATGGCTACAGGGCTTTTCCCCCAACTGGGGGAAACTCAGTTCCAGCACCTCTCAGTTGGGGCAATTGCCATTCTAAGAGAACCAGAGAGGCGTTCATTGTGAGTTCCAGCACCTCTTTTTCTAGAAAAATAGCACTGGATAGATAGATGAACTAAAATTAAAATCCTTTCACTCTTTATTCATTATCTTGCCCTCAGATAGTTTCTGCCCTATATAATTTAGAAATTATTTATTCCATTATGATGCATCATGATCACCACCATGATAATCAAAATTGTAGTACCTCACATTTTGAATTTTTATGCAAAAAGTGGTACTCTAAGCTCTTAACCTCTCTCCCAGTGCTCACTGGTCTTTCATTAAGGGCATACAAACATAAGAACAGCTGGCTGGATCATGCCAATGGCCCATCTCCCAATCCCCTCCCAATGAAAGTCCGAAAACTCTCCAACATACTTTCACATGAGACAAGTAGCTCTGCAAAAAGGGGAACATTTTTGGCTCAGCATAACTTTCATTGGGATGCACATCCCAATTTGAGGAACATTGGTGCAGCTTTGTTGCCCCTGCAGTGTGGACATGTCCCCCCACTGATCCTTTGGTGATCTTTTGAAAAGCTATTGGTGTTCTTTTGCTGGGGTGGAAGCCCGGGCTTCCCCCGCCCCCAGCTCCGGGAGCGATGGCGAGGTTGAGCGCAACCTCGCCTTCGCTCCCGGACCCCCAGCCCTGAGGCTGAAAACGAAGCCAAGACAGCTAGCGGGATCCATCCCTCTCGCTGTCATGGCTTCTTTGCTCTTTGGGGCTTGGGGGGGGGAAATATTTTTTTTTCTTTATTCCCCCCCCCAAATAAGTGCGCCCTATGGGCCGGTGCGCCCTATAGGGCGAAAAATACGGTAATTTGTTCCGAAGGTCCGTTCTTAACCCGAAACCGTTGTTATCCTGAGGTGCGCTTTCACTAATGGGACCTCCCATGCGATTTCTGTTCTCATCCTCAGGCAAAGTTCTCAACCCGAGGTACTACTTCCGGGTTAGCGGAGTTTGTAACCCGAAGGGTTTGTAACCCGAGGTACCACTGTATTTCAGTGGGAAGTATGGGCCTACTTTTGGCTAATGAGATGGTCAATATCCGGTTCTATATTTGTCACTGCTAGCCAGCGCTCAGCAATAATGCAAATGGTCCGAGCTCATGCTGTATTTTCATTCATATGAAATATATACAGACACCCGTATACACACATGTGCACACATACACATACTTATATACATAGCTGGAGACTGAAAGGAGACACAATCGGGGGTCGACCCCAGCCCTGGGCGGTGAGGATTCCGGCTGAGGGGGGCTTTTTCTCTCTTCCCTCTCCCCAGCCCCTCCCCCTTCCCCTGCTTTCCTACCTCCTCTGCTGCTGCTGCCCGAGTAGCTCTGCATGCAATTTGGAGCTGGCTGCAGTGGTGGTGCCTCTCCTTTCCAGGCCAACTCCGCTCTTGCTGAGAGATCCCAGACTGCAGTGCTAGCTGTGGCCACGGCAGCTTTGGAGCCTGGCTCGGCAGCAGCGGCAGGCTCGGCAGTTGCCGGCATGGACTCCATGTTTCTGCCTGGGCGATCATACTGCTTCACCTTGGCACAGTGGCTGCCGCTGCCCATGTAGCTCTGTCTGCGGTTGGGAGCTGGCAGCGGTGGCTGCGCCTCTCCTTTCTGGGCCAGCTCCGCACTCACTGAGGGATCCCGGGCTCAGGGCATCGGTGGCAGCTCTACCAATGAAAGGCCATGTCAGCGTTTACCTCAGCGCATCGACGGCAGCTCTACCAATGAAAGGCCCCACGCTGCGATGAGGTATACGCCAATGCGGCCTTTCATTGGTAGAGCCACCGCTGCGCTCCCGTTACACTTTGGGGCACGGGGACTCCATCCTGCAGCCAATCGGAAGCTGCGAAAGTGCCGCTGCCTGCCAGTCGGTCCCCGCGCGGTGAGGCTTCTGTGGCTGCTTTTCAAGGAAATGCCTTACCACTCCGGGTTTACCTCAGTGCACGGGGACTGACTCAGTGGGTGGCAGGGTCCGCAGGCCAGATTTACGAGCCTAGTGGGCCAGATCTGCCCCACGGACCATAGTTTGAAGACCCCTGCATTAGTTTGTAAAGCAAACATAAACATCCATGTTAGATACCTGAAAATTCATTGTGTAGACACATATATCTGGGCACATTCTCAATCTGAATAATATTTATCCAGAAATACCTTACCTGTTGAGAAAGTCTACTGCTCTCTCTGTGTCTCCTGGTGCAGTCAGATTCTTCTTATTCCTCCCTCCCCAATAATATTTCAGCTCTTCAGCACTTATTTTAAAGATAGATGGAGCACCCCCCCTCCCCAAGCAGAACATTGTGCAGTTGGAGCTGGGGGGGTGGGAGAGAGAAAATGCTGGATGTGATTTCAAAAAATGTCAAAATATGTCAAACGCAGATACCACTCAAGGGTTTCATTAACTGAAGCTTTGGTGATAAGTGTCATCTTGTGAAAGACCCACCCATCTCCCCCAATGCATTACCAAATGTACTAATTTCCTTGCTGAGCTTGATGTTTATTGTATAGCTGAAATTGAAAATGGTCGGTAATGGAGTGAGCTTCAATCCAAGACCAATTCTGAATCTAAATTACTTGCTTCTTTCAATAGCATCGACAGAGGAGAGCTTTGTGCACCTTGTACCTAATCAACCCTTACTGTGACCCTAAATTCAGCAGTCTTCAGAGATTAATAATAAAATCCTCAGTTCAAACAATTATTTGCCCTGAACAAGTTGGCCATTTCTTATGCTGAAAATGAAAGAATGTGACATCCCCCCCCTCCTTTAAGCTCTGCATGTTGCGGACCTCCACATAGTTTTGATCTATGACCTGCATGTGGCTTTACAACTATAGACTCTCTATAGCCTGTACTACATTTTCTGAGAGATTAAAAAATCCCTATCTTTTGGAAGCTCTAATTTTAATATAATTGTAATTCTGTACTTAAAAAAAAAATACTTCTGCTATATGTGCTGATGTGTAGGACATCAAAACACTTCTCAAAGATTATAATAATATGCATTTTAAATCAGAGTAATTGCCAATTGAAAGGATTAGTATCTTGACAGACCAGACTATTTTCAGCATAGACTATCTATTCTAGGCAATGTGTCTATTCTGGGCAACTCTGTTTTGCATAAGGAACTAAATTACTTCAATGTTTGGAGGTTATGAAAATTCTGGGTATGTGATGCAGCCAGTTATAGAAAGATGGTGGAACAATTAATTTATTACAACGTTAACACCTTTCTCTAGGTTGTCTGAATGTGCTTAGAGGAAGAGAATATGGAATTTAAATAGATTGCAGAGAGCAGCTTCCTACATTACAGTTTAATGGCAAGCGTGCCAATCCTTCATGGGCAATCCATGTCTAAATGCAACAATCCACATACAGATTCCTTTACTTATAAAAGGGTGCTCCATGGCTGGATGTGTACCTATCAAAGTGAAACATAGCATTATTTGCTTTAACACTGGCATTCATATTTAAGTGGGTGAGGATGAAATCTAGATCATTCCCATTCTGTCATCTGGAAGGAGAACACCACAATTCATAGCACCAACCATTTATTTGACTCATGTATGTGAGCATCTGTTGATCTGAGGGCTCATCCACACTTCCGCTTGTCCTGTGCCTAGACAGCATGGGCCAGAGTGGTTTTTCATTTGTACCACCACTTTCATTTGTGCCTCCTTTAGCAAAAAGCACTAAAACCTGGAAGAGAGAGACATCAGATACACAAGGTTTTGCAAAGTGCTTTGCGCCTTTCTACAAGCAAGCAGTATATATATTTTACGAAATAAACTAATAAATAAATGAATAAATAAATAAGGAAGGAAGGATGATCCACTGGATGTCTTTCTTTGTCAGTTGTTAATCTCATTTTTGGATAATCTCTTTCTCTTGGCTTATTTTCCCTAAGAATTGGAACGGGTAAGAGCAAGGGAAAGTAGCTGTGATGACGAAAAGGGGAGACAAATAGTGGATAGAGAAAGACAGGGAATGGCTTCTCTTTCACTGTCACTTGCAGCTTTCTGTCTCTTTCATTTTAATGTGTTTGTTGATGAGGCAGCTTTCAGAGTTTTCAAGAATAACTGACTGTTCACATGGTGAGTATAATGTGCACCAAGGCTCATACATGTCAGGTAACATGATCAAGTTGCATCTGAGCATGTCCAGAATATTAAAGAAGAAACTGCTGTAGCCTTACTCTTGAAGAATCCTAGATAAATTCTGGCTAACCCAGAATTTAGATAACCCTGCTAGCATAAGCTCTGATTGTGGTACAATATGGATGTGGATTCACCTTTTTCACATCACCGTGACATTTTAATTGATCTACCTGCCATGACCTCAAGGTCCATTTCCTGGCCAGTTCAGACTCTGTAAGCTTAGATGTGAAGTTAGGGGTTCATTTATGTATGTATGTATTTAATTTGTCAGTTGCTTTATCTTCAGGGCAACGCAAAGCGACTGACAGCCAAATAGACAATAAACCCCACATAGATACATTAAAACCAAGATGAAAGAGCAATACATTAAAAACATCCCACCCACTTCTAAAAGGCCACAGATAGTTAAAAGCCAAAAACTTGGTTATAGAGGAAGGTTTTTGCCTGGCAGCTAAATATATATAAAGGTTGTGCCAGGCAAGCCTCCCTGGTGAGAGCGTTCTACAAACTGGGAGGCACAGCAGGAAAAGCTTGTTCTTGTGTTGCTACTGCCTGGACATTTCACAGAGGAGGAACATGAGAAAGGACCTTTGATGATTGCAGGGTCCAGTTTGGTTGAGAGGCAGTCCTTAAAATATTGTGGTCTTATGACATCTTTGTTGCTCCTATGTGCATCATTTCAGGCTAGTTTACAGTGAATCACATTTGCTATTTTAATGCCCATTCTCCCAGTTTGATGAGATCCTTTTGGAGCTCCTGGCAATCTTTTTTTGTGCATACCATCCTGAACAACTTAGCTGTATAAGCAAACTTACTCACTTTGCTTCTTACCCCTAACTCCAGGTCATTTGTTAACAAGTTATTAAGCATTATGAATAACTGTTAAACTAACCAACAAAGTAATTGTCAGGATTTTGCCCCTTTTAAAAAATGGGTTTTATTCTGACCACTTTCTAGTCCTTTGTTTCCAGTAATTTGTCTTAGGGACAAATTACATATTTTAAAAAGTAAATTTCAGCCTCATGGTTGGAATTTTGAGAAACCCCAGCATAAACTATAATTCTCAGCAGTCCTGCATTGACAGATTACCCTTGTTTGGCAAAGTTTTGCACTTTGAAAGAACCAAAGAAACCAGTGAGAGAAAGTGGGGAGTGTATGAAAAACAATGGATTTAAATATCGGATATCAGTTACAATGAAATATGTTTGAGAAAGCTGCTCCCTATTCAGCAATGGAATCCCTGTTCCTCTAACAGAAGTAATAGTTCACCTTACTGTGAATAAAACTCTGGTACAACTAGATTTGTAAGAGAAGGAAAACTATGTTCCTAAACCTCCGCTGCCTTGTAGGATATCTTTGGGAGGAGAAAAGACTTAAGGAGTAAACCCTACACAAATCTGGAGTTCCGAAAGATGGCGCCTTGTATTGCAGCTCCTGCAGCCAAGCTGGTGCCAAATGTATTGCTCTGTTTTCCTTTGGACCACATTAGTGAGGCTAAGAGTCTTGTCATCTGGTCAGCCCAGGACCTCCATACACACTGCTCAGGCTTGTGTCCCAAGGAGGTCATTTCGGTGCTAATGCAGTGGCTTGACTTCACCCCCAGAGGTGTACTCCATTAACTCTCAAGACAGAGAGATGTCAAAATTGATACATCTGCAGATTTAACTCATTTTGGTATTCAGTACAGTTGTACCTCGGGTTACATACGCTTCAGGTTACACACGCTTCAGGTTACACACTCTGCTAACTCATAAATAGTGCTTCAGGTTAAGAACTTTGCTTCAGGATGAGAACAGAAATTGTGCTCTGGTGGCGCAGCGGCAGCAGGAGGCCCCATTAGCTAAAGTGGTGCTTCAGGTTAAGAACGGACCTCCGGAATGAATTAAGTACTTAACCTGAGGTACCACTGTATCCATGTTCAGGGTGTTCTGTAATTGCAAAAATAATTCAAAAATGTTACTAAAATATTAAAATAGTTGCCTTATATTAGATTATTCTTGTAACTTTGTCTTTATAACTTTTTACTTCAGCTGTGTGAGGGAAAACATGCAACCACTAACTTTAGCTTATAAAATCAATTAGAATTCAGTCCCATTGTTATCCATAAGCATATGGCTTGGAGTCCCTCCCTGCTTTCTCCCTGAGGTGTGAAAGAATCACTCTTGCTGATTTCATTACTGCTCAGCTGTCTTTGTTAGGAGTCTTGACAGATGTGAGGATAAGTTGACTTAGGAGATCACTAGGTGGCGTTAGAGGGCACCTATGTGTCACTGTCCACGGTATTCTAGCAAAAGCATACAACAACTGGAGAAAGAATGTTTAAATGCAATACTGAATTAAAGAACTTGTGGGTCCCTAACCTGAACAGTTATGCAAGGCCCTACATTTCATTGGCCATATGCTTACTTCTCAAGTTTTGCCATCTGGGGTGTCTTTTATATGTCCACTTTGTGCAAATTATTATTATTTATTAAATTTATTGGTTGCTTTTTGTCACAGTAACTCGAAGTGGCTTAAGCAAAAAACATACATTAAAACCAGCATTTTAAAAAATCTAAAAGACAATTCTGTTTCTTTCTTTTTTAAAAAAACAAACAAATTAAAACATCCCACCCAAGCAAAAAGGCCATAGATAATTAAAAGCCAAAGGCCTGATGGAAAAGGAATGTTTTTGCCTGGCGCCTACTCAGGTCTGTTATTGGTTCCTTGTGGAGGACATGAAGGACTATAATAGGGCTTTCTGTTCCATTAAGCTTTATAAGAGGTCTTCCTGAGCGCTGGTGTGTTCCAATATCTTTTGATAGTCCTTCCATTCCTAATTTCTGGGTTGTTCCTTGAACCTGCCTCCGGGATTGTCCTCTGGTCATGCCTTACTTTTCAGTCCCAACTACTGGCTTCATCCAAAAGATGCTTGTACTTGCCTTATGTCAAACTGCTTCCCATGGATTTATGCTGACATGGAGAATCCAGTGCCTCTTTGACTAATTCCTGCCACCTGTGAGGGTGAAATGCTACAATAATAAAAGAAGTGAGATAAGTTCAAACACTCAGGTGGAGAGCCCTAGACAACCACCTCCATATTTCCACCATCAACCCAACCTCAATGGAGACTTAACTACTGAGTAACTCCACACTATGATGGGCATACAGAATTTATCGAGAAAATACAGATTTTTCTATATTAAGAAATGTGGCATTGGGCTACATCATTGTTTCCCATGTTTTTGGAACTAAGCACACACATGGGGACTTTACTCAGGGGGTATTTTGAGCAAACAGTGAACACCCAACAAAGGGGCCGTTGTGTTTAGATAGAGCCGCCGAGCTGCCCTACCTTCTTTGGTGATCACTTGTAGCCAAGTAAGAGTGTATTCCATAAACATGGTTTTAACAGTGAGTCTGTAAGTGACTGTGGAGGCCAATTCTGGATCTACACATCCTTCCATAGTGGGGACATAGGTTTCCAGGCAGGAGTTGATCACGGTGAGGGTTTGCCAAGTGTGCCTTCCTCTTAGCATGTTTCTCCCTTTCGTCCTGAGTTTGAGAGTCTTCAAAGCCAATGACACCTTTGGTAAAGGCTGTTTTCCAATTGGAGCACTCGCAGGCCAGTGTTTCCCAGTTGTTGGTGTTTATACTACATTTTTTAAAGAATTGCCTTGAGAGAGTCTTTAAACCTCTTTTGTTGACCACCATTTTTAATAAAAAAAATTCCTTCCAGTAGCACCTTAGAGACCAACTAAGTTCGTCATTGGTATGAGCTTTCATGTGCATGCACCATTTTTAAGTTCGGAATAGAGTAGTTGCTTTGGAACAGGGAACCTAAGGCCCGTGGGCCGGATGCGGCCCAATTGCCTTCTCAATCCGGCCTGCAGATGGTCCAGGAATCAGCGTGTTTTTACATGAGTAGAATGTTTCCTTTTATTTAAAATGCATCTCTGGGTTATTTGTGGGGCCTGCCTGGTGTTTTTACATGAGTAGAATGTGTGCTTTTAATTAAAATTAATCTCTGGGTTATTTGTGGGGCATAGGAATTTGTTCTCCCCCCCCCCCCGAAAAAATAGTCCAGGCTCCCCCCTATGGTCTGAGGGACGGTGGACCGGCCCACGGCTGAAAAAGGTTGCTGACCCCTTCTTTGGAAGATGATAATCAGGCATCTGCACAACATTACCAGTCCAATGAAGTTGATGTTGAGGAATCATTGCTTCGACACTGGTGATCTTTGCTTCTTCCAATACACTGGCATTAGTTCTCCTGTCTTCCCAAGTGATGTGTAGAATTTTTTGGAGACACCATTGATGGAATCTTTTGAGGAGCTGGAGATAGTGTTTTTAAGTGGTCCATGTTTCACAAGCATACAGTAAAGTTGGTAGCACAATAGCTTTGGAAACAAGCATTTTGGTTTCCTTCAAATGTCCTGGTCCTCAAACACTCTGCACTTCAATCGGGAGAAAGCTGCACTCGCAGAGCTCAGGCAGTGCTGGATTTTGGTATCAATGTTGGCCCTTGTGGAAAGATAACAGCCCAGGTAGGAGAAGTGATCAACATTTTCCAACTTTACACTATTGAGTGGGATTTGTGACACTGCACAGGGGTTGTTTTGTGCTTGTTGGTGCAGCACTTTAGGTTTTTGGATGTTGAGCAATAGGCCAAGCTTTTCGTAAGCTTCTACGAAGATATTTAGGATGGTTTGGAGGTCATCCTCTGAGTGAGTGCACAATATGTTGTCATCAGCATACTGAAGCTCTGTGATGGAAGTTACGGTAACCTTACTCTTTGCTTTCAGCCTACTCAGATTAAAGAGCCTTCCATCTGTTAGATATATGATTTCTACTCCGGAGGGGAGTTTCCCTTCGACAGAGTGATCACCAACACCGGGGCTGCCATGGTTTGTTTGAATGGGTTGGAGCAGGGCAGTGCTAAAGTTGGGGCTTTATGGGTGCACCAGCAGAGCCAATCTGGTGTTCCCACCTGTGCATTTAAATTTCTGAGCACCAACCTGAGGCTTGTCTTTTATTTTTTGGCTTTCCCATTCCCTACAGTGTGGGAATCCAGCACTGTAGTCTTGCAGCTTTTCATTTTGTCATCAAAACCTATTGTTGCAGGCAGGACATCCAAAAGGTAGTCTTTCCCCTGTGGTGATCATTACTGTTAGACCTTTCCTTCTGTGATTACAGTGATTAAAAGGATCACTGTATCATCAGAAAAGTCAAATTCACAAAAGTTAGTTGATTGATATATTACCACCATGCAGGGCCATTGCAAGAGATTGCGCTGCCTGAGCTGCCACTGCCCACTGTCCCCTGTACTGCTGCTGCTCCTCTTCTTCATCTCTCCCGCTCGCAGCAGTGCCTCTCCTCCCTTGCCTTCCTCTTACTGGAGAGAGTTACACTGTCCTTGAAGGAGCAGGTGGGCAGCCTGGAGGATAGCCAGGGTTTGGCTGTCCAGGCTGTGGTAACCTCTGGGTTAGATCACTGCAATTCGTTGTGCACCTTTGGGGGTGGTTTGGAAACTGCAACCAGTGCAGGATGTGTTATTTTGAATGTTAACTGGGACAAGGGCAATAGTGTCCTGTGTTGCAGGGGGTTGGACTCGATGACCTTCGTGGTCCCTTCCAACCCTGTGATTCTATGGTTCTAAGACAGGAACATTTAACCCTGGTTCTGGGCTGACTGCACTGGCTGCCGATTTGTTTGTGGGCCCAATTCAACGTGCTGGTTTTGACCGTTAAAGTCTTATATTGCTTTTCGGCGCTTGCTTAAACATTTTTGTGAAGACAAGTGTATGCAGACATGTAGAAGATATATATGTTTTTCTTATTTTTAGCTACCATTGATTTTAATAATTTTTTGAATATACTGATTTTTAACTGTTTTTATTGATAATTTTTAATGTTTTATATTGTTGTGAACCACTTAAGAGTTGGCTATTGTTATTACAATCAAGCAGTATACGCTCTCGCACACAAACATATATATATAGAATATATTATGGCTTGGAACTCCTATACCTAAAGAACTATCTTTCCCCATATGAACCTGTGGTCCAAAGGGTGGTGATTGACATATAGGGCCTTTTCTGTAGTAGCTCCCTGGCTATGGAATACATTTCCATTGGGAGGCCCATCTGCTGCTGTCATCATTTTGGTGCCAAACAAAGGTGTTTTTATTTTCTCAGGCACTTGAGCAGCACCAGTGATTGAATACTTCTTTTTCTGACTGTGTTTTTAATACATCTTTGTATTTTTATTATTGCATCTTATTCTTGTTGTAAATCGCTTTGGGACTTTTTGTTGTGGGAGAAATGTAAACATTTAGTAAATCTAGCTTATCCTCCATCTGGGGAAGCAAGAGGTATTATCATAGTTCAAGGACACAATTCTAGACACACGAAAGCACTTGAGGAGGGCTTCGGAGGACAGCCAATGAGATACGTATTCGGGGGGAGGGGGCGTTGCTTGGGTAGTAGCATGACCTAGTAGAGGCATGAAGATCTCTGGACCTAAGTTTCTTCTGCCTTGTTTTAGAGTGAGGATAGCACTTCTTGAAAAAGCAAACATTTTCATGTCCTTTTTGTGATGATCTGTGAAATGTTTTGGATGGCAGACAGCACTTGTTTGCAAAATTCCCCCTTTTGTTTCTAAAGTATTACTTTTGTATCTTTTGAAAAGTCCAGAAAGTAATATGCCGCATCCAATAAACAGCTCGTTAAAGCCTGCAATCAGATATGATTTTCTACATCTCCTTTCCACAGTGAGTGCAAACAGGTGATGCGTCGTAATTAAAAACGATTTCTTAACTGCAGGCAGCTTAGCTGAATATCATGGAATTTGCTGCCCAATAACAGATTGTGATGTCAGTTTTGTATCTGAGCTGATGATGATGGGTGGAAGTCATTCTTGATTTTCATGCAAAAAATCTTATAATGAAAGAGAGGTCACTGTGATCTAATTATGATGCAGCAATACTGATATAGGGAAGGATAAGTCAAACACACAACAAGTAGATTCCCCCCTTCACTCATAAAACAGGCCAATTATAAATAAAGACAGTTTACAGATCTCCCCACAGAGAGAAATGTGAAATATCCATTTTCCACAAGAAAGGGATGTGGAGGAAAGAGAAGCATAACCAACTTGCGCTTTCTGCATCATCCTTACTTAGCTGATCTTCCTACAAATCTAATGGAGAGTCTGATCCTACAAAGACTTCTCTGAGGTGCCTAGACAAGTAGATGCTGACACCAAAATTGTGAAGGGTTCTGGAGGATGCCATGGAAATGATAAATAATAGCAAAATGCCACAACAGAGTACTGTAGCTGCTATAAATGTACAGTGGTGCCTCGCAAGACGAAATTAATTCGTTCCGCAAGTTTTTTCTTCTTGCGAGTTTTTCGTCTTGCGATGCACGGTTTCCCATAGGAATGCATTGAAAATCAATTAATGCGTTCCTAGGGAAACCGACTTCAGACCAGGTCCGGGGACAGTCTGTCCCCCGACCTCTTCTGAATGCTGGGGGGACAAGGGCTTTTCTTCCCACCCACCCCAGCATTTTAAAACTCCCGGGACAGCGGAGGGCTTCTCCGCTGTCCGGGGCGATCTTAAAATGCTGGCGGGCGGCATTTTAAAATTGCCCCGGGACAGCGGAGGACTTCTCCGCTGTCCGGGGCAATTTAAAGCCCCTGGGAAGGCAGGCAGGGGGACAAAGACTTTGCCCCCGCCAGCCTTCAGAAGAGGTCCTGGACCTCTTCTGAAGGCTGGCGGGGGCAAAGTCTTGTCCCCCCACCTGCCTTCAAAAGCTGTCCAGCCAAGGCTCGCGGACCTCTCCGCAAGCAGCGGCAGCACTGCCGCTGCTTGCGGAGAGTTGCCGGCATGCCGAGCCTGCGCGCGCTGAGATCAGCGCGCCCAGGCTTCGCGGACCTCTCCGCGAGCAGCGGCAGCGCTGCCGCTGCTTGCGGAGAGTTGCCGGCATGCCGAAGCCTGCGCGCGCTGAGATCAGCGCGCCCAGGCTTCGCGGACCTCTCCGCGAGCAGCGGCAGCGCTGCCGCTGCTTGCGGAGAGTTGCCGGCATGCCGAGCCTGCGCGCGCTGAGATCAGCGCGCCCAGGCTTCGCGGACCTCTCCGCGAGCAGCGGCAGCGCTGCCGCTGCTTGCGGAGAGTTGCCGGCATGCCGAGCCTGCGCGCGCTGAGATCAGCGCGCCCAGGCTTCGCGGACCTCTCCGCGAGCAGCGGCAGCGCTGCCGCTGCTTGCGGAGAGTTGCCGGCATGCCGAAGCCTGCGCGCGCTGAGATCAGCGCGCCCAGGCTTCGCGGACCTCTCCGCGAGCAGCGGCAGCGCTGCCGCTGCTTGCGGAGAGTTGCCGGCATGCCGAAGCCTGCGCGCGCTGAGATCAGCGCGCCCAGGCTTCGCGGACCTCTCCGCGAGCAGCGGCAGCGCTGCCGCTGCTTGCGGAGAGTTGCCGGCATGCCGGAGCCTGCGCGCGCTGGAGATCAGCGCGCCCAGGCTCGCGGACCTCTCCTGCCTTCAAAGCCGTCCGGGATAGCGGGAAGCGCTTCCCTGCTATCCCGGACGGCTTTTAAAAAGCTGGCGGTGGGGAGCAAAGCCTTCGGCCCCCGCCAGCCTTCCTGGACCTCTTCTGAAGGCCGGAGGGGGGAAGGCTTTGCTCCCCACCGCTAGCATTTAAAAGAGGTCCTCGGAGATTTCCCTATGGGCTTTCGTCTTGCGAAGCAAGCCCATAGGGAAATTGCTTTATGAGCGCCTCAAAACGGAAAACCCTTTCGTCTAGCGGGTTTTCCGTCTTGCGAGGCGTTCGTCTTGCGGGGCACCACTGTAATTCCATAATGATAAGTCGAAACAAAATAAAAATTCCTTCCAGTAGCACCTTAGAGACCAACTAAGTTTGTTATTGGTATGAGCTTTTGTTTGCATGCACATGAAAGCTCATACCAATAACAAACTTAGTTGATCTCTAAGGTGCTACTGGAAGGAATTTTTTTATTTTGTTTCGACTTATCATTATGGAATTACATTTATAGCAGCTACAGTACTCTGTTGTGGCATTTTGCTATTATTTATCATTTCCATGGCATCCTCCAGAACCCTTCACAATTTTGCTGTGAATGGCAGACCAACACGGCTACCTACCTGTAACCATAATGATAAGTGTAACCATGTTAGTTTGTAGGGGGAAAAGTAAAGAGTCTGCTTGCACTTTTTAAAGTTACAAAACTTTTTGTTACATGACTGCCATCGGAAATCCCCATCCTACTCCTTAACAGAGGTTTATACTGCATGAAAGGGAACACATCTTCTTCTGCAACCTGATCCCCTTTTTAGACGTATATCCCACTGGCACCTGCGAATTCACTTCTCTGAAATCACTCCAGATGTGAGAAGAGAAAATGGCACAGTCCAACATTCTGTCCCATGTCAGGCTTTGCTTCTTTGTGCTGGCATTCTGGCTTCTGTTCAGAAGCAGTTTTCATGTACTGAGATAAGACTGAGAGACAGACCGTACTTATATTGCATACATCCAATCTCTATTTGGACTGTGACCAACTGTACTCTTCGCATTCCATTGCCATTTAACTTTTGCTTCTAAGGTTTTTTCCCATCTGAAGAAGTGGTCTCCAGTTGATGAAGGACTAACAGAGCAATCCAAACCCTGGTTGGATAGCAGTGGCGCATGATAGAGCATAGCAGCAAATGTCGCATCTGCAGTCCATTCTGGCCAGGGCAGAAGTTGGTGTGTGTGTGTGTGTGTGTGTTTAAAGCCTGGTGTAGAGTTTGGGCCAAATTGGGACCAGTGCTGTCAAGTGAGTCAGCCCCACCCTGACCCCAGAATGCCCCGGAATGGAGAGCTTTGTACCAGTGGCGTGATTCTAGAGTCACTCTGCAAGCTTTTTCTGGGCTAGGTGGAAGGAGAACTCTGTCCCATCCAGTTCCTCCCATGACAAGTAATGGATTGGGGGGTTTCAATTGCACCCTAAATGTGTTAGTCTTTAAGGTGACACAATACTCTTTGCTGTTTTTACTGAGAAAGATGAAAGTCTTCGGATTTTTCTAGTAAGCAAAGTGCATTGGACTAGGAGTGTACCAAATTTCATTTTTCTGTTATGTGAATCAGGGTACTGGATCAGGCTTGTGAACCACCCTAAGACCTGCGGGCATAGGGTGGTATAACAACAACAACAACAACAACAACAACAACAGTCCAACATCCTGTTTCCACAATGACAGAAGCCAAAAAGTGGGACCTAAGCACAGCAGCACTCTACCTACTTGTGATTCCCAGCAACTGGAATTCATAGGCATACTGCCTCCAACAGTGGAGGTGGTACACAGAGGTACATTAATTCAATAAATACTTGTAATAGAGGAATTTATTTCAAAAAGCTCCATCTGAACGCTTCAGACACCCGATCCCACCTTAGTCTTGCATTTTGTTCATGTGAATATGCCTAATAGAAAAATAAGCCTGATATCTAGATTAGTGTGCTATGAGTAGGGAGCAAGAAATGCCTGTGGGCACCATAATAGAGGTATTTGAACATATGTGCAAACTCAAATCTAGGCTGAGTGCGGTGTATAGGTAAAAGACCACAAGCACTGACCCTGGGTGCCATAACTGCTAGGGCTGGCCTGAAATTTTTATTGAAGAACACTGTCTGAGTGTGGGTGTAGGTAGATGGGTGCTCAACTGGTTTTTGTAAGAACTTCAACGATGGGAAATCATGCAGATAGGCTTTTTTGGGTTAAATATTAAATAAAGGTTTCTTTTTGTTATGGATTCGTTGCTGTTGTTAGGTTTTCCTTCATTGGATTTGTTGCTCTTGTTAGGTTTGCCTTATTTTCCATTTATTAATTAAGACTAATGAGCATTTGTGGTTGAGGATCTCAGAAATACAAATCTGTTAACAAAAGACTTATTATCCAGCCGGTTTAAGAGAGAATAATAGACAGCATGTACATGGCACATAGACAAAATGTTAAGGCTAGTTGCTGATTTCATGTAGAAACAAGTGGGACCAGCAACAAAACAGAGTTATGTGGAGTGCTCTTGTTCAGGATTCCAGTCAGCCAGCCATGCTCTTTCTGGGATACTTCATTCCATTTCCATTTCCAGCCATCTGTTTGTCTGATTCCCCAACCCTACCCAACAACACTTCATCAGCTTTTCAGGCCCAATGAATTTGCACAGTCCTCATTAAGCTATTTTTGTATTATTCTCTCCCTGCTTAAGATGTCCCCCTCCCAAATATTGTTCGAACTTCACCAGACCTTGGGATTCTGCAAGTCTACTAATACCTCCCTCTTGTGTGTGTGTGGATAGTACCATATCAGGATTGCTGTTCAAAGAATGCATTTGATAGTCACTTATATTAGATTGGGAGAACCACAGGATATTATGAAACTATGACTATGCTAGAAGGGTTTAGATTGTACAGTACGGTGGTCAGACTTGCTGGTTCCATATTCCACATCTGATATGGGGGCAATTGTTATATGGCTAATGTCATGGATAATAAATTATTGACTAGCAAGACAAATGAAGAAGCATGCAGGTCTCCCTACAGAATTGGGATATCTTGCCTCAGAGGTTTGATTTGCTATTCTTCAATTACAGCTGTGCTGGTAGTTCACTGTCATTAGAATGATGTATCCATAAATTGTTTGTAGATGGAATTCATGTTAAAACATTCTGCAGGGGGAAAGGGAACATATCTTTTGTTTTTTTTAATCAAAGTATCTGAGCTGAAAAATCAGAATTTAAAAAGTTTAGTCATGGAGGTTTAATTCTCCAAAGTAAACTGGATTTGGGCTGCAATGCTGCAGAAACTTTCTTGGGAGTTAAATATAATTGAACTTCTGAGTTCATCAGTTTGTACTGCACACTTTGTAAATTGATGAGTCTTGCAGCCTGATGGTAAGGAAGCTTGATAAATTCAATGTTTGCACATACTTGTTCTTCACCTAATAGGTGGATTGGGATGTAGTTATCCATTGGTTTTCATGTGTCCTAAATTTCCTGACTCAGTTTATGTTTCCAAAATGTATAATTAAAAATATGCTTTAAAAGGCATGGTTTGAGACAAACTATGTTTCAAAATACCTGGAGGAATGTAAGAAGTGGGGTTCCATTTTTCTGGGACTTGTGCCTTTACGCGTGTTAATAAATGTTGTAGAGGTAGGGGAAAGTAGTAAGGTGGCCTAGTTTGCTGGTGACACCAAATACAAACTGTGTGAATGGGCAATAAAATTGCAAATGTGGTTCAGTGGATGTAAGCGGTAAAGTGTTAAACAGTGGAACAAAAAAAATATCTGGGACCAGAAGCAGTATCCTCTGAATGCCAGTTGCTGGGGAACAACTCATGTCCTGTTTGTGGGCTTCTGGTTGATCACTGTGGGAAACAGGATGCTAAGCTAATATGCCTTACTGGTGAACATGTGTGTAAGTGACTGATTCATTCATCCTTAGCCTGATCTCAATTTTTTTCTTTAGAAACTGGTCCCTCTGTGTTGATGGAATGCACTTCATTTTAAGGATATGCATAAGATTTCAGCTTTAAGACACTTTTACATGTGAACCTTGAAAATGTTTGTGCTCAGCTGAGTCTGTAAAACATAAATTGGTTAGAATATGTATGTGAATGATCTTTAATATTTCATCTGTATTAACAACTTCCATGCATGGCACTGTCATGAAGGAGTGATCCTGTGAGCAAGTATCGCTGGGTGGGGCCCCTCAGGCAAGTGGTAACAATTAGTCCACAAAGTGGGAGCATGTGATAGGGCTGGCTGCTTGCCAGCATTCCCCAGCCCCTATAAATCTTTGAGTTAACCTGCCGGGGGAGGAAGAGAACATGCCGTGTTTTAGACTTGCTGTTTGATGTTCTGTGGCTGGTGCCAGAGAAGAAACCAATAAAGCCTAATAACCAGTTCAGCTCCAAGGCACATTTAGGTTTATTGGGGGTGGGGGTGATGTTTCTACCCCTTGCTCTAAGGCAGAATAACTTAGAACAGGAAAAGCTAACTTCTGTATTTTCAGTGATCATTCAGTTTTCTGTACTGTGGTCCAGAACCCAAACTCATCAGGCTCCATCATAAAGTCACTATGATCTAACAGAAAAGCTTTGCAGTTCAGGAATACAGTATATACTCTCAGATCAGAACTCTGTACAGTATGTAGTTTTGCAAACTAAAAAAAGACATTTAAGCAAAGTGTGGAGTTTTCTCTTTTTCACAATATGAAAATGTTTTTCTTCTCCTTGCAAGTAAAGTTGGCACCAAACTTATACCAAACTTTAATTATAAATGGTAGAGGTGCCGGGAACCTGCTCTGAGGAACAAAACAAAACAGCCACTTTCAGCTGGCCAGCCATTTTTCCAGGTCAAACTGCATGTGAGCTTGGTCTAGTAATCACAAGATGCGGCCTGCAATACTAGCTGCATGAAGTTCAGGCCACATGCTCTGGCCAGATGTTCCAGTAGATGAGACTTCTGTCCCTGCAGTATAATGATTTTGAGTTATCATATAGTTTGTAAGAGAAAAATGTTATGCATCAGCAATATTTTTTTTAACAAAAACTCTGTGTAAAGAATGCATTAAAATATACCGGTATACTATATTTACCAAGAGCATAAGCCTACTGTTACTATAGCTACTAAGGCTATGATTCATCAGCAGCAAAAATATACATCAGCAGCTACCTGCTGATTTTGTTGAGTGCTATGCTCTGACTACAATTATACAGTTCAATGATATTCTCAATGGTGCAAGCACTTTGAAAATTTAGGCGGGAAGTACTGCTGAGGGGGAAATATATCATAGTGGTGGTACCATTTGCACGTTACCTTAGCGGCATGGTGCTGCCTCGTAACAACTTCCCCACAATGGGCTTCCACATCTTAGTAATAGATTACAAAGATAATATATCTGAAGTGTTTTGAACACTCATAGTGCCCTATGTAAATGCTAAACATTATTATTAACATATAAAAGTGTTGACCATATGGATCAGCTGAATCATATAGCTCCTTCCCATGACAGTGCTAGCAGACCTGATGGAGAAATGGTGTTGTGAAAAGAACTTGTGTGAGCACAGTAAGCCCCCTGATTGGCACGTTTAGCAATGTGGGTATGAAAACTGACTGTACAGAAGCAGTTTTATGATAAGATCGTATAATAAATAACATTTATAACTTGCTGTAACTGCTAAGGAGCTCAAGAGAGGCCAGGCAATCCTATTTACAGTATTAGATCTGTTTGTATTTAATCAGAGACATCTGGACAGGAATAGTAGTTAAGCCCAAGGGTAGTCAACGTTGTGCTCTCCAGTTGTTATGGGACTACAACTCACATAATAACCCCCAGCCAGCATGGCCAGTGAAAGAGGGCTGTGGGAGGTATAGCCCAATAGCATCTGGAAGGCACCATGTTGACTACCACTGAGCAATGGATTGCTTCACAAATATTCAATTTCACCCAGCATGTGTTATGAAATCAAAATATTAATGACCTACCTTAGAGGACTGTTGCAAAGGTAACAGAAAGCTTTGCAAATATCTCAAAGAGCAAGTGCGGCACAGTGCACTGAAGACTGGTTCAGCACATTCATGGAAGCGTACTGGGAAGTCCTGGGCATCTTATTATTAGTGACTAGTACTACTCAATTGCTGCATTTCTCCTGTGAGCTATAAACAGAATTAAAATTGACTTACCACACCAAAGACATGAAACACACTCTATGCTAGTCGGTGTGATATAGTTGTGTGAGTGAAAAACATAGGATTCAGTTCTTTCCTCCCATTTTTTTCAGCCAATGGTTTATTGATTAATAATTGTACTAAAGCACCTAGTAAAATTACTGAAATTGTGCAAGTACAGTATGATTGTGTCTTATGCTGGTTTTCCATTCCAAGGGTTCTGTATATGTGCAGAAATATGTATACTCAAACCTTTGAAACCGAACCCTGGCACAAGCAGCCCAGAGGTTCTGGAACTGGCACGCCAGCTCCAGAAGCCCTGGGATGCTCCCACAAAAGCATCCCAGACCCAGCGTGTGGAGAGAGCATTGCTTGGAAAGCAAGGCAGAGAACTTAAAAGCTATTTTTGCACTGGAAAAATCCAGCACAAAAAGAGCACAGTGCTCCATCCAAAGCAAGACTGACTCTGCATTTCTTCCAGCCAGCCTTCAACCATGTATAGTTGAAAACATGCGAGTTAAATGCACATAAGATATGGTTGTACTATGTTTTCAGGACTTGAAAAAAATATATTTTAAAACATCAGAAAAGTGTTTTAAGAACACAAATTAAAAAGTTGCTAAAATTATGGCGAATGGAATGGCAGTGTTTTTAAAAAACATTTTATTTAATTAGCAACACAGTCACATTTCATTTAAGCCATATTGCATAAATATTTTTCTATTTTAAAAATATTCTTGCAAAAGCATTATGGCACAAATTTTTAAACATTAATTTAAATGGTAGCCTCCAGAAGAGTAAGAGTGAAAGTGTATCAAATTGAAAATAGTTTACATTTCCTGATATATCAAATACATGTCAATGCCTAACCCCTTAAAGAAGACAGAAGAATTGTACTAAAATGAACCACACCTGAAGAAGTGTGCATACACACGAAAGCTTATACCCAGAACAAACTTAGTTGGTCTCTAAGGTGCTACTGGACAATTTTTTATTTATTTCGACTGCATCAGACCAACATGGCTACCTACCTGAACCCACACCTGGAAAGGCAGTGCTACTGTTCCATCTTTTGTGGGGGGGGAGGAGTATTTTCTGATGTTTGGGAAAGTATGGAAGTACAGAATACAACACAGGAAAAAAGCATGGGATAACAATACAGTATCAAAATATGATAGAGTCATAGAATTGTAGAGCTGGAAGGAACCATGAGGTTCATCTAGTCCAACCCCCTGCAATGCAGGAATATTTTTGCATAACATGGGTCTCAAAGCCACAACTGTGAGATTAAGAGTCTCATGCTCTACTGACTGAGATGCTTGGTAAAAAGTGAGTGAATGAAGTGTTGCAATTCCACGCGAAGTACTTTGCGTTGGGTCCAGAGAATGCCTGTAGAAAGGCAGGAGCAGATGGTGGCTTTACCCTCCTTCCTCTGGCAGGCTCCCAAGCGCCCTGAAAAGCCTTTCCTGGGAATCAGGGAAATGTACTGAATGGGTGGCTGTTGCTTGGGGAAAGGGGGTTGCCAAAAATTGGGCATGGGTACCTTATGTGAGCCCCCAGCTCCTGTTACTATAGCCCACCCCATTCAGCAGGGTTCCCCAACCCTTGTGAAATCAGAGATCTCAGCGGGTACTGGAGGGAGGAGGAAATCCGCCCCCCTGCTTCAATGGATGTTTCTCTGGACCCAATCCATAAAATGGAAGCATCCATAATTTTACCTCTCTTGTAGTGTGTGTCGTCATATGGAGGGCTATGCTACAGCACTGAAATGATATTGAGAATGCAGTGATTCTGCTTTTTATATTTTAATATGCATCTTAAGACCTATGTATTTTTATGCAGTTATCATTTAGGGGAAAGAGTTGTGCTCCAAATAAATCTATACATTTAAAAGATCCTTTACAAAATGTGTCCAATTTATTGCTAAGGCACAAGCTTGAAATAAGTTCAGGTGCCAGTTGGCTAAATGTGTATTTCACTAGAATAGCAGTGAGGTAAATGTGGCAAGCATCAATTTTGAGGCTCCTAATGTTCGGATTAACCAACACTAAACTTGAGTTTTCTGATCCGCATATGGACACGAGTCACTCAAGTCTTCAGACTAAAGTGGAATTACTAGTGACTTCCTCCTCTTATCTGGCCTGGCCACACATACAGCCCATTGGTTATCTCCAACCCGCTCAGGCTGTAAATGCTTCCAGGTCATAGCTAAGCTTTTGCTAGAGTAACAGCAAATAATTCTTGTGTGGTTCACTTCTCTTTCTTGTTGCTTATGCCTGCCCACTTCAATTCTAGTGTTCTTGCCTGTATATCCCCCTTGCCCAATGCTTCCTGGAAGTGATGTGAAAAATTCCCTTCTTGCCCATAGATAACAAGAGCAAGGGCTGAAAGATATAAACACAGATGTGGCAGGCAGGCAGGTAACTGGATGATAGAGCCTTAATTGGTAGGCTACTCTGGGTTTTGCCCATAAACCTTTATTTCTTTCCATTTCATTAACAGTATTTCCAAATGGAAAAAGTCTAAAGACAAATTGGTGTTTCCTACTACATAGCTAGTACTCTTACACTGGAAGAGTCATTAAGTAATCAGCACCTTGATTAAATAACAAATGACCACAGTAATCATGGTAGTGAAAGAACGTGCTGTGTGCCCTTTTTTAATACTGGGTTTTGTAAGACTTGCCAGTGGCTAAGAATTAATTTTGTCTTTCAAGATTAACAATAATCTGTACTCTTACTTTTCTTTTTTACAAGAAAGAAGCAAGGTTCACCAGGTTCATAGCACCTTGGAGGATAGAGGATGTTTAAAACCGATCTATTTTCTTTTAGTCTAACCTTGTCTGGAAGATATAGGAAAACTAATTTGCCTTATTTACATATGGCACAGTCTATCCAGCATTCAAGGGCCTGTCGGAAACAGGAACATTGTGCATTTCCATGGTAACAGATGGCATGCTGACAGTATCTGGCTCGTTGCAGCTTCGTCTAGGCAGGCCAACAATTAATCAGCCATCTACATGCACAAAATTCTTTGTGAGTGAATGGCACTGCTCCTCTGTAGTGCTGCCTGGGCTTTCACAATTTTTGTATTCCTGCAGGGCGAAGTACTTTTTTGTCTCTTGCATTTGTATTTCTCTTAGCTTTAAGGAAAAAAGAGATCCTGATTAAAAAGAATATGAAAACGGGGAGAAAAGGGAATCGGCACACTAATTTTTAAAAGACATTTATTATTTTTCTCGGAAGTGTCAAACAAGATGGGGATTCTTTCATGTCCTTGGAAGTTCTTGTCTGTCCATCCACCATTATTTCTCTTTCTGAAAGTGTATATTCAGATAAATCTATGTAGCAGAGAAGTATAGAATAATGTTTCTAACAGGATATTGTAGTTGAACTCACATTTTAAATAGAACCAAGTTTCTGGTCTTCATTCTTACGGAGAAAAACCAGATAATGCCTGTACTTGGTGCACCATTTCTCAGCAAGTTGAGATGCGGACAAGCATATTGCACCAGAACACAGTCGCTTTGCTTCTCACTTCACATGAGCAGCAAACACTGCATTTTGAATTCCAAGTTCCTCAAAATTAAAACAGGACAATGACAATAATGATGATGATGTAATCCTTTTTTCCAGAAAAAAAGAGCTAGTATCCTTCATTCATGACAGGGAAGACAAACACCTTCCTAGTTATTTTGCATTTTACTTACAGCATCATTAAAACAGTCTTCAGTTAAATAATGAATAACTTGAATAAGATTGTTATCCAAAATCTATTGTATCAAATAGTGCAATTAATGCCATAGTCACCTTAAGCATGAGCTATAAACACTGTAACGTCTCTGTAATGCACCAGATGACTTGATAGCACTAAGAGGTCATGTGACGTCAGTTTATTTAGCATTTTGGAGAATTGTTTTGAAATTGAATATTTGAAAGGGCAGCACTGGCTTCACCTGATTCAGATGTTACAGAGGTAAGTGCCATCAACATACTAGTGACACCTTGTTCTAAACATTCAAAGAACCACTTGCAATGTAGACATTAAAAAGCATTGGGGCAAAATGATATCCTGTGAGACCCCACAGCACAAATGCAGGGGGCTGACAGACAGTCACCCAAGGCCAGTCTCAGTAAATGGTCCTGCCTATTGAAAGGAAACCACTGAAATCCAGTGCCACCAGTTTCCATACCACAGAGTCAGCATGGGAGGATATCATTGTCAGTGGTATCAAGAGTTGGTGTGAAAAAGAGTAAAATCTAACTGGGTTGTAGCCCCCCTGTCTGTTTTCTGATAAAAGTAACCCAACAGGGACACCAAAGTGAATTTGGGCCTGAAACAAGACATGAAGCCACATTGAAATGGTCAAGATTAGCACTGCTGGCAGCTGTATGTCTCGGGAGACAATGGAGGAGTGCGCCTTTGGTCAAGCTGTTGGAAGGTTGCAGTGCCTGCTAGCTTCCAAGAATCTCTGAAGTTGTGCCACCATTTCTCTCTCTTGAACATTAAAGGTAAAGGTAAAGAGACCCCTGACCATTAGGTCCAGTCGTGGCTGACTCTGGGGTTGCGGCGCTCATCTCGCTTTATTGGCCGAGGGAGCCAGTGTTCATCTTCCGGGTCATGTGGCCAACATGACTAAGCCGCTTCTGGCGAACCAGAGCAGCACACGGAAATGCCGTTTACCTTCCCGCTGGAGCGGTACCTATTTATCTCCTTGCACTTTGACGTGTTTTCAAACTGCTAGGTTGGCAGGAGCAGGGACCGAGCAACGGGAGCTCACCCCGTCACGGGGATTCAAACCGCCGACCTTCTGATCAGCAAGACCTAGGCTCTGTGGTTTAACCCACAGCACCACCCACGTCCCCCTCTTGAACATTAGATGAACATAAAACAAGACTAACTGACCCTCTAGCAAGCTCCCTAATTCCAGTGGTAGCCAACCAGTTGCTTCTGGGAAGCCTATAGCTGGGCATGAAGGCAAAAGCCTTCCCATGTTATTTGATGGAGTTGGAGCTCAGTGGTACATCTCCTAGCAGAAAATGCCCTGGTTGCATCATTTCCCACCAGTTAAAATTACACTTAAAGCATCTTAATTTTGTCATGAAGATCTAGCCACAGTTGATTTTAACCCATTTTCAACTGGTGAATAAAAACCCACGGCTGTGCTGCAACCTGACCTAAGGTGAATTATGCAAACTGAAGCACAACAATCTTTTCTGGGACAAAAGAAAGGCGAGAAAGGCTGAGAAGAGTGAATAGGAAGAAGAGAGAGTAGATCAAGATCGCTGGAAAGACATTAAAATAGGTAGCAATAATAATAATATAAAGTGTAAAAGTTGGTCCTATGTTGCAGGTTAGAGCTAAAAGTAGGTTGTCCATCTGAAAAGCCTAAAGGGCACCACCTTAACTTACAGGATATAAAATTGGATGTTTGGTTTTGTTCAGGTTTAGAAATGTATATTATTATTATTATTATTATTATTACTACTACCACTACTACTATTATTAGCCCCAGCCACTCTGGGTGGCTCCCAAACAGATGTACTACCACTCAGCAACAGCCCTCCCCCATACAGGAAAATCATAAGCATCTTAATATGTTATCCTAATACCAGAGGTCAAGGTGAACAGTTTGTTACTTCACAGAGGTTCTTAAATGACACGACGCAGAAAGCGAGAAGCAAATGATCTTGTTGGGGATGATTAAATCAATGGCCAACTTAGATACTTCATTTAGATGAGTTGTCCAGGCACAAACAAAAGGGAGAAAGGAAAGATGACACTACATGTGTGCTGTATTCACATGTGTGGTTGTCAATAGTGGGCTGGCCTTAAACACCCACCTTTTGGAGTAGATAAAACCACCCTAGACTGCTTACAATTCTGCAGAACACTCCTGAAGCAAAAATATCTGTATATTTAAGGTTGGGTTTTTAAAAGCATTATCAGTATTTACTATTTACAGTTGTTAAATATTGCCATTATACATTGTTTTGAATGAAAGCCTGGCATGGTTAATTAAACACATGCTATCTATTAAAGCATTTATAATTTTTTTAAAAAATACGCTTTTAATAAACATGCTTCCCTTGTACTGTTCCCTGTAAAACAAAGCAAATCCAGACCTTCTCCTCTCCCAAACAATCTCCAAGAGCAATGGGATTCCTCTAGAGTAAATAGGTGGTGGATTGCAGCCCCAGCAGCTCAGCTGGTTACAAGGCATCTTAAAGGCTGAATTTGATGGCACCTTCAGTGTTTCTTAATTTTTACATCTAATATTTCGAATCCCCCCATTTCTCCTGCTTCAGGGCATCACTTAGCCCTGTAGGAAAACAGGGCTCCCCCTGTGGCCAAGTTGCTGAGGAGAGAAGGTGGGGGCTGATTCTGCTGTATGTGGCCAATTATGTTGACCTTTGTGATCCATCAAGCCCAGCCAGACCTCACATCTTGAGTTTTCCACCTATTTATGTCCCCTTCTTAGCAGCACAATGCTTTGCTGTCATGTCAGTTTGTGGTCTCATATTTTTTCCCACTCAGCAATGCACAATTTGAGATTGTGATTAGCATCTTTAATTCTTAAAAAAAAACGCCTGCTTAGAATTAGAAAGCTGAAGCCTAAAATAGTCCACCTGCTGTTCTGTAAAGAGTATTATTTTAGCACCCTGTGGACATGCAAAGTTGTAACCTACTGGCTTGGATTTAAATACACACACAAATTCCAACCCCCTCCCCCCAAAAAACCCCCCATCCATTCTAATTGTTGCAATAACTGGACAAAGCCTTTTTTCATGCATCTTCATATTACAAAATCCTTTTAAACAATATCATGCAAGAAATGGCTTGTGACTTCTGTCTAGGTCACTGTAAGATATTCACCAATTTTGATAAAGGGATTTAGATGATTACTATCTAATTCACAGGAGAAATGTCTCCAGACTGAATCTGTCATTTCATAACTATATACATGTTTAACATGGAGGAATTGATTCTGTTCCACCTCCCCAATTTTCTTGTTCATCTATAGGCTTAGCATTCAGCAATGAAGATTCTGTACTGTTCTGACTTTTAAGAAAGTAGAAAATACATATTTTTCCACCACTTCTGCTGTTTGAGGCACCTTGACAAAAACAAAAGCACCAATAAAACTTTTTTAAAAGAAAAATGCTTTAGAAGATACTAGAACAGCCACTAGGAAAAGAGATCAAATTTGATTTCTCTCTTAGCTGCCAGATAAATGGGACTTGCACTGTTTCTATACAACCAAAGGGAAGGAATATTTATAGATGTCTTATTTAAGACTGTTCCAAAGCCTTGGAGCTATAACTAAAAAAGCCCTGTTTGAACAGTGGAAACACGACCCGACCTGAAGATTTTTTGTAGATGGGAGAAAAGAAAGGGTCAACATTTAAGTACCATAGGTATGATAATTTCCAGGGGTACATTAAATTTGGCAAGTGCAATTGGTTGCTGGCTGGCACTACTGTTTTTTATATGCCTTGTCATTTATACTGCTGGCAGGGGTGAATTTACATGGAAATAAGTAATTCACAGTTACTTATTTCAAACAAATGACTTTTGAGGAAGGCTATTACAAAATTCTACTCCCCCCATAACTTGTCCAGTGGTACATTCTTATTAAGATGCATAAGTTGTACATAATACATAAATAAACGTATTGCTTGTGTACTATCAGTTCAAGTAGTTTCTTGGGTTGAGGATGGAATAAAAGTATCATTTATAAAGGAAAAGAAAGGAAGCCAAGTCTCACCAAAAGCGTCTACCCTTGAAGTGCCTTTAATTACCCTTCAGTGGTGAGTAAGGCATTCCAATAGAGCTACATTCCAAATATTATTTAACCAGATTTCAATAGGGATTCCTATAGATTGTTTCCAGTATTGGCCCAGTGTTAATCGGGTTGTTGACAACAGAAAAAATACTAATTCTCTGCACTTAAGGTTATTGTTTAATGATAATGTAATGATAATAAGGCAGGAGCTGGGTGGGAGGGGTTACTGTGTAATTTTGGAAAAAATGTGGAACACCTTTTCCCTAAAGAGTATACCAACATGCAACACCTCCATGCATGAAAATATTCGCCTTACTCTCCACAGACTTTCCAGCATAGGGGAGAGATGCTGCTACTTTGTTTTGTTTTTGTTTTTTGGCTAAATGTAATGGAGTCCAGGGCAACGAAAGATAATTTAGAGAGAAGCCTCCTGCAAATGAGCAGAGATTGTTCATAGGGATGGGTTGTGCCAAATTGATTGCCATCTGTGGTCTGCAATTAGGATCCCTAAGTCTTCTCCCCATACTGATCCATGTATTACAGGATCTTTTTTTGGTGGTCTTTAACTCCCTGCTTCTTGGGAGAAAAGCAATGACAAACCTAGACAGCATCTTAAAAAGTAGAGACATCACCTTGCCAACAAAGTAAAAGCTATGGTTTTCCCACTAGTGATGTATGGAAGTGAGAGCTGGACCATAAAGAAGGCTGTTCGCCGAAGAATTGATGCTTTTGAATTATGGTGCTGGAGGAGACTCTTGAGAGTCCCATGGACTGCAAGAAGATCAAACGTATCCATTCTGAAGGAAATCAGCCCTGAGTGCTCACTGGAAGAGTCTCCTCCAGCACCATAATTCAAAAGCATCAATTCTTCGGCGATCAGCCTTCCTTATGGTCCAGATCTCACTTCTATACATCACTACTGGGAAAACCATGGCTTTAACTATACGGACCTTTGTTGGCAAGGTGATGTCTCTGCTTTTTAAGATGCTGTCTAGGTTTGTCATTGCTTTTCTCCCAAGAAGCAGGGAGTTAAAGACCACCAAAAAAAGATCCTGTAATACATGGATCAGTATGGGGAGAAGACTTAGGGATCCTAATTGCAGACCACAGATGGCAATCAATTTGGCACAACCATTCCCTATGAACAAGTGGTCGTCTTTTAATTTCGTGACTGCTGTCACCATCTGCAGTGATCATGGAGCCCAAGAAAGTAAAATCTCTCACTGCCTCCATTTCTTCCCCTTCTGTTTGCCAGGAGGTGATGGGACCAGTGGCCATGATCTTCGTTTTTTTGATGTTGAGCTTCAGACCATATTTTGCGCTCTCCTCTTTCACCCTCATTAAAAGGTTCTTTAATTCCTCCTCACTTTCTGCCATCAAGGTTGTGTCATCTGCATATCTGAGGTTGTTGATATTTCTTCCGGCAATCTTAATACCGGCTTGGGATTCATCCAGGCCAGCCTTTCGCATGATGAATTCTGCATATAAGTTAAATAAGCAGGGAGACAATATACAGCCTTGTCGTACTCCTTTCCCAATTTTGAACCAATCAGTTGTCCCATATCCAGTTCTAACTGTAGCTTCTTGACCCACATAGAGATTTCTCAGGAGACAGATGAGGTGATCAGGCACTCCCATTTCTTTAAGAACTTGGCATAGTTTGCTGTGGTCGACACAGTCAAAGGCTTTTGCATAGTCAATGAAACAGAAATAGATGCCTTTCTGGAACTCTCTAGCTTTCTCCATAATCCAGCGCATGTTTGCAGTTTGGTCTCTGGTTCCTCTGCCCCTTCGAAATCCAGCTTGCACTTCTGGGAGTTCTAGGTCCACATACTGCTTAAGCCTGCCTTGTAGAATTTTAAGCATAACCTTACTAGCGTGTGAAATGAGTGCAATAGTGCAGTAGTTGGAGCATTCTTTGGCACTGCCCTTCTTTGGGATTGGGATGTAGTCATCCAGTACACACATACAAACTCACATATAACACCTATTTATGAAATTCTGCTATTTAAAATAAACACAATGGTTAAATATACAAATGTCAGTTTGGATTCCTCAAAATATTTCCTTTGCAGGTCCCTAGTGACTTCTGGACTAGACTTTTAGGCAAATTTCATTAAGCTTACCATGTTTATAAGAATATTTTTAAATATACACTCAAGCTGTGGGTAGGGGGAGGATGATTCTGCAAAAGGCAACTATTATCAAGGTGCTGAAATTAATTGGCTGCTTTAATTGAGGTAGATTACTAGCTAATGCTTTCTTGAATACAGTAATTCTCCTATTAAATTATCTTTGAATAATTACCTGAAATTTCTCAGCTGCAGGGACTGATGGCTATTTAATTGTGCAGTGATGTTGCTAGATAATTACTTAACAAGGTGTCCTTTAATAGTTTAATTCCCCTTTCAGAGAAAGAAAAAATAACTTCAAATACTACTTTTACTCGATACATGGTTTTTATTTTCCTTCATGGATGAGTCTGAATCTGATGCAGCAAAGGAGAACTATTTGTCATCTGAAGAAAATAATTGATTTAAAAATAGATTTTAAGTAGATGCTCTTCAGATGTGAAATATGTATGTAAGTTCTTCTTCTCCACTGATCCACCTCCCAGAGCTTGGTTTCTATGAATATGAATATTAGTGTACACATGCAATAAGCACACAGGCCTGAGTGATCGCATTCATTTCACAAACATAACTGTTAAGTAAGCTCTTCACGATCTCTTGCCACAAATGGGAAGCAGAGGCTGAGCATTGGCAACTTAGTAAAACCACCCAGTGTAAGCTGAAGTTAGGGTTTGAACCCAGGCCTCTCAGTTTAAACGATCTTACTTATGCTGACCCTTTTCTGTCAACTTGGAGGATAAAATCCATCTGCAGTAAGGTGATTGTGGTGAAGGGGGTATGCGCATGAAAATCTCTCAAACCTTCTTCCTTGTCCAGCTGCAACACAACAGCCCTGCAGTGTTGCCGGGGGGGGGTCTTGCTTTCTGATACAGTGGTGCCTCGCAAGACGAAATTAATTCGTTCCGCGAGTTTTTTCATCTAGCGAATTTTTCGTCTTGCGAAGCACGAAATCCCATAGGAATGCATTGAAATTCAATTAATGCGTTCCTATGGTCAAAAGTTCAAACAAAGCCAAATTTGGTACAACAAGAGTTTATTAAGTGCTCTTTAAAGTCACACATACTGTAAAGAGCATTTCAAAAATTGAAGGAACAATAAATTAAGTTTCTAAACATGACAGAAAAACATTTAAAAATCAACAAAGTGTACAGTACATTTTCTAAGACTCTGGGGACAACTCGAAGAAGGTTCCTCTTCCACTCTTTGCTTCTTGCTGAAGAACCCCCTCCTCAACTGTTCCCCCAGCCACCCACCACACAGAAATTCAAATCCAGAATTTTTTTAAAAAAACAGCAGAGTGGCCCAATGGTCACAGAAAATCATAAAAATGCAGGAAAAAACACACACAAGCTTCCAGATTCTTGCAAACCCCTCCCCAACACCAAGTCCTTGAATTCCAAACACCCCAACCCAAAATCCAAAAACCCCCCAAAAAGTTTAAAAGAAGTTTTGGAAAAGCTTCAAAAATCACCAAAGTCTTCAAAAACCTCAAAAAAGGCTACCACACCGCGTTCTATGAGTTGCTCCTCGAAGTCAAGTCGCAACTGTATTAACGGTGTTAAGACAAAGGAAACAAACTTGCAAGACGTTTTCGTTTTTCGTCTTGTGAAGCAAGCCCATAGGGAAATTCGTCTTGCGAAGCAGCTCAAAAAACAGAAAACCCTTTCGTCTAGTGAGTTTTCCGTCTTGCGAGGCATTCGTCTTGCGGGGCACCACTGTAGTTGCTGCCATCACCTTCCCACTCACTCTTGTAGCCCAGATGAGAGGGGGCTTGGGATGCATCAAAGCAATTACTTTTTAAAAGGCTCCAAACTGGGAAACCTAAACAAATAAATAAACAAACGATAGCGGAAAAAGCAGGCAGGTCAAAACAGAATACAAAATAAACCAAAGCACCGTAGCTTTAAAACTGGACTAATCCTCAGCTGTTCACTACAACAATTTATTTACAAGTAAGCAACAAGGATGTTCAGCTGCATAGAAAGTTCCTGATGGTGGGAGGGAATACAACTGCAAGGCAGCTCAGCATTTTTAAAGGCTCCCTTGCCTGTCTATTGAGGGAGTCACTCTTACTGACCAATGGGGCAACAGAATCTGTTGCTCAGGTCACATCAATCTCTCAGGTAAGCATCTTTCTTAGGTATCATTTTTGCCTTTGAAAAGACTGGGAAGAAGATAAGTGACAGCTTGATTTAGAGGAATGGTGGGGCAAGGAGACCAAAGTTCTGCGTGACAGTGGTGACAACAGAGTTACTACCACTGACTAACAAAAATGCATCAACAACTGACAGTCCTAGTCACATCTTGGCCTCTAAGGCTGCTTGCTGGTGCCTTAATGAAGTTTAATTACTGCTGGCCTTATCAGGTGTCTCTGCATACTACTAGTCACAGCTACCATAGTTGTAACTTTCCTGCTACATTAAGCTCAGATCCAGGTAGAAGGTAAAGCTGTGGCTTCCTTTAGGGGGTGGGAAGTTTTAATCCTGCCTTTTTAAAATTTGAGTGTATTTTGGATTTTTCTATGCTTCATTTTAATGCATGTTATTTATTGTTGTAAGTCACTATGGGTTTCGTTGACAAAGAAGTGACTAAAAAGTTGAAATAAAAGTTACATTAAGTTATGGTATTATTTTTATTTGTCAATGGCTCTCATCTCTGAGAACACAAAATCTGTGTTCGGCAGCCTGGTGCCCACCAGATGTTTTAGACTACAACTCCAATGAGTCTTGGTCAGCACAGTCATGATAACTGAGCCAAATGGGAGTTTTAGTCAAAAACATTTGGAAGGCATTAGGTTGGCAAAAGTTTTGTTAAATTATGCTGGTTTTACTAGCTGAGAAAAGTTACAAAATAATGGACCATTAGAATGAATCATGTTGCACAAGTGAGTTGTCTTTTTGGTAGGAAGGAAGCATCACTGCAGTGTGTGAATGGCCCCAAATAATGAGGAACTCTGTGTGGTAAAGATGTTCTACAATTCCTTGACAACTACAGATGAGTAATTAATAGCAATTAATGCTATCCAAGAGCTGAGCTGTTTTTGTCAAAGCGGAAAAAAATATTATTACTATTTTTTATTATTGTTGCCATTGAAGTATTAGAGTTAGTTGGGAACTTTCTTATTGGTGCATTGGAGACTTTGTAATTGCAAAGAAAATTTGTTGGCCAGGTGGTGCAATTTGATACTCATTAGTATGACATTCTCTTTTTTTAAAAGGCTGTCATATCTCTTCTCTGCAAAAAAAGTTGTGCTGAAAAACAAATTAAGTTGTTGCCACAGCTAAGTTTAAATTCCCATGGGTATTACAGTTTCACACATGCAACTTGTGCATGCAGAGTAAAGTGTCATATGCACAGGGTGTTGGTTTGGAGGCATTTTGGGGGGGTGTCCAGCAGTGAATTGTCACATGTGACATTGGGCATAGGCCATTTGCTGAAAAACAGTTTACTTCCACAACTTATAATAAACATTACCATAAATTTGAGACTTCTATGACATCATAGTGGCAAGGTCAGTGGAGGCCAGTAAGACTAAGGCAACTCTACCTGTAAAAAAACCCTTGTGAAATGAAAGTTGATTGTGAGGAACACTTACGAAACCTGTTATAAGTCCTTAGTAAACAAAGTTAATAATATTAAGGTCACAAACTATGGTTCTAAAGGAATGATAAGGGCCTTTCTACATAGTTCTAAGCTATTGA